GGACTATGGTCATTTAGTACCCAAATAAAAATATAACTTTTCACCTGCGTTACGCAGAAGAGCATGCTTTGACTTCTGTGGGACCTCTTCCGTGTATTTTTTTGCAGTACACAAAGAGCATACTTTATTTTTCTCGCCTCAACTCGATCGCAACAATCGCACTGTGGCTGTCTCTGATTCTTTTCCTTGAAGTAATGTCGTCGTCAATGCCATTGCCGCTCGCAAGAGTATCATTTCAAACCTCATAGATCGTGGGTTCTACCAAGTCGTGCGATATTTTATTCGATGCCATTGTACGCCAAGCCCTCACCTAGAGGTAGGCGTTTGCGAGAGCTCGTCTCGTTCTCTTTGCTGATCGTTGTCATTGATGATGGTGGGGCAGAGTCGGCTGGTTTATATCAGAATATTATACCATGGCTCTTTGTGCAGGTGCGCCAACAATCTATCAACCTATGATAATTCACAACCATTCATTGTGATGACAGAAATACCCACGTCCACCATGCACATACAGTAAACAAAGATGTTGCCGCCTACTATCACACTCCCACACCTCTCTCTTTTCTCGGACGGGTTCGACTATTTACACCACCCCTACTCGTTTCAATTCATCCATGATAGCAACCAACGCAGTATTAAGATAGTCGTAGTAATGCTTTCTAGTGGATGTAGTATTCTTGAGAACATATTATGAAATGTGTAGTTAGGGGTCATAGGCATATATAGTGTGTTTTATCTGCATAGAGTAGGCGGTTGAAAAAAATGGATTACAACATCACGAAACTTTTACAAGACATGAACATAGAGCCGAAAGATAGTAGGTTGTTGTTTTTCATCACATATCATCCAGCAACATGGTTACCCACCAGACCAGTATCAGCCTTCCAGATGGTCCCATGATGGTGCAAACTGATCATGATACAGGTTTGGATGCGTTATCATGTTTGGGGCGTCGGGCTACGTATGTACATTAAGGAGAAGGTTAGAGACTAAGCGTTCAATTCCTCACATGCTAGGAATACCTACCAGAGCAACCATTGATGATGAAGCCACGGGCGGATGTGACAGCGGTGATCGAAATGTGTATGGATGGTAACATTGTGATGTTGGTTGATGGCGATAACGGCTGGTGGTCACATAGTCGTCCTCAGGCATATTCTTGGATGATGTAGCGCTGGTGCTGCTAGTACTACTGCTACTGCAGCAACTGCTGCCGGTATCGCTGCTAGTGTCATTATTATTGACCATGTTATCGCGCTGCATGGATGCTGTTCTCTCGATCAATTTTTGGACATGATAAAGACGTTCGCTTGCAGGGATTCTAACACTGGGTGTACCGCTCGTATGGATCATTCGAGTATGGACTTTGAAATGACGTCGCAAATTGCTAATGACAGCAAAACGACGACCGCAGCCGGGTCTATTGCAAATGTACGGTACATCAATCTTTTAAGTACTGCTTTTATCAGCCCTTAACAATTACACCTACGTGGTACATTCAAAAGGCTTCTCGCCTGTATGTGTATAAATGTGCGTCTTCAAAGCACTCGGACGAGTAAAGCATTTGTTACAGATATCACATTGATATCGGCGCTTCTCGATGCGTTTACTACTAGAGTTGTTAGCGTTATCAAGCATTGTTAAAAGAAGACAAAGAAACAAAAAAAAAGAAGGTAGGCGTATATAAAAAGCATAGGTTGCACAATGAAGAGCTGCAGTTTCCCCTCAGGGACGCGATGCGGTGTTTATTTGCATGTCAAGAATTCATTGTTCTCATCTTCCCACCGCATTGTATACAAACCTCCTTAACTTCACTTTTTGTGTGCCAGCAGTGTACCTGAGAATTATACTCGCTATCACGGTTATTTTGACATGCTGTGCAAAACTCTGCTGCGTTTCAAGTATTATGATTATACGTGTACATTTGGAATATTTGGAAGAGAGGAAGGGGAGTGTGGTAAGCTCCTGTAATCTGCAACATCAACAATCCCATGATTTTGACCCCACGGACTTTCATCTCCCAATAAGTCTCATGATAAAGGCGTTGGAAATTCTTGTCCAATCGCAATTCTGGTACTGTATCACACTGGCGTTAGGGGCCCATCATATCGGTGGACAAATGGTATTTGCATAACCCAGTAACATTGGCAATTCTTGTTAACATGCAATCTGAATGTATTGGAAGCCTTCAGTATAATTCGGCCTAAACGCCATTGAACCCTTGTGTATTATGCATAGGGGTATTGTCTTAATGCCTGGTATTGTTACTACTGTTACTAACGCTAGTGCTTCTACTATTTCGACCACCAAGGAAGACGAGTAAGCTCAGTGCAGCTACGCAAGATGCTGTATGGATAAGTGCCACTGCTCCCCATCGCCCATACACCATGCCACCCAATATGCATCCTAGGCCAAAACCAAGCCCATTGAATAGAGCTGCTAGAATGCCTTGTGCAATAGCGCGCTGATCAGGTGGGAAAAACGTATCAACTTCAGATACAGCAGTCGACCATGCTAGTGCGTATCCAGATCCTATACTGCATTATTAGTATCCGTTGGCATTAATCCCGTAAATCGAAGCATACCACTTGCAAAATGCATTCCAAGTGCCAACACAGTTGACAGGGAGTTACCAGGCGATAACGTCGAGTACACAAGATTACGAACAATTAATCCGATATGAGCGAGTGAGATCAAACTTGACACGGTAAACTCTTCCAATAACTGAATGTATGCATAAATACAAATCAGTAACCATAGCCATTCCCCAATCGATATGGTATATTCACCTTATTGGACACCCAGAAGGTTGTTACTTCTGCAATACCACCGATAGGGCCAGTCCATCCGATTAATGACGAATCAATCTTGAGATCGTTGCATAGAAACAAAAAGAGGAATTGAGAAACCATAGCATATGAGATGCCAAGTAGTAGCATAGTGAGCAGGAATGACCACACACGTGGAGTCGTCAACGTGGACTTTTGTGGTGGTTTCGACTCTGGACGACCAAGGTCCGCAAATGCAGCGAGAGTAGATTCGACAGTGGGAATGTTGGATAAAGCAAGGCCAATGGGCGGTAGATGATCCATGTTGGCAATACGCTGACTAGCTTCTGTTTGTACATCGAGCATTGATGTTGCTGTTCTTAATAGCCCCAAACGCCTGTCATCTATGCCATCTTCCAAAATTTCAGTATTGGCGTAGCTTGCCATGCTGTCTCGACGTGGTAGTGGATCCACATATTCGGATAAGCTGTTGTGCATTGAAAGTTGCTGTTGCTGATATTGCTGATATTGCTGGTGAATACTAATTGGCTTCCGAAGTAAAGAACGTTGCTCGTCAGCTTCGTTGTTGTTTTCCCATTGTCCTCCTTCTTCTGTTGGGAACCGAGTAAATATTGCAAGCAAGGCAAATGCAATGATGCCAAATGCAAATATATAAAATGCCTTATCAATGCCAGCTGCACCAATCCATAAGCCCACGAGCAGAATATTGATGCCGTTGGAAACTGATCCCCATAGCCGCTGATTGCCTATCAACAAGCTGTCAGTCATGTGCTTGGACTTTTGTCATGCATGTCAAACTGCCAATCATTATTTACCATATAAAATCTTTTGGTCCCCCAAGATCTTGAGCACAGCACTGTCAACTAGTACTTGGAGAGGTTGACCGAAAAAGGCAAACAACAGAGCAAAGGATGCGGTTGCGACAAACTTCAGAGATAAACCACTGTCTGAGGAATCTTCTTGATTGCTTGAAAGCCAAGATGGGAGGAACATGAGTGACATGATGCTTGCACCACCCACGAGAGCAAGCACGCTCATTAACGGGCCGTGTAAATTGGGGCGTCGGTCGACAATCAGCGTCCATAAAGGACAAGCAATACTTTGAACGAAGGGAGCTATTGCAAGCAACACACCAATTTGATCTGACGGCAAGCCAAGCGCACTATCATAAAACAAGGCTATATAGGCGATAGCTGAGCCGAAGATAGTATAGAGGCAAACGTAAAGGAGCTTTGGAAAGAGCATCAACTAGTGGAGTTGTGCACAATAAAGGGTGAAAATGAAAAGAAGTAATAAAATGAAAAGCGAAGGGAAAAAAAAAGTGAATTAAAATATTCGTCATATGATTTGACCCTATCATACATGACACGAGTGTCAGGTGCTTCAATCCCTTAATTCTTTCACCCCGCTTTCCGTTGTTCGTTACAGCAGCAGTATCAACTCCATACGTTTCATCCAATGTGCTGGAACTGAGTTTGGCGGTGCATGTGCGTATTGTCTCGGCGATATCTATTATCGTTGGCACAGAAACCCTTGCTAAGATACCACTTTCTTTTATAGCGATCCTCCTTTTTCCCCATCTTCTTTCCATTATATCAAACATAAATGGAATCTGCCAATAACAAGCTACGACCCTTACAAAAGCAGGATAATGAGCCATTACGGCCATCTTCGTCCACTCATCAGCAGCAACACTCTGGCCGTGTACAACAGCCAACACCCAATCATTGTCCTTCTCATACGTCGTATAATGAGCAAAGTCAGCAGACTCCTCCTCCTGTATCAACAACATCCAATACACAGCTGGAAGAATCACCTCCAATTCTATCTCGTCAAACAGCACCTGTATCAACTTATTACAGTGAGGCTCCATCGCAACCAATGGCTCCACAGACACCAACAGCTCCATCGCACAAGATACAGCAGCATGAACAGGAACAGCAGCTTCAAGATGTTGGTGCAGAACATCTCACAAACAAGGGTGACCCGCTATTGGCAAAGTGGACTAGCAGTTTTTGGCGGCAGACTGGAAAGATGCAAGCAGCTGTTGGCGATCTAACAGGTTTCGAATCGTGGCAAACTCAAGGTCGTTCTACCGAAGCATGGGCTGATACTGCGTATCGTGAAGCTGAAAGTCGAAAAAATCAGGGTGACCCTAGCTGGGTGCGTGGCGAATATGATGTGGTTATGGGAACTCTTGGTAATGCGGTTGGCTATCTAGCTGGAGATCCAGAGATGCAGGCTCGTGCTCGTATGCGAGCTCACGAAGGTCAAGACCAGGTTGACAGGATTAAACGTTCATAGCATATTCCATTACTACTGCAGCTACAATATAGATAACTTGTATAATGATGTTGAATAGAAAGCAAAGCCTCTATAACGACAATAATATCTTTTGGGTTCAATACTGACTTCTGTTTTATACTTATGCAACCTACAAAACAATCACCTTTCAAGTGGCAGGTGGATTTATCATCTGTGATTTTCCATCACTTCGACTCGGTACTCCAAAGTGCTTGACACTTTACCAGTATGATAAATCATGACAACAATTTCCACGCCACACCTACTCGTATATAAAGTAGGCTCTTTGCACCAGCATTATCATACGCCCTTTCTTTCTACTTTAACTGCCACAACCTACTGTCAGTGCCATGGGGTAAAGAAATTTCCATCATATCAAGCATTTGGGGTTTGGACTAATCATGTTCATTTCTCTCATACACCAGAGGCATGGATTTATATAAAGATGGGTCAAGAAGCTAAATATTTAAGGGAAGAGGGTATAAAAATACAAGGATGTTTTAATGTTGTTTTTCATGGGCCCAAACGCCTGCGTTATATTTTGCGACGTCATTGAGAAGATGGACCTGGTCGGCAACTGATTTGAGAGCACCAAGAATAACACCATTACCAGTAGTAAAATCGTACATATAATAATGCAGTCCAGTTTCCTGACAAAAGCGGCGAACAAATGGAACGCATTGACGTAGATTATGCCGGGGTAAACGTGGAAAAAGGTGATGAACCGCCTGATATTGAAGACCGCCGTGGAACCAATCAAACCATTCGGGACAATCGACATCCATCGTGGTGCGTAGTTGTTTGGCAGGGAAGGGTTCACGAGGACCAAAATCCACGGTAGACATACCAAAGTGTGAAAGGGTGATTTGTACATGCAGTGGGAAAGTAAGCATGTATGAAATAAATACATAGGCAACAACCATGCCCCAAGATGGCAACTGAGCTAGTAGAGCACCGTACCAGATAAAAAAGCAAGTAATGCCAAATAATTCGAGGCGACGATTACGTACTTCCTTATCGAAGAATAGATATAAGAAAGACAGACGGTGTAAATTGAATCGGCCAAAGAGGAGGACAATATAGTAGAGATGATGTTGATATCGCACAAAGAAACGTGCAGGTGCATCAAATTCAAATACACGTTTGTAATAAGTCGAATAAATGTTGTCAAAGAAACGTGTGGTGATAGCAAAGAAAGGTAAATGCTGAATATCTGGATCATGTTCTGGATGATTGGTGACAATATGATGAACGTTATGGTTGTTCTTCCACCAACCAAGTGATAATCCTCCAATAAAGTCTGCTATAATCACTCCGATCAAATGATCAATCTCGACACGTCCCGTGATTTCGTTATGTCCAGCGTCGTGAGCGGTAAACACCAGCTGATGCCATAAGCACGCCATGAATACAGCACCCAATACATGTTGCCATGTCTCCGTTCCACGTAGCGTAAACCACAGTGATAGGTATAAGAACAAGGCATATCGACAACACTCTTTTCCATATCGATAATAGTTGCATTCGAATAATCCACGATCCATTAACTCTTGCTCTAGTCGCCTGTATGCTACACGCACTTTGGTCACATCCAGTCCTTGTTGTACTTGCAGATCTTGTTGCTGACTAGCATAGTGCTGTGTATGAAGTGAACTGATTGTTTGATCAAAGCCTTCCACGCTCATACCACCTTGCCACGACGCGTCAATCATTACTGTTCTTGCTTGCTTGTCATCGTTTTCTTCTCGCTTATAATCCATATTCACTGGTAGTGCCAAGTCTGACAGGTATTCGCCAATGCAGTAATGTCGCATCATACGCTCGTACACACGTGGTGGATGCATGGACCGGATCTCGTCAGTGACATCCTTGCCGAGTACATGACGAATAGCAAGTTCCCCACCGGGATGTTTGTGAATGAAACGGTCGACTTTGTACACTTGATTTTCAAAGATAAACAGCGCTTCACCCTGTTTGACTCGTTCTTCCACTTGTTGTTGTGTCAGCACGACACGTTCCTGACTCGTTGTAGTTGTATGTAATTCGGTGTTGGGTGGCATTCTACGAGGTGGCGAGAAAAGGTCCAAGAAAAATCGTGCGACTCGATGTAGTCCAAGCGGTCAGTTGCTCCGTGTTACGCTCTCTTGATTCCGCAAAACAGACTGAGATAGCTTAGTGAACCTTTGGCCTTATCAATACACGTCTTCATATCTCGATACACGAATCTTCTTTTGTCAATACAAAGCCTATAATATTTGTATAAGCTCCCACAGTCGTACCGTTTAATCACATAGGAACCACTGTTGCCACTCACAACACTTGCACGCATAATATCCGTAATCTTCAATATGTTGACACTGATTTCTGATTGCATGCCCCGAATCATACAATTCGATCATCTGATACTGAGAGAATGTGGGCCTTGTCTGTATCCCATTGTTTATACCTCCATCCATATCCCCCGTTTTCCTTTCCTTAATATACACAGTGAATGCTCTCAGAATGGTACGTGAATTGGCATCATAGCAACCGCCCTTCGAAACGACATGCCATTGTATGCTGGGTGAAAGAGAGATTGGATGCATTTTTTGGGGTTCTTTATGATTTCAAATGATGAAGGCCTAAGTAACACGGTCCGCTGTGTCGGAAACTTTCAATTAACAAATCATGTGATCAGCCCTTCCAACTGCAGCTGGTTTTCAGACCCGAAAAAGCCAGATATTTAGGACACAGAAGAATTCTTTCTCTTCAAGCTATCTTACATAAACCTCGAAACAGTGAGTCTCGACTGGTATTTTCATGTAAAGGATTTGCTAATCCCAAGATCTTAGGACTTCCCAATGAATAACACCATACGTCCAAGACTGAATGCTGACGACGATCTTGAGCAGCTACAGGAAGAATTTTTTGCCAAACGCCAAGTTTCTTCAGCGTCTGTGAGACACGTAGCACCACCCGCACTCGGACAATCTTCAAAGAAAAAGAGTATTTTTGCGCAACGACAGCAAACCAAAAGCCAAACAGCAGCGAAAAAGCATGTAGAAAGTGAAGACCTGTCATCTATGCCCGATTTGGAAGAAGCTGATACTACTTCTCAGCAAGTGAATGAGCCCCATACACCGGTTTCTAAGAATATGCTAGACTTATCGTCACTTCTCGGCAATATACTCGGTGAAGTGAAGGAGAATCAAAGCGTGTCGGTTGAACCGCCAAGCATCCGAAAAGGTGAAATGCGATCTCAGCATCATACCCAGGGCTTTCCGAAACCAGCTCGTCGAAGCGTTTTCAAACAAAGTATGGCGATCCAGCATAATAATGTTCACAAAAGTGAGGACGTTAATGTTTCAGATTATGAGCGTGATAATATGAATCGCATTGAAACAATGTCTGCAGAAGAAATCGAGGAAGCGCGCAAAGAGATTTTCAGCACACTTAGCAGCGAGTCTATTTCAATGCTTATGAATCGGGACAAAGGAAAAAAGCAGCACACTGGAACTGATAACCAGAAAACAAGCAAGCACGATGAGGAGTTGATTATGAAGCATCGTATGGACAATCGATTCAATATCAATGATGAGCAATCAACCAACACTGAGAAACTTTGTCGTCAATTGAAATTCAATTATCGTGGTGAATCATTCGACTCGGTAGTTGACCCATCATCTTGTCAGGGTCTCCATAACCACAGTGGCGATCCTGATAAAGCTAGCTATACGTTGGAGGAGCTATTTTATATGACTCGCAGCCATATGCCTTCTCAGCGAGCAATGGCATTGAATACAATGGCATGTATCATCCAACGTGCAAAGAGAGATCATGCAGATCAAATAATCAGCATTTTTCGTCAAGTGGAACAGGGACCAATGTTTTTTATACAATCGGCGCTGGATGATAAACATCTCACGGTTTTAGTGAGTGCAGTTAAAGCATTGGCAGCTATTATTCTGGATGAAACAGAGGACACTGTTGATACTATCATGGATGCGGGGCAGTTCAACGAATACCTTGGGTATATGTCCCTGCCTAATCGACTTCAAGATAAGGATGATGATGATGGTGCCAAAACTACGACTCAAGATTTCATCCAATCTTTGATTAATACGGATCTCTTGCCACGCCTGCGTTATCTTATGTTGCCCAATAGCGAATTATGCCAGGAAGACAGCGCATCGTTTGAAAGGATTGTAAATATCTTGGGAAAGCTGGCGAGACATGGATACGAGGCATGCAAGGCAATCCAAGATCACCAATTACTGTCTTCGACGCTTGAGTGGGGAATCTTGAAACGCGATTGGCCAATGACGCAGAGTGACGAAGTGAATAGTTATCCAAGTCTTTCGGTGCTTCAATTCCTCACGGTACTTGCACAAGGAAATAGAGATGTCGCTGCAACAATCGCTTCACAAGCAACTTGTTTGCTGCAATATCTTGTCACTCCACCCGATGTAGCATGTTCGCCTCTACAGAACCGCGCTTACGCCTTGCAAGTGGAAGCGCTGAAACTATTTCAGGTTCTACTGCGTTATGGATACGTAGTACCAGGATTTAGCGATCTGCATGAATCAATCATGGGCTGGCTGCGTATTTCGATTACGGAGAAAACAATCTGTAATGAGGCTCGTGGTGTAACAGCGATCCGTCTACTAGAAAGCTCTCTTCATGCAGCTGCCAAGCCTCACAGCACCATCCCAAAACACGCCATCGAGTGGAACCAGCCCATAGCGTTCGTACCAGTGATACTTGCTGTATTGCGTACATCTGGGTCGGGAACGATGCATGATGCAGCAATGGGGTATTTTGCAACCTACGTAGGGTATTTTAATCAGTTTCCCTCGGACGATGGTGAAATTACTATCAAACATGCGTGGAAGACAGTCATCGAAGACAAAACTAAGCTGAGCTATGGCGGAAATACCAACAGTGTGCTCCGTTACTTGCAATTCCTTCGTGCGTTTAGTTTGATCAAGGGGACGACATTTCAAAATATCAATCAAGCGGCAATGGACTACTTGAAGAATGCGGTGGATCATGTTCGATCAATATGTCAGAACGGCATCTTGGGGAGACTGGCATTGTGGACCTGGATATCGTCTATCAATAACCGGAGGGAGCGAATCCAGCTTTGGGGATCTGAGAAAGCTTACGACTCTGCTGAACTGGAAGCTACCACCAAGAGCGTTCGTGGTTGTCGTTTGGAGACAGGCTTAGCACGTAAATTTGTTCAATACTGCATCCTTGATCGGTTGGATTCTGAGCTTGTGAGGGTCCTTCATCCTTTCTACTTGCGAGAAACCACTAAAGTAGACGTCGTTCTTGACCAAGAGCCAGTTGATGTAACGACATTAACAGCTCCTCAAAGTATGCCTAGTACAGCTGCAAGTGTTACCAGCTGGCTGTTTTCACCCATTGATGAGGTGTATCATGCCGAGAAGAATCATACGATGCAATGGGATTTCGAGTCCAGGGAAGTAGTGACAGCCGTCTTAGAAGCAGCCTCTTTATTACTGGAGCATGTAGCCATCGACCATGACGTAGCCATTGTTTCACTAATGAAGATATTTCTCATCGGGAGTCGCACACAGCACGATATGAAAAGCGATCATGAAATATTTTGGGACCAACGGGTATCAAATTGGATCAGGCGATGGCTCGATAAGCTATGTGTGGTGCACACGGAAGCACCATTTGCGGAAACCATCGATGACGCTTGGCGAAGGTCATCTATCTACACTCGTCAGTCATTCTATCAATTTTACCAATCATTTGTCGCCCAATATGCGAGTACATCGTTTGGTGAACGCAACTTTGCACGATTGCTAGCCTACATCACTATGGAGGCTACAGACGTTGTGGACTACAGATATTTGCTATGGAATGACTATCGTGATGTGCTACCAACCATCAAGGTCAATCGTAAGGAATTGCCAAATATGAATTATCAAGGTGAAGTTAATCCAGCACTGGTACAAGCATATTTATCAGCTATTATGGAAAACAACCTCAGCAAGGAGGAGGATGGCAACGCAATGCATCATTTTGCAATCAGAGTGCTTGAACTAAGCACTGCAAGCTCTCTTTCTCCAGGTCTACGTAGAAGTATTGAACAAGTACTGTCGAAGAAATAAATAAGCTTGATTTGACCGAGGATCTATCTCACATTTGGCATGTAATATACTAATTGCCGACGAATGATTCAATAGCAACTACTGGTGATGCTATTGGACATCTCACCCTCTGTTATGGTATCATCGTTTCATTGATGAGAATTGTGTCATTCATACTTCAAGCCCACGATGTCAACGTCATTCAAAGATAGCATTTTTTTGTCGTTCTTTCCCCTCTTCCAATGACGAGCGATGATGGTGATGATTCTTCCTCTGAGATATCAATCAAGAGTTTAGGTAACTGTGGATATAGTAAATGTACTTGAGACGACGATAAATGACCAAGACATAACCAATTCCAAATCACACTAATGTGGAGCCTTTTATTGTTGCACTGTAGCTAGCATAATTGATCATTCCTACAACCTATCAATGATGGTTTGCAATTGTTCTTCGTGATAAATTTTGAATTTCTGTTCAGCAGTGATCGAGGCAACCTGAATGTTTGATTTGTTGAGCTTTTCTTCCATCACAGATTTGAGTACCCTAAGAGCAAGTGTTTCCGCTTCTTCCAGAGTCATTGATTTGTGATATTCTTTCTCCAACTCAGTTTGTGCTCCCTCAGACCCAGATCCTATAGCTTTTGCGTTGTATGCCATGAATGTTCCCGATGGATCAGCATGGAATCTGGCGGTGTGCATCGTGTCAGTTGCTTTATATCCCTTTCAAGCTGGATTCTCACTCACAGTTGGGGTCCTTTTTCATCTGCACCAGCAATAAGTAATGCAACGCCAAATGGTCGGCTCTACAATGAATAGATGTTTAATATACAGTTTTCTTGACCACATCCTGTAGTTGGTTTTTACCATGATAGCTTCTTCGCCATCTGCGCTTTCACCAAATCGTAGAGCCAAATCACAGATGCTCTGAGTCAAACTTTCCACCTTCAAGCTCTCATCATAAGTGAATCTATGGTTCTATCACACTCATAAGTAATACTGATATTCGCAATGGTCATCATTTAGCTTATTACCTGGGCTGCGACCCGGCCAAAATCGATCATCGTCCGAGCATCAGCAACCATGCCACTCAATGCTACTGCCAAATGGGTATCGACCTCCATGATCTTTTCAATCGAACTAGCTTCAAGTAACGGTGAAGAGACACGCTTTTCAACAGCCAAGATAACGCCTTGGGAAGTCTGAATGCCGATGGCTGTGGTACCAAGCTGCATAGAGGTGAGATGTACGCATGAGGTATACGCGTCTGTATATAAGTACCTTGATAGCTTCGATAGCATATTCAACTTGAAATAAACGTCCTTCTGGAGAAAAGGTATTGACGCCACGGTCGTATTCTGAACGTGTCATAAACATGGTGAAGGGAAAGCTTGGTGTCTTGCCTGACGCGGCTTCGGAAGGAAATGATATACGCAATTTCTATCATGCACGTTACGTCACCTACCAAAAGTCCGGTAATGAAAAGGACACTCTGGATGGACAATCACAGAAACGTCATATCCCATAACCAGCAACGGTGGAAAGCACACTTGTATGCCTTCTTCGATTTGTAATGGATGCTATCCTTGAAATTAGACGAGTAGTCAGTGTGAAAAGCTATAGCCCAGGTGCTGTCTCTACTGATGTTTTGGGTTGGTGGCCTTCTCAATAGTAGTCATCATATGCGCTTCTTATACTCAAGGCTATGAGAAATTAGGGATATAGAGATAGGCTCTGATAATAGAGTTACAGGTCCCTGGCAAAATTTCTCCTTGCTATTCCATAGCAGATATCGCTGAAAATGTAATTGCATCAAGTAAGGAGCTGAAGTGACAGTCATTTCGCTGTGGCTATGTTCCATATAGCAAAGTTGTTATCCCTTCCTATAAATCCCATCATAGCTATAACGTACCTATAACTAGTTCCAGTTGGGTAATGGCTTATCACATGATATAGCGGCATGAGCCAGGTTAGGAGTGGTTGTACAAGTTGCCAGCATAAATCTGGTTGCATTCAACCCTCTTCCCATTGCCTTCATCATAGCATCCGTATCAAAACTTCTACCTAGCCATATCTCGTTATCAAGGTTCCGGTTGCTCCTCGATTAGGACGAGGAGTATTTTGAGTATAAAAGGCCGACATAATTTTTTTAGCTGGAACGTCTTTCTATTTACACACAATATCGTGACGAAGCCATTCATTGACCCTTAACGTAAGAAGTCTTTTTATTATTGAGGTGTCCTATATACGTATCGACACCTGTCTATGAACGCTTGCAGCATCATCTTCGAAACTTTGTCAAAAAACACGGAGGAAGCTTGAGCGTGGATAGGCGAAGCAAATTCAAAGGTAATGTTGAAATCAACATAGCATGACGGGTGATGGATTGATTCATGCGTGGACATGAGGTCCCCAGATAGGTTCGGCGTAAACCTCCAACTTGTAACCAATTCTTTGAAGAGGTCAGCATCTTTGGCTACAGCCTATATACAAAACGACTATTAGCTGAAGGTACATGCACAGGTGAGTTAATATTTACCTGCACAAAGGAGTATGGTTCACATGCCACTATCGATGTGTATTTTTCTTGGAACATATTAAATCCAACGCCAAGCTCGCCTTCGAATACAACCTTGTTGACAGATTTTTGACTACCACGCACGTGAGAATGATTACAGAAAGGGACAAAGTTCTTATAATCCTCTACGTTAGCCACTACATCATAGATTTGTTTTTGTGAAAAACTAGAGCTATGGAGTTAGTAACAAGTTTTATAAGCCTATTCGCTTTATCTTTACTTTAGCAACTGACGCTCGCTATATTCCTTTCTAGACAAGCTATCAAGTACAGAAAGATTGAAGAACGTTCGAGAGCCAATGGGATGTAATGGCCTTGCCAAGCTTCGAAATGCCATTTCCAGATTAAATCTTATGAAGGTATGCTGCTACGAAAAGTACAGGTACCGACCATGGTTGTTTGTGAATGGAGGGGTATGGGTTGTGTCCGAATTTGGTTATCGGCATCTAAACGAACAGCGTGTCAATACCTACCATCAATTCACATGCACTCCTAAGCACATTCCCATTACAGAGGAGAGTTTTTACTGCCAGGTTACTCTTAATAATGGTATGCGTGCATGTTTAAGCGTTCGAATACTGTAAGCAGTAATGATGATCCAATTACATGGTATCAGCAATGAAGCTCCACCTGGCATTGCGCCATCGCGGTTTGAATAAAACATGGTGCAAGAAACAGGTGCAAGACTTAATTTTATTATCTTTACTTTCTAAACATCTTGTTGAATTCACGACCGATCAACATGCGTCGAATCTCGCTGGTGCCTGCACCGATTTCGTATAACTTCGCATCACGCAGGATCCGCCCAGTTGGGTATTCATTGGTGTAACCATTGCCTCCCAAGCACTGAATAGCGTCAAGAGCGACTTCTGTAGCACGCTCGGCAGAATAAAGAATGGCTCCAGCACAATCCTTGTTGCTGATCTTCCCTTGGTCACATGCCTTACCCACAGCATACACATATGCACGCGATGCATTCAGCTTGGTGTACATGTCAGCAAGTTTACCTTGAATCAGCTGGAATTCACCAATAGGCATGCCAAATTGATGTCTTTCATGAACGTATGGAACTGCCACATCCAAAGCCGCCTGCATAAGACTGTTGTAATGATTAATATCTTCCATTACAGAATGTAAGAATGATATTTACCCTAGTGGTCCACCAGAAAGGACTAAACGCTCAAGATCGAGTCCACTCATCAAAACATAGACTCCCTTGTTTTCTTGCCCAAGCACATTCTCGACTAATATTCCTATTTAGTATGAAAAATATACACGAGCCTTGGAGCGTTACCTGGGATTTTGCAGTTTTCAAAGATCAGTTCGCATGTATTGGAGCCACGCATGCCGAGTTTGTCAAGCTTTTGAGCAGTTGAAAAGCCTTCAAATCCCTTTATGAGATTGGTTAGAACCATCACACGTATTCCAACCCATGTATCGTTACCTTTTCCACAAGGAAAGCTGTGATGCCATGAGCACCTGCTTCCGGGTTGGTCTTGGCATATACAATCAGGACGTCCGCATCGGGTCCATTCGTAATCCACATTTTGTTGCCATTCAGTACATAATGGTCTCCTTTGCGCTCTGCTCTTAGCCGCATGCTAACGACATCCGAGCCCGAACCTGGCTCTGACATGGCCAATGCACCCACATGATCACCAGAGATCAACTATGCAAGTACTTAGTATCCACAAAGGTTCAAGAATGATAATCGAGATTCACTTTACCTTTGGCAGATAGCGTTCTTTCTGCTCTTTATTACCATTTCTGACCAACTGGTTGACGCAGAGATTCGAGTGTGCACCATAGCTAAGGGCCACCGAGCCACTGGCACGAGAAACTTCCTCCATAACAAAAGTGTGTTCAAGGTATCCAAGCCCCAATCCACCGTATTCAGGAGGAGCTGTTACGCCTAATAGTCCCATTTGTCCAAGCTTCTTCCACATATCCATAGGAAACTCATTGGCTTTATCGATTGCTGCAGCGCGAGGAGCAAGTTCAGCTTGTACGAACCCATGCACGGCTTCACGAAGCTACAACATAATATTGAATATGGTGCTGATGGATTATTCAGTATACTAGTGTTTATTCCTACCTCCTCCTGCTCAGGGGACAGGTTGGCGACTGCTGTATTGTAAGTCGAGAAACAACGTGCGACGCGAAAACGTGCTGCACGAGTTATCTATGGCGTTGATTAGCATTCAGGACGCTAATAAACCTGAAGAAATATGACTTACATGGGCACTTTTGAATACTGACCGTGAGAACATCATACAGAGAAGAGAAGAAGAATACGGGGTGCGGAAGAATGCATCATGTTAAGAATGCGGAATCTGAACATGATCAGCGTGGGAAAGTCTAGTTTCATGTTCGAGTGCGCTACACTCTTCACATTGTCACAATACTTTATTACGCTAATCGCAGCCGTGACTTGCGATTTTGACATTAGCTAATGTTACTCACTGCTTTCATGCAGCGGTTGGTTATCTTACGTTATAGGCTTAAACATCACAATGAAAGCCATGTTGGGTTATCTTTGGATTATACCATTGGGCTGCTTATGTAAAAGAATTGGGAATATCCTTTTCCAATCATCGTCTTATCCTCTTGAATGTATGTTAAGCAGCTGTGATTCATGCAGAGCGAGGTACGAGTATCAATAACCATCTTGGCTTGGTTGTCAATTAAGAAAATATCACAATGATGATCGCGACAATGAAAGTAGGATAAAAAGAAAGCCCATTATGGGCCACAAAAATCAACTCTAATCCATAGGGGAGCAAGAAATGACCATTCAACACTGACATGATTATTATTCATCTTTCATAATATTGCAGAACAAGGCATCTAATTCAGGGTATCATCGCACATTTCGCTACATTCTTTGACGGTATAAGTGTCAGCTCGATACATTCATTGAGAGCGTAAATTTGATATTACTTATTATTGGATTGATAATGTTTGGAAGAAGGATTAAATAAAATTGCTGTCCTATATATTTGGTATTTACGAAACTTGATCAAGTTTCTCGTCATGGTTGTTCTTTTCAAGTGCAGAAGGATTGCTATGTGATCCTACAGCTTCATCGACCAAGTCCTCTTCGGTAATATTGCTTTGGGTGACGCGACTTGCAACGAGGAATATACCGGGAAATGAAACGATCAAAATAACCCAGCTAATAAGGCAGGACCAGCGGAGACGTACATTGGTGGCATCAACGCCGAATGCGACTGCAGCACCTGCTGACTGAACGGCCTTGTAGAAACCGGCATATCTGGAGAGGATCTTAGGGTCATTTGACATGGCACCCATGAGCCAATACATGTAAGACTGATACACGGCATCTGTAAAGCCGTAGAAGATATAGAGAACAAATGGGCCACCAAATCCTGCATGAGTCCAATGGATAGGGTCCGCATAATCATTTTCAAATGTCATTTGAAAAGCCATACCACCTCCCCAGATGGCCATCATGATTACGAACAAGATAGCGCCAGCAATGAGTGCACGGGTACGACGAGCGAGTCCTTGATAATCCAAGAGTAGGCCGACACCAAGCGAACCGAGAATTTGAAAACCCCAATACATAGTGCCGTTGAGAGCGCGTGTAGCTGCATCAAAATAAACAGCGTTCACGTGAAATTGGTAGGTATAGAAGTAGTTAGAAGCAAAGAATGCTGGAATCTACATGAATGATTATGTAGAAAGGAAGGAAACACATTAACAAGCGGTTGAGAGACAGCCATAGCAATACTTACGAGGGCAATCATACGCCACTCCTTCCACACATGAAGTACACCCATCAATTCCGTCTTCCAATCACTAGCCTTGTGAACCTCGACCTTGGTGTTATCTGAGCGAACAACACGGGATGGGCTGACAAGTATGAGAGTGAGAGCGATGCCGATAACCATAATGACAACAAATGCCACATATGTGCCAGTTTGCACACGACCGGCTTGATTCTCCAAGTTAAGGCCGAGAGTGATGAGTGATCCAAGAATACCACCAATATTGAAGAGACCCCAGAAGATAGCAACAAATTTGCCTTTGTTTTTTTCCTCAGGGTAGGCCATCATGATTGCACCTTGAGCCGACCATAATAATCCTGCACAACAACCAAGGATGGCACCTGCAGCAATAACATACCCAGAAACTTGCTTTGTGTCATAAACCCACAGAGACGAAGAATATATCGCATAGCCAAAACTTCCAACCTTTACAAAGTTATTGAGTGGGTTGTTGTTTGGGCTGTGCAAAGGTATATATGTATCATACCGTGAGAGTCCAGCGTACACCAAGCTTGTTGGTGACGGAGCCTGCAAAGAAACCGACGAGAGCAAAACACGCGTAAAGAACACTGTTGGCTGTGTTGGTGAGGGTAATATCAGAAGCCATCAAGCCACCAGCACCAAGGCCGCTAAGAGCGTTGAACATGCCGGGGCAACAGAGACAGACCAAACCCAGAAGGCAGACCTGCACCACGGGTGAGCAGTATTTGTCAAAGAGTGTTCCCATTAAAGCGGTGTGAAAGAAAAAGACAAGTGAGAAATTTGGATTCGCATCAATGAAGCTGTTTATATATTCAGTACAGCGGGTGCGAACCCTTTTGCCCTTTGGACCCTGTTTTCGTTGGTGCACAGTTTCCGTGTCTTTTTTTTTCTTTTTACGTATGTCATGTGAAATAATCGTATCAGGCGCTGCACCCTTTTGTGTCTTATCTAAGCAGGTGGGAATGGTTTGAAATGCGTTGTTTGGCTGTTGCACAATTGCCATAGGTTACACGGTATGAGTCTCTTGCAAGCCGCCCATCAAAGTATAATGTCAATGGATCATCTTTTTACATCATGTTTCATCGGCTACAGCTGCTCCTTATGTTCTAACAGTGGAATAGTGTCCACGATTATAGTTAACCATGCCATGTATGTCGATGGAGCGCTTTGGGTGACACCAATATTGAACATTGCGCGCATGTGCCACATGTACGAGTGTACAGTTATCATGAAACGGCGAAACTCCACTGACCTTTGTGTTACTTTCCCCACACCCAAGTTTAACCCTCTTTTTCACTCTGATCTAATTGTTTGCTTAATGCCTGTTGCTGGGTTTAATGCCATATCGTGTGATAAATAGCTAGAGGAATCTTTCCAAAGAGCACTTGGTATCGAAAACACGTTGGACTGCGCTTGAATAAAGTGACCTCTTGTGGGAAAGAACAAAAGTTTGTTTTTAGCAATGGATCTGGTGATATTCCATGAGCAACATCGAGTTTGTGTTCCTATTGTGCCCTGTGGTCCTTTTCACACAACCTTCCACAGTTATTGGTACACGTTCAGGGTCATCACAAAGTACACATCAGGGTCCTGTCCTTATGTATACATCTAATACTTCGTTATTGAAGGAAGAGGTGATGCCATTGAGATCACCACTAAGACGGTATCATCCGCGGCTCGAGCGTCAACTGACCCACTCTATGCATCAACGATTGTACGTATCGTAGCATCTGGAGGTCGATAACCAATCTACATCGTATCTTTTTACTTTCCTTTTGTAGACATACCCGGTTCTTGTATAGTAAGACAGGATCCAGGTTCCACTGTTGCTTATGAAAAAGCAAACAGGGTCTTCGACATATGGCCGCAGTCAACGTGATTGGTATTTCGGAGCCCCAACTCAGGCCTTTCTGGACATGACCCAATTCCTGTTTCAGCACACGCAAAAAAGAGGGTGTTTATGGCCTGATCCAGGTATTGTTGGTTTCAAAATTACGTAAAATCCAGGTTGGACCCTTTGTACTGACAGCAGGGTACGTATAATGTGATAACATAGCGAGCTTCTATTGGTTTCAAGTTGTTCTAAACGGGCATGGCGGTAAAACGCACACTTGGTAGTCTATTGTCTCTATCGAAGCAAATTATCTCGTCATTTGAACATGTCTAGTAGCAATGGGATATCATGTACAAAATAAAAATCGTAAGGGGGAGGGAGCTAATGTACATAGCACCCAGCAGCCAGCACAAATCCAAGGTCATCCATTAGATACTTATAGCACCGCACATATTGCCAAAACGACCATAAGTCGATATAAATGTCCTTTTGTAAACTGTTATCGTGCGATTTGTCATCAAACTTGCATCCCTCGCTCACCGGTACGATATTATAAAAGACATAAAGTAACACAAATATTCTCAAACCCAATTTAAGGGAAGTCTTGTTTTCACTGTCAAATCTCCAGCTAGTTATTACAGATCAATCTAGGATGCAGATACAGGTAAATGGATTGCATATTTATACCGACGTGATATCCTCAGATACATAACAAGTGTAATTGAAATGTGTGTAAGCGGTACAATAATGATCGCAAAGCATCGGGGGAATTGGGGATGTTAACGAAGGACCATAGTAGGCCAAGGGAAAATGTCTTGAAATCGACGTTTACGCCTGAATACCATTGTAGACGAGTAAATTAGATGTATCAGCAGGAACTCCCGAAAGCCTATCCTTGCTGGATAGCGCAATGATCTTCTCCTTGACGTCCTTTGGGCTCATTACATCATCTGACAAGCTCAAAAAGTAGGCTGCCAAACCAGCCACATGTGGAGAGGCCATCGATGTACCCGAAATAGTGTTGGTTGCATATTTGCTTCCTTTCCACACAGATTCAATGTTGAGACCAGGAGCAAACACATCGACACATGGCCTATTGAGAAACGTCGGTGTTACATTAAAACGGTATTGTGGCTATGCACCTTCGTTCCTTACCCGTAATTGGAAAAGTATGCACGGTCATCGTACAAAGTAGATGCACCAACGGTGATTGCCTTTTCCGCAGCAGCTGGTGAATAGTTGCATGCATCACTGTTATCGTTTCCAGCAGCAACAGCAAAGACCATTCCAGTATCAACCGCCTGGGCATAGTGATAAAAGACGTAGTATTAAGTAATGAGCATTCTAGTGCTTCTTTCGAACCACAAAGTGACTTACGCCGTTTATAGCAAGATCAAGAGAAGGCGATTTACCGCCACCCAAGCTCATGTTGGCCACTGATCCTTTGAATGCTTTCCCAGCTTTTTTGGCAGCGGTACCATCCTTGATATGCTGAGACGTTGCCCAATCAACGCCACGAACAACATCCGACATGGTGCCTGAACCATTAGAACGCAAAACCTTGACTGCTATAGGGTGGGCATGCTTTGCAACACCATACTTTTTACCAGCAATTGTGCCAGCGCAGTGGGAGCCATGGCCATTGCCGTCCTCATCGTCATCGCCAGTTGGAATAGTTTCACCCCAAGAAGCACGGCCTTCAAAATCAACGTGTTCAATGTTGATGCCTGTATCAATAACGTAGACTTTGATATCCTTGCCACCACCTGCTTCATATTCGTATTTGTTGAAGGTGTTGAATGATAGCCGTTTGCGATGGGAAATCCGTGCAAGGCCCCAAGGTGCAATGCGTTGGAGCTCGCTGGTGTAAACTAAAGAGTCCTTCTCAACAAAGGCAACCTGATGATATAGTTGCTGATTAATACATTGTCATATTGTGGCGTTGTCATGTTCCCTTAAGCCTACATCTTCCGACCGCCTGATAAACTGCAAGGCATCACGTCCAAATCGGCCTGCGTAGCCCTTTAAATTTGGCATATCATAGACATGGCGTATGCCAAATGAATCTGGTCGTATCCAACTATCCAAAATCCCTTGGTTTTGTTCAGAAGCGAGTGTCTGAACCCAACTGGTATGTTCGTTGACCTTTTCTTGATCGAGGTGATTCTTGAGCACGACAATGTACGCATCGCTAACTGACTCAACATCTGCTGGTGCATATAAAGGAGCCACAGCACCGTCCATAAAATTGGGAGGCGTCACCATGGGAACGGCAGCCACGGTTGTGGCAATCAAAAACAAGCTAGCAGCAACAGTAAGCTTCATTATGGTTATACGGAAGAAGCGGACTGGACCTGGCCACCGCTTCATGCACGAGATTGGGGTATTTCCGGTCCTAATTAAGTCATGTGATATCTTACTTTAGGTCATTGATCCCATGGCACATCATGTGAAGAGGCAGTGTAGAACCATCATGCATACTCACTATAAAGCCCTATCGAGGTGGAGCAAGTTTTCCTATTCTAATCAATTAAAGTAGGCCCCAAAAGCGATATACGATGTATCAGATGTTGTCCGTGTGCTTCATACTGCAGTTCCCATACGAAATTGAATCATTGAGCCTTTCAGGATAGGTGCTGTTCGCGCTACTGTAGTCAGTACATGATGCGTTTAATGATTTTACGGAAACCCCCTTATGCTTCACAATGACAAATTTGATCACAGTTACACCTTCCGCTCAATGAAATAGCCTTAATCTTTATCATTGATTTTCATTATATGTGTAGATGTACAAGAGAACTCTGGTAAACATAATCTGGGCTCTACTTTTTCGATCCACGTGCTCTTCGCCGATCGTATTCATGAGAGTGCTCATATTTGGGTAATCTATCATCAGATACATGTTAGGGATATGCTTATTAGATGCATGAATAAAGAAGTGCAGCTTACTCTGAAGGATTAGCAGGTCCAGGGCTAGTGTAAAAGTAGTCATGATCCAGAGCATCCAGGGCAGTGAGTCTTTTATGATGATCCAAGACCAATAGTTTATCCAACAAGTCTACAGCCAATGGGTCATATTTGTAGAATTCGTCCTTGAGACGCCGTGGAGAGGATTCAAACTGGAATTTTGATGCATCAGGTAAATTTTGCCATCCTGGCATGTTAGACTCGTTGGGTGAACCACAAAGATGGAAAATCCGTTTCAGTTGATCGATATCATCAGTTCCTTGTAGAATCGGGCGTAACTTGAGTAGCTCTCCTAGTATGCAGCTATGGAAACACGATATCAACAGCTGAATTTCTTGCTCCACAGTGTGTATATATTACCCTACACCCCACATATCAATCGCCGATGTATAGCGTCGTTCGCCTAAGAACAGCTCGGGTGGCCGATACCAACGAGTTACCACACAGCTAGTATATTCTCGGTTTTCTTCTTCGACTCCTCGCGCCAAACCAAAGTCTGCTATTTGGAGTATTCCCTCGTTGTTGATCAAAAGATTAGCAGCTATGCATATCTATTTAGCGATCTGTCAAACCTGGTTCTGTGATGATTACCTTTAATATCGCGATGAAGGATCTTGTTCTATATCATGGAAAGATATTAATATACATGTCATTAGTACCATCACATAGGATTACCTACATGGTGTAGATATGCAGTGCCTTCTAATAACTGTTTAATGTACGTCTTTACTTGAGGAGTGGTCAATCTCAACGATGGATTTTCGAGTAATCCTGCCAGGTCGTGATCCATATAAGGAAACACCATGTACACGCTGCCTTGTTCCTTTTTAGCCGGGTCGCCTATGTATCCTTATTAAAAACATCATGATACAATAAATGTATACGTTGCTTACCTCGATCCACCGCCAGATCTGTCAGTGGGACAATGTTTTTATGCCTCAGTTGCTTTAGGATTTTGATTTCGCGAATGGCAGTAATAGGGATCTATTAAATCGACTCGTAAGCGACGTTTATGATAATGTTCGATAGTTACATACCCCCTCTTTCTCATTATGCATTAGGATGCGTTTCAATGCAACGACCGCACCAGTGCTCTTGTGTACTCCTTTGTGTACCTCACTGCCATTATTAATCAGATTATATGCATATCATATCTTAGCTTGAGTCAAATCTTACCCAAAGGTACCTTCTCCTAGTTTTTGTTGGAACTGGTATTCTTTAATCTGCGACGCCCCCACAAATTGTCGCTTGTGATTGGGACCATGGCGGGAAGCATGTCGATTGTGCGTTGGCGAGGTAGATAGAGAAGCCGGCGATACTGTGTTGTTGATCGTGTCTCGCGAACCGTCGTTAGTAAGCCGACTTTTGTTGTAGCGCTCTTCGATAAAACCGCCGTCTTCAGTCTGCGATCGCTTCATTGTAATCGTCAAGGAAGAAAACCTGAGTACGTATATGGATGGCGCTCACACATTTTCAGATAGAGTGAGTGACTCTCCGACAACCCAGCTCCTTGAAGACGCATGGATCAGTTAGAAATGGGTAGAAGTGTATTTGTATTTGCATGGGGGCAGAAATAAAGAGATAGAAGTGAGTGAGTGCGAGAAAGGAAAATATACAATAAAGAATTACTATACAATGGAAATGAGACACGTTGGCTAAATACAAGCGTCCCTTAGGTTGTTCTGCTATGGAAATTTACATGTCGTGGTTATTGAATCTTTCTTTTTTTCGTCTTTTTTTGCTTCGTAGTCGGTTGCTCAACAACACCGTGGATACGATTCCGCATCTCCTTGCCACAATTATTCTTGTAGTAACGTTCAAGTCGTTTGCCTTGTTGATGAACAAACGTAATTGGAGCATTGTAGCTGTAGCAGTTGTTGAACATGAGTATCAAATCATCATCCACTTGCTGCAGGCTATTGTATTGACCCGATTCCAGTTTTTCTGATATGGTCCGTAAATCGATCGGCTTCTCTACAATCGTTGGGTAATCTGGAAAGAGGCTAGCGTCCACAGGTTCATGGAATATCGTTCCAGCATCATGCGAATGTAGCTTGCTAACAACTTGTCGAGCAAGATCCAACTCTTTTCCTTCCAATTTGCCAGGAACACCAAACTTGTTTGCCCATTGTTTGTTGAAATAAGCTTCCAGAGATTTCGACAGCTGACCAATAACAGAGGACGCATTGTTGTATCGATTACAATTCCAAAATATTTGACGCACATCCATTTCGAACTCCTTAAGATTCGTGTACTTGTTCTTTGCTAGATTACGCTTGATTGTTGATAGATCCATGGGGCGCTAAAACACATTAACAAGTTATATAATCGTACTTCTGCAAAGAAAGGGATTTTTATACCTTAATTATCTCATGGTAATCGGGGATATTGAGTGCGATTGTGTCCACCTATGTAGATCGTTATTAATGATTCGTGCGTAACAACGTAAGGAAAGAAGACACATACTGGATGCTGAAATGGTGTGGCTGCTTCGTGATTCCACAACTTGTCCAAAATGCGTTCACAGCGACGTTTAGTGCGGCCTTGTATTTCTGTATTCTCATCATCTTGGGAGATGGGTGATAGGCCAAGGTTGATATTTTCAGGCACATGAGAATGAGACATGTCTTCTGCTTTCCGCTTATTCCCAAACCATCGAGACCATTCCTCAGAGTAAGCTTCTTCAAGTTGCCGTGCTTCATTGTACACGTATGTCTGCGGCGGATTAAACTTGTAGCAGTTGTTGAGCATCAAGCGTACGTCCTGGTCAAATTGGTCCGGAGTTTTGTATTGATGATTGCGAAGCTTCGCCTTTACAGTGCCTAGATCCATGGGATGTTTGATCACATTGAAGTATTGTGGGATTCCTTGTTTGACAGGATCTACTGGCCGTAAAAACTCAAACGCATGCGGATTCTCCATAACGCTGGAAAGTATAATGGCACATTTTTCCATGTCGCTCTTCTGCTCTGGCTCCGACTCGGGTTTATGTACAAGTGTAAGATTCTGCGTGGGAGCTTCGACAATGGTAATGTTTTGAACTTTCTCTTTGCCACGAAGTTCGACAAGTTCATCATCAAAGATTGATTCGAGTGCCTGCCCCTCGTTGTAGACGAAAGTTCCTGGCCTGTTGTATAGATAGCAATTGTTGAAGATTAGGCGGATATCATGTTCGAATTCATCAAAGGAGGTATATATGTTCCTTTCCACCTTTGTCTATTGTTCAAAGGGTAAATAAATAGCTTACAAAGGATGGATGACAAATCACTCACCTTGACTGTCCCGAGATCCATTGGGTGCCTATAAACATGCCATGAGCATACGTTCCTTATAAACAAAGCCATAACTTACTTTATAATCTGGTAGTAATCTGGGGCACCATCAAGATTTTCATCAACCGGTTGAAGAAAGAGAAGAGCAGAACGATGCTTTTGAAGCTTGCCCAAGATACGCTGACAGTCTCGCCGTTGATCTGCGGATAGGGCTTTTGGTGTGGCTGGAGCTGTGGGTTGAATGGGTTCGGGAGATGTTGTAGACGAAGGCGGTGGTGACATTGGTGCAGTCTTTTTCGGTTCAGCTTTGACTCGGATGATATTCTTCTTTGGAGGCTCATTTTCAGTTGACGTCTCTTTCTGGATAGGCTTAGCAATACTGATTCGAAGCAATGGTGTCGATTGCGTTGGCTTTTCGTCTGGCGTGGAATCCTTTTCTTCAGGTAATGATACCTACAATAGGAAAGCGGTTAGTGCAAAGAAAGGAAAAAGTACGCACTAGGATCATTACTTCAGTAGGAGGCATCCGAATTGTCACCTTCAATGCAGATTCCACAGGCTTATACATGTACTCGCAAAGTTGTAACAGGTATTTACGAATGCAATGATCTAACAACGGTAATGTTTCTGCAGATCTTTTTAAGCACATCAGTATCAAATGGGGCAATAGTACTTTCGTTTTCTCTTGCACTTACGTCAATAAGTCCCAGAGTTTCCCTTGTAGATCAATGTCGTTCTCAAAGCGCCTCCGAAGACTCTGGATGCTCTCATCAGTTGCCGAACGCACGTGTGATTGATTTTGCTGATCTTGGATAGCCACATGGCCTTCCTCCTCGGCAAATTCTTCGACGGTGTTGTAATGTCCGTCCTGTAGCTTTTCTTTCATAGCTAATCCAAGCCAAGCAAGCATCGATCGAGCGACATAGTGTGATACGTGAACCGAGGGGTCATGTTTGATGATACTGAAGATGTAATCGGTGAAATCATTGTTAGATAGCCCGCAGATAACGAGGAGACTGTCGAAAGCCGCACAGCGTACACCAAAGTAATTGCCATATCTACGTTAAAATGTAAACATTAGTAGTTGAATTAGTATTCGAAATAGCAATGAACAAACCTGGTGTAGAGCAGAAAGAGTTTCAGGTCAACATCCATCAGTCCATTTACCATTAATTTGGTCAAAGTCTTTTTCAGGAATAAAGTTGCATGTTAGCGTCAGCACTATGCCAGTTAAACGAAAACCTACCTGGAGGCAACTGATCGTGACAACGTTATGATAAGAAGGAACCACGTAATCCAGTGTCCTGAACCGCTCAATCTCTGCTTTGGCTGCTTCCAACAATTGTTCACCTTCCATGCCATCCATATGCAATGCTGCATTTATATCAGCGGATGAAGGAATGAGAGCATCCCCTAGGGCGGATATCACGGTTGCGACATAGTAATTATCCGAGAACTAAAGATTGTATTAGCATTTTTTATGTGTGCATAATAACGCAAGCATACCTCGTTGCCAGTGTTGTCATTGTACTTTAGCAGATCGAGGAGGAATTGACGCAATTTCAGAGGTACCAGACCATATTCATCTCGAACGTGAGAAAACGCAATAATGCTGGCTTTTTGGATAAAGTAATTGGGAAGGTTCGAAAAGTCGTTAGGCCTGGGAACACCGGAAACCAGTGGAATGCCATCGTCAATGTCCATATGAGGCGAGGAACTTGGAAAACAATAACGTGTGTAGAACATTTTGCTCAATTGCAAAAGACCAACCCAATCGATATTCGGAAGTGCACACTAGGATTGACGTGTAAGAACCATCATATATCAACATGAAGTCCATTGGATTGTTTACCGAAGCAAGCGCGTAAGCAGATTCCATGCGAATCTTATAAAAACATTTAGGATCCAACAAAGAACGTAACAGGCTCGTGGAAGTCTGAAGTGAAGGCATTTGCTTCAGCGCACATAAAGCCTTTCATTTGATATACGAAATTATTCTGTCAGTTGATCAATCTTGAGTATATTAGTGTGATCTTACCTCATATTGTGCAACCACATCACGATCCTTTGTCAACTGTGCAGCCCACATATAATCAGGTTGTTGGAATTCAAGCTTGCATAACCACTCAAACTCGGCATCTAGGCGAATCCAGTCGAATGTTGCACTAGCTGCGCCACTGGTATCCTCTTCATCTTGACCCCATTCTGTAACGTGCCATTCTTTGCGCTCGTCATCATTCTCAAATACTGCCATACCAAGACCGAGCATTGGGGTGATACCCAGATCAGTTGTTCCACCACCAGCATTTTCTTGATCATTCTCAGCGTCTTCCCCTGCCACTGCTGCAGCTGCAGCCGCCTGCTTAGCAAGGAATCGTTTCGTATTGCGACGAATGCGCTTATACTTGGTGTTGAATTGTACTTCAAACTTGTGCGCCATATTTTGTATGTCAAGAATATGCTCATAAGGAGTACCATCAGCTTCATGAATCCGTGCCGTCAAATTGCCCGTAAATATTGGTGTGGCAAGATAGTCCGTGAGATTAACTCCAGCCTGGGCATTACTGTTCTCCTGCTTCATATAAAACTCAACAACCATCTTTTTTCGATTGAAGATGTATGAAAATGTGAACTTGGGGCAGCCACTCTTGTATATCCACTGGTCGGCAAAGATACGCGTGTCATAGCCACTGATTTTGCGACACAGTTTGAGAAAGTAATGGGTGCTGATAAGGTTCTGGGCAAGTTCACCACTCATAGCTGACAAGAGGATGTTGGAAATGACGCGTGAGAGACCAAAGGCGCTACCGCCTTTGCACATACGCTTGTCAAGCATATATAGGACTAGAGGTGCCTTCAGATTAACAAAATCGAGATCTTCTGGGTCAAGCGGTGACGGCAGTGCTTGGTTGTAAAGCGGAGCTCGATCCACATCCAAATTGTAGCACAACTCAATATCCTAGTGAAAAACCATAAATCAGTATCCTGGTGGGTGGTCCCAATGGTATTATCACATACCCGTTTTAGCCGTAAGCGATATTCGCTCATGCCAAGAAAACGTTTAATAAAGAATGATGCCATCAAATTGGCTAATCCACAGATCAACCAGATATCAGGCCATGCTTTTTGCGATATATGGACTCCAAACCATTGACGAGCTAGTGCCAAGCTCAAAATCCGACAGGAGTGATATGTTTGGTCGATAATGTCCGGTGGATGTAAAAGATGAGAGCTACAAAAGACCGTTAGCATTGAGAATGCAATCGTCGTACATACGATATCGCACCTGCAAATGCTCATTGACGCAGTAGTCGATATATCACTCCAGGCATCTTCGATGAAGACGATCTTGTAATCATTGAACGGATAAGAACCATACTCCTGGCCATAAAAATGCATAGCCTTTTAACGAGTCAGTGCTGATTTTGAGCTATGTCGAATACTACTTACATGCATAAGAAATGTACAAGTGTTGATAAGTGCATCCTTTTGGCCTGGGAGAGCAAATGCGTAGATATTCGACATCATGTTGATTTCTGCTAGCAGACATTGTTGCTGGTTTTCATCGAGATCGGCGTCAACCAATAGCTCATCTTGAAGCTGAGAAGGTGTAAGTTTGATCATCTCAAATGGTCCAACAGCGAAACCGATAAATGGGGCAGCAGTGGGGACCGGAAGGCTGTAACGGACAATCTTCTTTGATGCATCCATAGGATGTATGACCTAATGGTAAGTAGGTAAGGATCAATGGAAAATGTATGCATTTCGAGTAAATTTTACCTGCTCCGTCATTTCACCACTACATATCACCAGTGTCTCCTCTTCAGGATCGTGTGAATTCTCCATATCATTTAGATAATGCATAGACCTCATTCTTCGAGGCACAATAAACTCCATATCCCAAGTACATCGATCTGACACAGTATCTATGCAAGGAAGCCATGTGCGTGTAGCTCCAGGAAGCGGCTGATTTACAGTATATACATGCTGATAACGCTATACGAAGACATAAAGCAATTTAATCAAACATACGCCTTTTAAGCCAATGGGTCTTGTATAGGAAAGCTTACATAAGGAGCGGCGTTGATATCTGGTTCGACAAAGGCAATGCCATTACGCGGTGTATCGAGCGTATAAAGGATGCGAATCGTGAGAGGAGAGAAAGTCATTCCTGACCCAGAAGAAGAATCATCTTTTGTTGGAGTACTGCCACCTTGTAGTGTTGTGGATAGATCTGTAGTAATGTGATGATTGGTATCGGGAAGCTAAAATGGTGAAATTAGCATGATGAACAACCTATACACATATATAATTAATCTCACTTGTTGGATGCAATTGGATGGTAGTGAAAGTGTAAGTTCGCCCCTATCAGACTCTCGGAGAGCTGCCAGGTATTTGCTTTTATAAGCTTGATGGTGTGCGATGTTGGCATCGTCATCCAGCTTTATCTCGGTAAGAGGGTCCTTGTACACAAAATCAACAGGGATATCATTGACAAACGCTCGCTGGATATCTTTTTTTTTTCCGAGTTAGAAAAATTGGAGACCATGACATGAAGATAGCTTACTGCATTGTCGACAATTTAATTGTATACTGGCTATTTTATCATGCAATGGTTGGAGAATTATCTCTGTCGTGCCCTAGAGTGAAGATATGGGTTGGCTTTGTAAAGCGTGATGACACCTTGTTCAATCAACCTACTTGACAGAAGCGTTGATCGGGATTGATCTCTAAGACAAACCGTTCATGGCTCGTAAAGAAACTTATGTCAGCTTTTTTTTGAAGCGTTGGTGGGTCAAATACAAGGATACTTATAATGAATAGGCGTTTATAGTGGCGTCCCGCTGCATGGTCGCATCATCCAAAAGAGATCGCCTTTTTCTTTTTCGCCTCCAGGTTACAGCGCTTTAAATTTGCCAGCTTTTTAATTCAAGTCACATCTGTCACCACACTTTATCTTTCTTCCCCACATGTTTGACGACGAAGACGAACAAGAGTTAGAACTATTACGACAATACGAGGAACAAGAGGGTGACGTTCAACACCAAAGTTCAGAGTATGTCAACTTGAATCAAAGTTAGAATAATAAGCTGATTGTGTATTTCAAAGGAATGAGCTAGACAGCGATCTTGAAGATACTATTATGAGTATGGTCCAGTATGGTTCAAGTCAAGCGACGACTAAACCAAAAGAGACCTCCCATCGAGACGACAACCAAGATACCAGCAGTGAAGATGACACGAGTGTTTCGACAGCGTCGGAAAGTCAAGTGGATAGGGTGGATGATGATTCGAGTCTACCCAGCAACGAGGAGCTGCAGGTTTCAACAAGTAGCGTTCATTCATCAGAGCCCCGTGTGACACGAGTGATTGATCTTGGAGAAAAGCCAAAGTATATGGACGAAGAGGAAGAAGATGAAGAAGAACGTGAATTGAATGATGAGCTACAAGATTTGATCCAGTCTCAGGTATTGTATCTTGTGATCACGAGGATCCATGATACATGGTACATGATACTAACTTCTAATGATAGATTGAACAGCGTCAATCATCAAGGCGTAGTTTCAAGCCTCGTAGAATCCAGCTTTGTTTTACATGTTTACGACCAGGGCACGACCAGAGAAATTGCAACGTCGTAGGTACCAACAAGGTTCATTTGGGTGCATTAATTAACCACGAGAATCAGTGCTCGGATTGTGGTCTTGAAAAGCATCCACGACACTGTCCAGGTCTTCGATATTGCTTAAGGTGTAAACGACGAGGGCATGAAGCAGCGGTATGAAAAAAATGGATGTTTAGATTTGATTTACTTATACTATTTATTAGGAATGCGTGCATAGATATGAACATGGGTCATGCAAAAGATGTGGTCTATCATACCATAATACTGTTGTAAGTTGTACATAGGGGATTGGAACGTGGGGTAATGCCGAAGTCTAAAATGATACCGCAGCATTGTCCAAGTATAGTACACAGGTATAAAGGTCAAAGCACACCGGTTGCACATGTAACACCTTATTGCTACTTTTGTGGTCGATCTCAGCATTATGGAGATGTAAGTAATTGTAATTACTCTCATGGAAATCAAGCTAATATCAGTTTTCAGGAATGCCCCAGACGAGGACACAATCTCCATGACGTGATGTCTCCGTTTAGCAACAAAAATGCAACCTTGGGAACACGCTTTGAAATGCAACACAATATGAAAGCCTCGGCTAGCGCGTTCGCTGAAAGCAGACACAAGCGATGGAAAGATTCAGATAGCAGTGAAGGAAGTCAACAAAGAGATTCGTCAAAGAGAAGAAAACAGCAGCACAACAAGCCATCATTAGATGATTTTTTCGAGAGAAATGGATCACATACCAGAGAAAGATTCAACAGGGCGCAAAGACATTCTCCTCCACATCGTACTATGGGAACACAATATACACAGCTTCAACGTGGACATGGAAATAACAACTGGAATAATATACCGAGACCCACACGCTCAGGCACTGTCAATATCAATGACCGGTCAAGTATGGATTTCCCGCGTAGCGGTGCAGCAGGCGGTCTCCCAAAACCCAGCTCAAGTGGCGTGATTGATATTCCAAGATGGAATCACCAGCAACAGCAACGTGGACCTCGTTTCCGAGGAGGATATTCCTCAAGCCGGTGATATAAAAATAAAGCGAATGTGGGGAATACTTGCTTATTCAATATATTATGGTTCACATGGTAATAGTCTTCGGCGTGGATGGGTGATATTATGTGTGTCACCATTGCTTTATAATTGTGAAAATATCAAAAAAAGAAATACACTTGCTATCTTGATTAGCCTTTACTATCATTTCAATAAAATGGAATTAACTATCACAAGTGAGATTTGTATCCAAACTTTCGACAAGAAAGGTAGTTTTCTCAAGAGGCCGTTGCTGTTGGGAGATACACAGCTGCAAACGATGTGGGCCATTACCCCATTTAGGAGATGAAAGTCCGACCAGCCGAATTTTTTGTTACAAATCTGTTCGCGCTCGCCGTTTTCTTCTCTTCATCTTTTTCTTTCTCAGGTACATTCGAGCACTGCGTTTCCTCACGGTTATGGATGTTCCATTACCGTCACTGGTGGTTCGAAATGACCACTGCAAATCATCAGTTTATATGGAGCGTTGTTCATCGGCTAGCCCACCACCTCCCTACGACGATGCTGTACGAGAAGTTGCTTGGCCTTCTACTGTGAGTTGTAGCTATCGATGTTTTGCAAAACCAAAATAACCAATTTTCAAGATTGACCAGACTGTAATGCATATGGAGGAAGCAGTGGAAAACACGCACGCTATGTTACAGCGTATGAAGGGCAATCTGAGTCATTTCCATCAAACCAGCCAAGCGCTGATCGACAATCTCGAAAGGTACAAATAGAAATATACACATTAAGGTTTTCATGTTTACATATATGTAATTTGCAGATCAACACGACATGACGAACATAACGATAGTGACAACGATAGCGATAATGATGATTTGGGACGCATCTCACAATCACTCCAACAGCTTATTGAGCAAGCTCAAACGAGTCTGAAAACACGCATGGCAATCCGCGATCCGACTTGCATGACCGTACACCGTTCAGTTTCATGTCCGCAGCTCACAACAGTGTTTGACGAACAACAACATCCTCGTCGGCAAAGTACTCCCGACGAAATGGAAGAGGACACTCGTCGTCGGTCACTTGCCCGTGCATCCACCCTTTTCAATGAATCACCAAGTTTTCGAGAGCAGCAGAAACGATACCTTGATAGTCATTGGCGACTCACCACCGCTATGCAGGAACTTGTTGACACTGTAAACACTTGTCAGCAGGATAAACCTTCTCATGTTTCACAAAATCATTCATTGCAGCATTATCAATACCCCATTCCACAACGCCGACGTACCCTTCGCAAAGCCAAACAAGTACAGCATATCCACCATCATCATTATTACCACTCTTCCCCACAGGTCATTGTACAACAACCACAACAACAGCATTATCCACCACCTGCATCAATCTCCATTAGCCATCTTTTTACCCACGTTTGGTCTTCTTTTCGCTCCTCACTTGTCCACCATGCTTCTCAGCATCGTCAGCGCTCAAACTCACTACAGCAACGACGGCTTTACCAACCCTCTACCACAGCAAAGTCGGATGATACAACGTCAAGAATAGACGACCGACAGCATGTTGACTCGCCGCTACACTCCTCCACAGATCAAAAGCCGCCGTCTCCTATTATACTCCCATTAGCCCATTCGAATCTTCTTCGCCTTATGCTTTTTGCTACTCTATTGCTTTTCTCGTTTATGCATCCAACAACCGAAAAGACGAGGAGTAAAAGAGTTGTTGCCTCACAACGATGTGTTGGGCAGTTCATCAATACGTCATCTGAGCGACTTCCTGTATCCACATGGATCCAACGATCTTGTCTCGTGGTCTATATCCTTGCTTTCTTGTAGATAGTACACCCATTATTCTTTGCTTTGTATATGTGTATCACTGTATGAATTGTATGTATGATATATGCTAATTGTTGCATGATAACTTTTCTGCCAAGCTTTTCTTGTGCGTATAACTACCATTGAAAGTATCGTTACTTATATAGCTAGTGGTGGTGACTGGAAAAAGTACTCATCGTGTTACATCACACGTGTTCACCGAGTAACATTTGAATATTGGATGCTACTTGCATCTGCCATCTTCGGCAGACTATATGATTGGGCTGGAGCTTATGGTTGAATGGACGTGCAATACAGCGTGCGCTGTTAAAGAAGTTGTGGGGACCATTACTCCAATCATTTTGTGTCTTGTACCTGCGTATACTGTATGTGCAACTCTGGATTGTAAGTCATTATGGGAAGATTCGCAGTATATACCTTCACTCACAAAACTCTAGAGCCCCTACCAAGTCGCGTTTGTATGCAGGTGATATCGCTGTTCTGTATTTCTTGACCACAAAGTATACCATGTGCCAATTTGAAGGTCGATTACTGTTTACTTGCCATCCTCAAACAAGCATCTCATGTTACCACCACTTGCTTTGATTACTCTTTGTACTGCTACTTTGGTGTCTTCTTACAACATATCCCGTGGCCAAATAACTGACCATGCATTTAAGCTAGTAAATCCACATTGAATTATTCAATTGCAGTGTCCGTGATATCTCATTTATTCGAAGACACGTATTACTATGAAGGCAAGAATTTCGAGAGGGATAATGGTATCAAATCCAAACCCAAACCCAACCATATTAACGTTCGATTTACAAATGGTCCGCTAGTGAATAGATATCATAGTTGTGGTGGGGAGGTGATACCCCATTTCCATAGACGAATTCGTGCTACAATACCAACGATGACGAAGAGCAAAGCAACCCAATGTAACCACATGAGCTTTTCCGACCATAAGTTGCTGATCATGTAATCGGCTCGAACTCCAAGCTGCGCCGTCAACCAGACGAGAACCAAGAGGATGTAGCCTGTCATACGATGGAATTTCCATAGTCGTTTAGCTGTAGCGACATTTCCAAAGATGAGGGATGGCGTGTAGGCGATCAATAGACCAAATAAGCTTTGACAAAAGAGGTAGCAAAACAAAGCGAGTCCGAGTTGTCCATGCAACCTACAATAGATCCATTAATCCAAGAAAGGCATATAGAAGATTTGGGTCAAAGTACTTGCGATGTAAAGTGCTCTTTATCGGACACTACTTTGTTATAAACGATCGCTGTAAAGCCGATGATGGCGCTAATGTATCCAACCACTTGGACGATAGCATGGTGTCGTAAGCCTCGCTTCTTTTCTTGCGTTGTTCGTGTTGATTGTAGCAATGCAATTCCTGTGATGCGAATACGTCAAGCAGTGATACCAGTAACTTGGTGTTATGATTGCTTACCTTCGGTACAGCATGTAACAAACAATATCATAAATATGGGGTGGTACGTGAAGAGGTTGAATGGAAGGCGAACCAACACGGAAACAACGAGACCGATAAATAACAACAGACCAGCATTCAAGACAATAACAGATGCCTTGTCCTTCAACGATTCTCGTGAATGGATCTTCATAACGTTGAGATTGAGGAGTGGAGTACTTTCAGTTGTCATTGTAATAAGTCATTCCTGCCTGGAGAAAACAAGGGACGACAAAAGTGCGTGCGTGCAATAAATGGTTTGTACCGAGCGCGTTCGTCAAATTTCCTTTGAATTGCGTGATGCCCTGTTATGATCCCCAGTTGCCTTGGAAGGGCGCGTTGGTATGTCATGATCCAAGCACATCATCTGTAACGCTGACATTGTCCATATCCTCTTATTATAGATCAACAATCATCAGCGAATTTTGATGCTTGATATTGTGGGATCTGCACATTCCAACATGCTGCGTGGGATGGTCATTGTGCGTCTAACAGTGCAACAGCGAAAAAACAACGAGAGCATGAATTAAGAATAGCGTGGCATTGTCTAGCGCTCTCGTAAACATGCTGTCTAGAGTATAAATATACCATTAATACACACGCGATTTTCGCACGCTCTTGATGCATCTTGGAACGAAGATATCGGTCCCGTGATGGATTAAAATGGAAAACCCAGTATCTAAAGATAATAACAGGGGCTGTCTAATTGAATTAGACTTTACACGAGAGTTCCAATCAGCATGCTTGGATTTTGATGTTTCACATTTATAGTTGACGTATGGCTCCACAGATATGCGAGAGCATAGTACCAATCCAGAGGATTTTGGCCGTCAAATCGGAATTGTTTCCAACAAAAGTGCATTCTTGAATATCATGTGGGGTTCGTTTGCTGGCCAATGATTAATCTGAATCTTTGCCGCCTACCGGATTGCTTAATGTACATCCCCGACAACTAAAGGGAAGAGCATGCTTTGTTTGTCAGCAATGCTACTATTACCAGACAATGTTACCGGATTGAACCGGTTATCGTGATTCATGAGCAACCATTGTTCCCACGGGAGAATCGACGACGGAGTTGATGCAAAATGATCAACCACTTAGAACGCGTTTTGTTATCTTTCAAGATACAGCAGCTTATCATTTCCATCTTTAGCCAATGCCGTTTCCGGGCATCAGTATCTTTCCATCATTTGCATTGGAACAGCAAAGGAGACATTACAAGGAGAAGTATGGTACGAAGAAATAGATGCAGTGGTATTGAAGAGATGATGGCACATAGTGTCATGTTGCAATACAATAATAGCAGCGTCCTCCTACGAAATTAACTAAAATCGACATGCTTCTCTGCTCTGGGAATGCAAAGTACACACGTGATAAGATCCTGGCAACATCTTATCAGTAAACCTGAATAAAAGCTGCCGATGATAGAGATCGGGCTGCTCTGTGTTCCTTCTCTTTCGCACATTTGTTCTCTCCCCCAAACCTACATCATACAGCAATGGAGCATGCGCATTTATACCCTGAATCGATTTATGGATCTAATAAACTACACGTCGGTACCCAACCACTGGAGAATGTATTGAGTAGCATAAAAGATACACGCAGCATACGTCTTCCACTACCGAGTTCCATCAAACATACAGCACAAAGACGCCGAGCAGCATCACATGCTATGTCGATTGAATCGCTTCTTGATAGCACTCAACCACGACCGCAACATACATCCCACAGAATCGAGAAACGACGACGAGCAACAATGAGCAATATCAACGAGCACAATGAGACCGACGAGATGCACATACGATTTACAAAACTACCACGCATACAGCACCCACCATCACCTTCTGAAAACTTGACAACAATGACTTGTTATCATGCAGCTGTTGCTCAAAAGTCGTATGGCTCAGAGAAGCGTTTCCTGTGTCCACCACCGATAGTATCAATAGAGGGAAAATCATCATATCCTCTAGTGTCGATGGCAGTAGTATGTGAAAATGGTGAGCGGCTTCTCGAGCAAAAAGTGCAGCTGGACGATGATCAACGTGGCAGCTTTCGGTTTTTACACGTTGCCGGGACAGCCAAAGCGAAGCAGTTTTATCTGAGAGTGAGTCTAACTCATAATCCAGCGAGCAATTGTTATGCGATATCGCCACCACCAGCACCACCCTATGTCAGCTTTGTATCGAGTCCGGTCACCATTATATCAAAGCCGTCCAAAAAAACTTGCAAAGCGCGGAGTGTATCGAGCTGCATAGTATCTAGTGCACCAGTGGCGTTGTTTAATCGCATAAATTCACAGACGGTGCGTACAAAATACTTGGCTACAGATGATGGTCGTTTATGTGCCAAGAATTCCATGTGGTCTCCCTTTGATATTATCGTGCTTCGACAACCTCCAGCTGATGAAGGTGGTAGCGAGATTATGGATACAAATGCACCATATGGTGGAATGCCTATTGTATATGGCTCAGAGATCAAGTTGCGTGATACGCAGTCTGGAATCGAGTCCCCACCGCTTTATATCCGCAAGGTCGATAAAGGCCGTATCGTCCATACTGCAGAAGGTCCTGTCAGCCAAATGCAAAAGGTTGCTCTACAACTTGCATCTTCCAACAACGATAATGAACATCAACGAATGTACCTTAGTGCAGCAGGCCCCGCTATGAATCCTTCATCACCAACACAATCTAGTTCAATCGACGATAATGGTAGCAACAATAACATCAATGCAGCAGCAACATGGCTTGAGTTTGTATCGTCAAGAGTGGTGGCTGATAAACCTAGGCAGGATCCTGCTGAGCGAGTGGACGACTTTGTAACATGGACTATCGTCGGCATTGCAAAGTTTCACTACAACTACGTTGAGCCTATAGCTGAAGATAGTAATAACGTTCGATCACAAGGGCTTACATCTTCCAATGTCAATGTATCCAGCAGCCACACTCATAGTCGGACAATGCCGCAGCCATCACCCCCACCATCGCCCCCACCTCGTAGAATCATGCCACTCCCACTGGTATCAGCTGTACGATGTTATGATATGGGGACACTTGAATTGACAGGCCAACACCTGATACAACCATCAAATGGGCGACTACTTGATGTATGGCTTGGAGCACATGGACCACTACACCTCAAAAACCAGATACACCTCGATGACGGGTCACTCACTCTCATATTTCAACTTCCATCACTGCATAACTTAGCTGCTGCTCATCATGGTAACCTCGTAGCACATTCAGATGGTACACAACGTTTCGAGTTGCCACTTCTTCTCATGCGCCAAGACGGATCCATGTTCCCTTCCGGTAAAGGCATTGCTTGCTCTCTCTTACCTTCAGGTTTACCTACGTATCCAGTATACATTATCTCACGTGGTTGATTCTTTGTATATTCCATTTTCAATCATTGTACATATTTCCTGCTGTTAAATAAATGCTTATATAGATTTTTTCTTGAAGCCATTTTAGTTACTGCGAATTTCGAACGACTCTAATGAGTTACCCATTTACCTACTTTAATCATCCATTAAGCTAAAGGACACTTTTTTTGGGGGTTGATGGGGTGCAGCCAACCATTCATATGAGTAGTACTTGAACTATCGAGTTCAATGTTTATCATTACTATACTTATTGGACATACTGTAAACAATAAAACCCTATGCAGTTATTTGAATAGCCCCTTGGAGTTAGACATACGCTAGAACCTTACATAGTATTTTGCATTTGAGGAGCCAGGAGCATCAATGATCAGTGAATGATTGCCATTGTATGTTGGTTGTCCTTCACTTTGCATGGATGAGAGTGGATGACCCAAAATCACATTTCCCAAATGGTGGCATTTTAATAAAGTGTAGCCTTTATTCTCCCGTCATCTATTAATTCGTTTAGGATATACGTTGTCATTCAGTGTAAGAGGAATCGGACTGACGGAGAAGGTGAACAGGTTACACATGTTGTTGACAGGTTACACAAACAGATGGTGATGATAATCTTGGGCAATGTTGGTTCTTCATACACAAACATTGATTGACGGAAAGCTACCCACGATGGCAGAGTCAATTGCTTTGTACATGCATACCACGTTTGAGTATTTACACGTTTACATTTGATGCAGGATTACACATTGGATGTTCCAAGTTCAGGAGTTTGTTGGCTGCATAAAACCAAGGCAGGTGACACTTGCCAGAGATACATAACGAGGGACTAGTACTTTATCCACACTGATCGAGGTATACATGTATGCATATTCATAAGAAGAGCTGCGGGGGGCTGGGTGGCTGTATCAAGGACGACGAGAGGCACCAAAAAGAGTCCATCCCACCTTTCTCCACTCCCATTTTACACATTCAAGGTGAGACACAACCCATTGACGACCTACAGCGCATTAACTCCTGTCATGCTCTATAATGCAAGACGTAGATGGGTGAACCGGTGGTCAATGGCGACCCTTTCAACTACAACAAGCACGCGCGCAATCTACCCATGTTTCAAGCTTCCATTCCCATACAACAGGTACGGTCAATCGTTGCAGCTCTTTTACAATTCAAGTTAGACATTGTAGTACTGAAGCTCATGTGTAGGTTGCTGTTCTCTCGTTTATAAGATCTAATGGAGGCGTTGCGTGAATTCATTCCCAAGCTGTCCACAACAACACTTCTTTACACTGTCTCTTTTGGGTATGTTGGCAAGAAAGCGCGTTTAGATTGGTTTCCCTTGGCATCTCACATTGTGTTCATGGTAGATCGAACTTGTTGGATGATGGTACCTGTGGGCAGTAACAAGATATTGATCTCAAAGCAAGAACGCCGTACGTTGATTCAATGGTATGTATGGTGTTGGATCTACAATGCAGGACCACTTAATTAACGAGCCTTACAATGAAACAGCAGCAGCACATACTGGATCAGATGGATACAAGGTTATTTGCAAGCATCAATGGAATGGTATTGGGAATACCTCAAGGTAAAATGATCATTTTAGGATTTGTCACCTTCAAGTGCACTGATGAAAGCAATAGGCTGGTCTCTTTCGGCGATATTACTATTATCACGGCTGCACGTCAAGGGATGGAGTGTACTGTCTTAAGGGGGAAGGCCATGTTGTGGTACGCGGATATTACGTTGGGCTCACGGTGCGACTTCGGTTTAAAAATGCACCCTCTGACCTTTCGTGGAGAACAAAGTATATGCTGCCCATCATTGCACGGCTATACTTTACTCGACTTGAAGACGATGGGTTGTCTTCTTGGCAACATGGCTGGACCCACGGCTAGTGGTGTTAAAGTCGGCTGGGGAGGGGCTTCATGCCACCGTTAAAACTGGTGTTTTGACGCCACGTTCCTACGGGAGGCTAGAAGGCAGTACGGATACTACATTTCTTGGCAGTGCGCTTTTATTATTGCTATTATTGCTGGCGGGAAGATTCATTGGTATGTATAGCATTGGATCTACAATACAAGTGCTATGAATTAACGAGCTTTTACAAGGAATAGCAGCGGCATCATGATATGGTTGGCATGGAGATACGGTTCTTATTGGAAGGAAGCATGTTATTGTGAGGCATCACAAGGTAAGAGTATCCATTATGGGATGTGGCGCATGCAGGTGCACTTACGATGGAAGATGTGCAACGACAGGATCACGAAGGCTTTTCCTCGGCTATTTCACTTGGCACGTCAAGGATGTTATTGTCCTGTGTGCTGTCTTGGGGAGACCATGCTGCCCTTACCACCTCTTGTGGAAACATGTGCTCACGGTGCTATGGCAAGTCCAATTTAAATACGCATCCTCTGTTCGCAGTTGCAGCATGCGGATCCACGGCTCAGGTGGTGTCAAAGTCGGCTGGTGAGGGGCTCAGGTCACTGTTAAATCCGGTGTTTTGGCCCATGCTTCCTTCGGGAAGGGGCTAGTAGGCAGTGCGGGTACCTTGGCATTCTTTGGCATTGCGCCTTTCTTATTACTATGCTTTGTGGTTGCACCCTGATTGAGAGATTCAAGTACGTATCATTCCAATGTCTTTGAGATGGAAGTATTCTTGCTGACATGTGTCTTTCTAGGTGGATCATCTTGCATTGAAGTCCCCAGGATTACAGTTATCATTGCTAAGTGTTGTTTTACATGTTTGGAGGATTGTTTACGGTGCATCTATTATAGGTGAACCATGTTAGGATCAAGCAGCATCGTCTTTGGCATCTTTCGATATCAGCAAGCCTTATTACATCCTTCGATAGTTCTCGTTACCAAGTATTAAAAATCCCTTTTGTGTGAATCTGCAACAACTTCTATCATCTTATGGCTGTGGTTGTCAAGTACTATTCCAGTGGACTGGAAAATCAGCTATCTGCAAGTCGTCTCTTTATGGATGGATCTTTGAGCAATGTTTGTTATCGGTGTCATGGTGGATATCATTCCTCAAGTACCTGTATGGATACCTTGGACGTTCTCTTTGCAAGTGGATATTCTCGTGTGTGCTATTTCATCAAGACCGGATTTATTTATTGCAGTGCATGATGTGTCTCTCATGACGCCTACCCAAGAAGGTCGCTTGATGGCAGCTACTACTGATATGGCAGATGTTTATTTGCTATGGGTAGAACGGGATGGTGCCTTACTCTCTTGTGTAAAGCATCGTTGGCAGCTATGATTCATTTGCGACAGTGTGGTCAGCCCTATCATGACCCTATCAATTGCATTTGATGATTACTGCCTTAGTCGTTGGAAGTTAGACTGTTACTCAGTGGCCTTGTGGTAGATATGGGATCATGTATTGCTTTACGCTCTTATGGGTCGGCCTCTGTGGGCGTGGGATGCTATCCTTTTATCAGACCGAACATGTTGGCTCGAGCAGCACCTATAGAAGATGCTGTTGTTTACAATGGCAGCCCCCGTTATCCGGCTTGGTGCACCGTAGGGGAGAGGGTGACGGCAAAGCCTTCGCGTGGCCATCCTTGTCAGTACATGGGTTTCCATGGAAGCTAATTTGCCACCTTTTATCTATTTATTACAAGACATCATCACTAACTGCGTTCTAAAGCTATCTTTTGAAGTGAGACACCTAATAGCCTAGAAATCATGATTCAGAAACTTAGATCACATGCAAAGTAATATCGTAGAATAAAGACTTCCTTCCAATCGATAAATGTTTAAAGTTATTCTTGAATATGAAATTGGATGACACCTCTAAAAATGACGACATGCATGGTCTCCATCATTTCTCAACACCGTTGCGTGGGTGGTCAACATGCACCAAGGTTGCGGATGAGCTGTTTATTGCTCACATGCCGTTTACATGGTTCATTCAGGCAAGAACAATCAAATCATGTGGACCGCAAACAAGCTATTAAAGGCCTCTTTTCAACATTGGTGCTTGCTACCACAACCACCATGTCAACGAACAACCAGTATCGTTCAATAAATTATCATTGCAAATACAAGTCGTGTATCCCTCATTGCTAATGTCGAAAAGATACAGAGCAGGAGAGCGTGTGTACTACTATAAGCAGCATACTAAAGAATGGCATCAATGGATACAGTTTATAGCAGCATCATTCCTCGAGGTGTAAGTACATTCTACAGCAATGCATTCTATACGACATTCAAGCTCCACCAAGGCATGAACGATAACAAGGCGCCGATGTGAAGGGTGGCAACCATGATGGATATTCATCATAAGGCTGGACATTAAGATCATCGCAATGTCGCATCACAAACTATCAGCACATCCTCAAGCCATGTATAGTATCCATTTTGGACCTCTGCCATAATTCTATGATGGACTAGCTGTAAATGTACCCGGATGCTGGTAACTATCTTTCAAAAGGTTGAGGTATGTTATCCCAACGGTCTTGGATTTGCCATGTTCTCATGATCCCAATCATTCTCGCTGCTTATCGAACACACATACGGATATTAAGAGTAGGTATGCATGGACAACATTGCACTAGGCTCTTCAGACTTAATCCTGGTATATGCGCCCCATCACTCTATCAGCTCATGCATCAATTTATCAATGCATCATCCCCAAAAAACAGAAATACTCACGCCCACAATGCACAATAAAAGGATGTTGTCGCCGCCCATCATACTCCCGCACGTCTCTTTTCTCTGTCATACTCCATTGATTGCTTACAAGGTAAAATTTCCAAGGTTTTGTACGTATTCCATTTCTTGCAAGTTTTGTAACTAAGTGCTGATCTTTTGTGGTCTTTCATAGTGCTTTATTTTTATCCTATTCTCGTTGTCAGTGTATTGGGATGTTGTATTCTTGTAATGAGTTAAAGCCTGATCATGTTGCTTGATGAACACTACTCATATACGCTACCTTGTTACTTTCGATATAGCCATCTCTCCGTGAAGCATCTGCAAAAGTTTGTTTTGGTGCCATGGTCCACGTCGGGTGCTGAAATTGACATGGTGCATATAGCGGGGGAACCCCCCCAACTCCCATGGTGGTGATTTTGAGGCTTCCTTGTTGGTTGTCAATGTCATTGGACGATCCGAAGAGCTCTGACGCCCAACTGATTCAGCAACTTTCTGACGTCCTTCACTTGCCAGGTAATCTTGTTTTGCCCCCATGCTCGTATTTATGATCTATAACCTGTGTTTAAAGAGTTTTGGCAGGAACTCAGGTGGCAAGATCGCACCATTGGTGCTGATGATATCGCCTTCCTGCGCAAGTGTCCCCACACTACCCGCCACACCGCTCACAGCCGCCTGACGAAGGATGTTCATAAATTGCTTGCTTCTTTCAATCACAAGTCCACGAAAGCTGATCACTTGAAGAAACTTCTCAAGTCTTTGAAAGGTGTGTGTTGTCAACCGTTCTCTCAGTAACCTGACTCATTTTCACTATGTGAATAGTTATTCAGAAGGATGCCGCCAATAATGATCTTTGGAGATCAAGAGCCTTTCATCATGCCAGGATCCAAAATCAAAGGTTGATTGTAGCCGAAGAAAGAGCCATTGCGGAGGTGCATATATTCTTACAACGTTCCTATCATCAATCATTATCCTAATTGGGCTGTTTTAACTTGTAGGAGAGTTTGGTGACGGCTGTAATTGAGAAGGCAACGAAAGACATTAAGCAGCAAACTTGTCACATAATGGAGAACCAGTGGATGATTCTTTGGCTATTTACACCACCCATCATACTCGCTTCAATTCATTCATGATACCGACCAACACGATATTAGGATAGTCGTAGCAATGCTTTCTAGTGGATGCAGTATTAGCGCGAAAACACATTTCATATATAGTGTGCTTTATCTGCATAAATAGGCGATTGAAACAAAAAATGAATACAACATCACAATAACTTTTACAAGACATGAACATAGAGTCAAAAGAAGTAGGCTGTTGGTTTTCACCACATACATATTACATGTAGACGCAAAATCTCAGATCAAGGGGTGGAGTAGGAGTGTGCTGTGATAGGCAAATTCGCCTGCAGCAGGGAGAGGGGAAAATAGTGGGATAAGGAGAGAACCAAGGGAAAATACCAGGAGACATATCCACGCGCACACGCTAAATTTACAGGAACGACTGCACACACCTTCAACCTTTTCTTTCACTTTTTATCCTTCCTCCACGTTAACACATAAACACATATAATGACTGTCTCATCACCTACTGAAGTGGCACCTCCGCCTCCCCGTGCACCCATCACATCCACGGGAACTGGTATTGCAAATCTTCCTAACCAGCGTCACAAAATCGTTGCCAAGAATGGTGCCAACTTCACGTTGATGGTGTGCGGTGAGTAATTTTTATCAAGGATACTAAACATTCTTGTTGCATGCCTAATGTATTGACTTGTAGGTGAATCGGGTGTGGGCAAGACAACCTTTGTCAATACCCTTTTTACATCCACCATCAAGGAACCCAAGAATTTAAGCAAACGTCGCTTGCGTTCTAATAACAACAAGACCGTGCAAATCCAGATTACCAAAGCCGGTGGGTTCAAGTACTATTGATTCAGCACTACATACACTGACACAACCTCAATAGAGCTGGAGGAGAAAATGTTCAAAGTCAAGCTCACCATCATCGACACTCCCGGCTTTGGTGATTATGTCAATAATCGCCATAGCTGGATCCCTATTGTGAACTTCATTGATGACCAACATGAAAGATACATGCGACAAGAGCAGCAGCCTTCGCGTGAAGGGTTGGTGGACATGCGTGTCCATGCATGCTTGTATTTTATAAAACCAACAGGCCACACGTGAGTAGCTACAGTGACAAAGAACAAGAGGGGAAGAGGGAAAAAAGGGGGTAGTTATGATACTCACCATCAATGATTACCAAGATTATCGCCTTTAGACATTGAAGTCATGAAACGTTTAGGCTCACGTGTCAACTTGATACCTGTCATTGCTAAGGCTGATACTTTGACACCTGCTGATTTAGCAAAGTTTAAGCAAAACGTAAGTATAGAATAAGTTGGATATGATTTTCTCCTGAATGGGGGAAAATACATTGTAAATCCTCCCTTGTTACCAACCTTTTTTGTCTTGTCTCTCTCAGATTCGGGAGGTGATTTCAGCACAAGAAATTCAAGTATACTCGTGCCCTATTGAAAGCGAGGATGAAATGACTACCAAGCGCAACGCAAACATTATGGCTGCACTACCTTTTGCTGTGATTGGGTCAACCGAAGAGGTGGTGACGCCAGATGGTCGACGCGTCAAGGGTAGACAATATAGTTGGGGTTGCGCTGAAGTTGAGAATGACGAGCACTGCGACTTTAGAAAGCTGCGTAGCTTGTTGATCCGGACTCACATGCTGGATCTTATCACTACCACTGAGGAGCTGCATTATGAAAACTACCGCCAAACACAAATGGAAACGAGGAAGTTTGGTGATCCAAGGTTAATAACAATGGTCCCACTGCTTGATTTGTATATATTCACTCACGTAGTACATTTATTCATAGATCTCAACCCACGGAGAATGCTAAATTCAAGGAAGAGGAAGAAATGCTTCGTAAGCGTTTTACAGAACAAGTCAAGGCTGAAGAAGGCCGGTTCCGAAAATGGGAGCAACAAGTAGGTTGTCATGGAAGGTCTATATTAAATGATAGATGCTTAATGATGTACAATGATATGATAGCTATTGAGTGAAAGGGATCGATTGCACAAGGAATTGGAGCAACAAAGTGAACGTATCAAGGAATTACAAAGTGAAATGGATTCATATTATTATAATCATCACAATTCGCCTAGAGCTGTTAGAAGATAATCCTTCCTTTAGTTACTTGAACAACCTTTTAGTATTACAAAGCTATAAACAAGCAAGTGAATCCCGCCTGTTTTCATTCTCCTTCTTCTCATTTTCTTTTGTGATGGTCAAAGACACTTCGGCCCGATATCAGTGGCATACACATACCAACAGCGGCACCCGTGAACCCATTCGACTCACTACCAATAGCAACATGGCAACCATGGAACATGACATGACGACCGTTGGATTGGCACCTGAAGAGATCCGTAAGCACATGCGTGATCCACCTTTGTGCTTTTGCAACAAGAAAGCCCATCGCTCTGAAACAGCACTTGGGACCATGTACGATTGTCACAACTTGCAGGATGAGAAGGCACAAAAGATATGTGGATTTCATATACATGGAAAAGCTTGGAGTACATTTCGTGAACGAGGACGGCTGGATGCAGATGATCCTGAATTAAGCGTGTGTCCCTACTTCAATTTCACTTTTTGCGTACGTTTTCGAGTGATCAATGATTATTCCAAGCAAACGTTGGCTGTGCCAAGGTGTTTTTGTGGATTACGGGTCAAGATGGCTGAACAGAATGATCGAATTGTATTCAAATGTCCCAATTACGATATCGATGGTGCCAAGCCAAAGTGTGCGTGGAATCTTTGGGCTGAACAAGTCGCATTTGGAAAACCACAGCCGCTCCTTCATGATTTTGACTCTTTTCGGAACGACGACTGAGACACGACCATTGTTTTCCTCTCCCTCCCTCCCTCCCTACTTCCTTCCTTCTCGTACTTTTGACAACACAAACACCCCGTCTCTCTCTCTCTCTCTCTCTCTCTCTCCAAATGCAACAATCGGATCTCCATCGACTTATCCAATCACTTGAAACAAAAGGCGATGCGCTCACTCACAACTCGAGACAATGGCGAGAAAAGATCGACGACAAGACAAAAGAAATAGAGGAACTGAAAAGAAAACGAAAAGAGAATGCACAGAGGATCAATGAATTACGAGACACAGCACAAAACATCCAAACCAATCTTCAAAACCGTCAGGAACAACAGCAAGAATTTGAAGAACGAGTTCATGCAATCAAAGAAGAGCGTATCCATTCCCAGTGTCTTGTAACCCAGGCTGAATCAGAATGGCGTGAATTAAAGGCAGCGCATGATCTTCTTGCTACTCGATACGAAGCTGTTCGACCTAGCCGGGACTGCAAATGCGCAGGTTGCTCAAAATGTAATATTGAATTTGCAATGTTGCCATGTTTCCATTTCGGTATGTGAAAAGAATATCCTTGAAATATGCTCATGCTTATGTTGCACTCACACACACATCTCTCTGTCTATGAAGCCTATTGTGAAGAATGTGCAAAGGAACTTTCATCATGTAAAATATGCAAGAGTACAAAACAAGGAATCCAACGTATATATTATGGTTGATTGTTTATAAAGATACCCCCACATTTGATAATGCCAAAGTGATAAAAATGCAAGGATGCAAATGAATAGGATGAGCTTTATGTTGTAGAGGGTGGTGGTGTAGCCGGCAATATGCGGTATTGTTGTGATTCGGATAAGGATGGTAGTAATGCAATTTCAGTGTCTCTTGGAGGATTGACCATTTGAGCTACAGTGGCAATGGTTTGACTATCAAGTTCCACGGGTGAATTAGGTCGTGCTTGAACTGCTCTAGCTGTATCAGACGTATGTTGCTGGTCTCCATGACGAGTTGAAGTAGAAGCAGCAGCAGCGTTGAATGCTCCAATTTCACGGGCATAACGAGCCTTGTCCTCATCCGCTTTTTTATTCCAAGGACTACGTTCTTCCATTGTCATTTGGCGCCATCTCTCGGCCACAACTTTACTGACTTGTCCCACGTTGGCTTTAGGCATCAGAGCTGCGATTTCACCACGAACAGACATTGAGAAAAAGAGAAACCCCGACATTGGATGCTTGGGAGCAGTTGGGTTGTGAAGTCGTTTCTTTTTACGTCCACGTGGATCACGTCCCAATTGTGTAGGTTTTGATTTTGATTGAGATTGCTGTTGTTGTCTCTTTTTGATGCATGGACGAGATCGATAACCTGCTCGTGCAAGTTCAGCCTTAGATCGCCTATTGTAGATCATGTTGGGGTGCACGTCCAAATGTTGTTGCTTTAACTTGGCTGCTTCTTCGTTGTAATGGGCCTTCTCTTCCTATTATTGTTAACCATGTCATATGTAAGAAATGCATATAGTTTGTGGTGCAAACAAGTATTACCTGAGACAGGTTTTTCCATCGTTCACCAATCATCCTACTTATTTCTGCAACACCCAAGTTATGATGTTCATATAGGATCTTGCGACGCATGTCTCTGTTGAAAAGCAAATAGGCGTTTGGTGGTCGTTTGACGCGCTCGGGTAGGTGATTATCAGACTTCAACGCGAGTCGGCTGCCATCTGCAAAGTTGGCTAATGCTTCCGCTTCTGCTGCTGCTGAATGGCTTGCTACGTTGACCATATTGCGCCCACCGGTTATGGGTTGAGGAGATGGAGATTCAGATACATGTTGGATATCTTGTTGCCCTGATGGCCAATCGCTTGGACTGCTACTTGGTGGACTGCTGGTGCTGCTGGTGCTACTACCACAAGTACTGCTCGCTGTACATCGTAGATAGCTGGCCACAAAGACGGCATTATGAGAAACTTGCTCTGTATTCTTATCATCTTCATTGAGTGACGACCATGGCTTGTCAACACTGGAAGACGAGGAATCACTGTTATCTGCTTCTTGTTGCTTGAGGACTTGTGCTTGGTGCTTGTACCTCATTTTTGATTCCTGGTAACAAAATGAAAAGATAAGGAGAAAGGTGCTAAAAGCAAAGAATAGAGTCAAACTTACCTCACTGAGACGGTTCCATTCTTGTCCGAGAAGTCGATTCAATTCCGAGCTACGTATTCGTGGTTGCTCAGCTCGGATCTTCGGCCGCTGCTCTGAGCTAAAAACGAAAAAGGCATTTGGTGCCCTTTTCCTAGTACGATGATGATTGCTGGTGATCACAGGTAGCGGTAAATCTCGTTCCACATGTTGGCTACCATATAAATCTCTAGTGAACCATTTGTGATGGTTGTGATGTTGTTGTGAAGATGTTGTGCATTCGTAGGATGATGTGGTTCTTGCATCCGGATGTGATCCGTGCTCTGTGTTACCCTGTGAATTGATGATACAACAACCGTTGCCATGGCAACTTACCTTGTTCATTCGGTAACAATGGCGCTACTGGATATATAGAATCAATGTTTTCTATTCCACGGTACTGATTTCGTTTCCTACCTTGATGTCTTGATTCGTGTTGTGTCAATGGGATGTCGGATGAATGCCGCTAGGATAGTCAAGAGACACACAACCTCCTTGAATACACAAAATTATTCCCACAGTGATGCGAATCTTGAAACCATTCATACCTGATGATGTTCCCAAAGTGATGATGTATCATGTTGAGTGTCAAAAGACACTTGTTGTAACTGTGGTAATATTGGATTTCGATCATCTTGGTATGTATTGAATAATTCTGACTGCTGTAAGCGTGGTGGCGCGTCAAAGGCTGGCAATAGCACCGAGCTATTACTGGTTACAGCTGTAGTATCTCGAAAGGACGACTGATCCTGGGATGTCGCATAGTCAAGTACGCGATGGGGTGAAGGTGATGCGTGTTGTGTCATGAACCGTTTATTGCCGTGAGAGGTGGGGGACACGTCGTTGTGTGAGCGATCAAGGTACTCGGTGCCTTCGGAATAAGACATTGTTGTATTAGCAAGGCATGGCACCAGAGAAAGTGTACAACAGCTGTAGTTCTCGAGGTAAGAAAAGGGGTCAAGGAAGGAATAAAAAGAAAAGAGGGGTTAAGGGGGGGGATGATCTTTACATGACGTTTGACGGAAAACAGTCAACAGCTCTTGTGTGTGTGCGTGTGTATATAAAACGTTGAATCATGAGGCTGATCCAAGGTTCCCAAAATACCTACATTCGGTAAACTGCCAGTATCATCATCATAGCAAGTTTATTATTACATTTACTAGTCGAAAATCGTTTTCTACTTACAAGTGACCCACCACATTACGTCCGTATTGATATTTATTACTATGTGCTGCTGATGCGCAGAGTCTAAAAGTAGCTGACCTAGCTGAAGTAATATCTTTGCATAATCTAACATTTGGGTAGGGGAAGGTGCTTTCTTTTTTCTTTGTACCAGCTATTGAGGGACTTATGGGAAGGGACAAGTCGACGGCGACAACGACAACGACAACGACAACGACATGGGGCGATGAGATTGTACAAGCCATATGGCGTCCCACCATTGTCATTGTTGGCATTGGCATACCTCTCGTTTACTTGATTCGATCCAGGGTGATTGGCCACCGATTTCCAACAGCAGCTCATATCCCACCCGAAGTGTTTGGCCGTCAGCAGAAAATCCGTGGACGCGTGGTATCTGTAGGTGACAGTGACAATTTTCGACTTTATCATACGCCTGGATGGGGATGGGGATGGGCTCGTAAAGTACCAGTATCTCGCAAAGGTATATCATTCTTCTTGTGTCATTTCATATACGATATTCATTTTGGTTCATACTAGAACTCAGGAACCAAACAATCGCTGTGCGGTTGGCTGGGATTGATGCTCCCGAGGTATAATGAAAATCGGGTACCTATGCTTGAGTATTTACTCTTCTTCTATAGGGTGCTCACTTTGGTATGCCAGCACAAGAACTATCAAGCGAATCTAAATCATTCTTGACATCATTGGTGCTTAACCGTATGGTCACTGTGCAATTATTAAGTCGAGATCAGTATAGTCGAGCAGTAAGTGCTGGTTGTATCCTTGTTTAATGTTCTTGAGGCTTACCATGATATAGGTTGCCATGGCATACGTGAGGAAGCCACCATTTTTTCGACTCAAAAATGTATCCGTTGAAATGTGTAGAGCAGGGATGGCAAGTCTATATGTGGCAAAAGGAGCACAGTATGCGGATCAACTAGAGATTATAAAGAAGGCTGAGGCTCGAGCAAAGTAAGTAGTGAGATTACATCGAGTTGCCATGGAGATTAAAGGGTGGTATGCATGATAGACTTTTGAAAAAGGGTATCTGGGGTCTCAAAAGCTATGTATCTCCCGGGGAACATAAAGCAAAGTAGGTTCATCAACATCTTGCTCATTGCACGTGATTTTAACTCTGCGCTTTTAGTTACTTGAGAGGCAATTCAAATAGCAAATAAGAGGAATGAATAAATGCTGTAGTCTAAATTTCTCTTGCATACACACACTCTCGTCTAAATGACTGGTATCGCATATACTCAGGTTACAAACGAAAACTTTGAAAGCGTCTACAAGGATATTGTAGACAAGATCGCAACGGCAAAGTATGTTGCCATGGACATTGAGTTTACTGGGCAATGTCAAACGATCCATAAGCATATGGATCAACGTTACGTCGAACTTGCTAACGTGGTAAAAAAGAGCGCCATGGTATCGTTTGGCGTATCTATCATGGCTCCAAATGGCACTCTTGAGAACTATGATGTTTTGCTTGTCAATCAAACCGTGCACCAGGTGGATCCATCCAATCTGCTCTTTCTCGCCCACCATGGATTTGACTTTAACCGCCAACTACGCTATGGCCTTGGTTACCGACCTGGGGTATTCAATGTGTTGAATCGACCCAAGGAGATCAAGATCAAAAGGGGTGTCCGCGAGCTTTGGGTGGATATTCATCGACAACTACGCGCTCATCACGTGCCACTCGTCGTACACAATGGATTTATCGATATGATGTACCTGTATCACTCTTTTATCACTACGTTGCCTGCCCAATTTCAACATTTTGTTGCGGATCTAGTCGACGCATTCCCTGGTGGCATCTACGATACCAAGTATATAGCTCGAAAGATTCTCGATGAGGAAGTGAGTTTTCTCGCATATCTTTATTATCAATACATGCGTCGAGACAACAAGCGTAAGCGTGAGGGAGATGATGATGATCAGCAACAGGCAACCAAAAAGCTACGTGATGACCCATCGTATATGCCTCCTCCCATCTGCGATGATTATGCTGTAAGTGATTTGTAGAAGAAGGAAAAAGAAGTTGTATTGAGTAGTATGTTAGGCACGTGGGTATTGTGAAGGTGGATACAAGTGCGTTTTTTCGCATGATCTAAACCGAATCCTTGAACGCGATGAAAACCTCCGTAACAGCAAGTCTAAATCGAATCCACAAAGTCTTGTTACACCCGTCCCAGTAACCAACGCACACAACGCATACTTTGATGCGTATATGACGGCCTATATTTTCAATCACATGACAACCATGATGGGAAAGGAGGCGATGGAACAACAAATCGGCAAGCTTTATTTGATGCGTCTTGATTTTCCGTTACGTCTTATCAAAAGCCAATTTGCGAATACCACTGAAGAATGGAACACCATGAAAAAGCACATCGACGAGAGCAAGCAATAAATTTATTCGTATACCCAAATCTGCTACACAGGACCAGTGCCTCCAGGAATCAACTATTCCGCATACGTTATATTAATGGATCATCTACCTCTATTGCCTTTGTTTCTCCTTACCGTGCAAATATTGTTTCCATTCAATAAAATCTGATCCAACTTGTTTGTCTTGTATCCTTGAGGCGTGTTTTCGCTGTTGATCATGTCAATCATCCGTAACAGCTATCGTACTCGCCATATACACTTACTATTCTGTTACATCCTCCAACACCATATCTATTCATTGCGTAACGACGTTATTTCACAAGTTGCTGGATATGCTGACGCGGCTCTGGATCTCTGACTTACTGACATAATCGTCAAAACCAAGCAATTTGCCGGTGAATTCCTTTTCAGTTTTCATAACCACCCAGATCTGCGATCCGATGCATTTGTCAATAAGCTCTATGAGAAGCAAATGTAAGCGATTGAGTTGTCATAGCGTGGCAATGGCCTATAACAATACCTAAAGGTAATAGCTGGGACATGGGGTAATAGTGGGTGGAAGAAGTACAGCGGCAGCACCAAATTAGAATCCAGTGACTCGATATGTGCGCTGGCGTGCATGGATCGCGTTAGAGCCCTTACACACAATGTGATATTTCTCTCCACAACCCTCCCTTATCTGTATATACGTGTTTGTGTTTAAGCGTATAATTGAAAAAAGACGTCGACAGACTTCAAAGTATATCAATAGAGGATAACGTACAGTTGGGGTAAAAGGGAGTAAAGAGGGAGAAAAGGGTGATTTGTTAAAGGGAAAAAGAGGGAACAAGATCAATAAAGAGAGATTGATTGGAAATCGATTGATTCTAGTACTGGATGGGTCAATTGGCAGATGATAAAAGAGAAATAAAGAGAGGGAGAGAAAGAGGTGTAGAGGAAATTGGAATAAGAGGAATGATAGGACGGCATTTTAGAGAACCAAACACTTGAGCTTTTTCTTGTGCTTATCCTTGCCGGGTATCTGGTTGTTGATTTGTCTAACAAGGTCGTAAAAGACTTCGTTTACGTTGGTGCAGAAACGAGCAGAGGTTTCATAAAATGGTTTTCCGCCCCATTGACGCGACAGCATCATGGCTTGTTCTCGTGAGACCATACGTTCATCTTCCAAATCACACTTGTTGCCAACTAATACCATAGGTACCTATGCACATGTTCCAGATATTAATGTATCAAAAAGGTGTTTTGACATGTATATTTCCCTTACATTGTCCGATTCCTTGACGCGCAAAATCTGTTCTCGCAACTCATGGAGGTCATTCAGTGTCACCATACTCGTGATAGAAAAGACGAGGAGGAATCCCTGGCCATTCTTCATATACAAGTCTCGCATAGCTGTAAACTGCTCAGTACCAGCAGTATCGAGGATTTCAAGCATGCATTGATTGCCGTCCACTTCGACCTGCTTTCGATACGAATCTTCGATCGTTGGATCATACTTCTCGACGAATATCGACTGCACAAACTGAACGGTCTATAATAAAGAATATCAATCAATACAACTTTCAGGGATAATCATGTGCTCTATTCAGTAACCTACCAACGCTGATTTACCAACACCACCGGATCCAAGCACGACAAGCTTAAATTCTCTCATCGATGGCTAATTAGCTATAGGGTCATAAACAACGTCTCGTCAACATGATGTCTCGCGCGTTATGGCAATTGCAAAATATGCTTGGAGCTTACAATGAGGGAACGAGCCCAAAGAAAGGGAAAAAAGTTATAAAAAGAGAGATAAAAAGAGAGAGAGGGGCAAAAACTAGAGTGGGCCTCTCGCTCGCGCTGCTATAGCCCAGCCCAGGAGTTACTACATTTGCTCTTACTTCTCCTGGTAACGACATCCAATGAGAATTGGTGCTACAACAGCCGATGATCCAAGCTGGACGAGAAGAGGGCAACCTCTGCATGATTAATTATGACTTTACAACTTATCACCCTTCTTTTACTACAATTGAAAAATGCTGCTATACCTGATCCAATGATTAAGTTGGCGTTTACTTATGATAAACAACTTGACAACAATGATAACAATGATGATGCTATACGTGCTTTATGTCGGCTGCATGCTGTACAATCATCAAGGTAGTCTACATACATGCCATAGCCTAGTGCTATCAAACACCTTCCATTTGTCGCTCTAGCTCATCCATTTCAGCTTTGGCATCTTTGTATCTGTTTTTCATTTCTTCATGTTCCGCTTCCTTGGCTTCAATGGTTTGCTCCAACGTTTCCATCCTTTTCTCTAACAGTTCAGCACGGTCCTTCGCTTCTTGGCACCTACCCATATGCGCATACATCAATATTTTATACCACTCACACCCCTTCAAATAAAGATGACATACTTTTCGGTCATTTGTTGATGCTGACTCTGCTTTTTGTCCAGTTGCTCCTGCAGCGACTTCACCCTTAAAGCCAATGACTTTTGTTCATGACCTTTACGGATATCTTCCGTCTCGAGTTGCTTAGCTCTCGCAGCGGCTTCTTCAGCTTGTGTATTGGCAGTCTCAATCTCTGCTCGCATTTGTGCGATTCTCTTAAACGAAGAAGCTTACGTTGAGTTCAACATGTCGTTTTATTCATCATGTTTATTACCTCTTTGAATCGTTCCATGAAATAGATTGACAACAGCTGCGACTGGTAAAAAAAATAGAAGTGAAAAAAAGAGGTGATGCATGGAGCTGATACAAGTAGAAAATAAGGGACGCAATTCTGCACTGATGACAGCTTTGTTTGGAAAGAAAGAATGAAAAAATGTCTCCCACGCACAAACAAGCATTGCTCAAACATGGACAAGATTTGATCAATAATGGTTAGATTGAATAAGCCTACGTACATGGACCCAGTAACGTTACGTGACTCATTCAACAAGTCAAATTTACACGCATACTGTAAAGCAGCCTCTGCTGTTTCTTGCATGAATCGATTGTCTCAGCTGGGTTTTTTGTGTACAACTGGTAAGACATATGGAACATACTCTTCGTACCATCTCTTGCGAGCGTGGGACTGTATGCTCGCAAAGAAACTCTACACATAACAAAAAGCACTTTGTGTTGTCTCGATCTCCTCCCGTAAAACTAACTACTACTACTAAAGAGCTTTAATGATTCGAATATGGTACAATTGATGCATCTCTGCATGTGCATGGCAACGACGAGGAGAAGGATGTTGTTGTGATCCACACTGGAGGAGTTGTTTTCGCATGGCAGGCGGAGATTATACAGCCATAGCTATGTGAATTTCCTCTGCCGGGCTACTGCAAGTCGCGATCCACATGTAGCTTATCTTTTTTCTTTCTTTCTTTCTCCTTCCATGGCCTCTTTGCAAGAACAGCAAGATATGACCGAGTTACAATCTGCTGTGGATTCTACGGCATATTCTCCTATTCAACCAGCCACAAAAGATACCACGAATACCCATGACGACGACCCTAATGACGCTACCAACACTGATCACGACCATGACGCTGAGGAATCGAAGATCCCGCTTGACATTGTACGACTCACTTTATTGATGGTTTCTGGGAAGAGACATACGTATGATTTTCCCCCAAGCACAAGTATTCTTGACGTGAAGAAGCATGTTATGGAAGGATGGCCGCAAGGTAAGGGATGTGCTTGAATGTATCCATGCAATCAACCTTAAAAAGGAAAGTTAGAATGGGGAAGCAATACGATCAAGTCGTTACAGCACATTGAATTACTCTATCTCGGAAAGTTCCTTACCAACAGCAGTACCCTTGAATGTAAAAAAGAGACATGGCTCATTGGGAATGCTCGTTCTTATTAACCTTTTCATGCAACAGCTAATCGATTACATGGCGGCGATTCATTCACAGTGCATTTACTGATACGGGAGCATCAATCCAAATCACTCGAAGGTGAGAATGAAGAATGTAATACACAAAGGTTGTTTATTCAATATGGATGAAAAAGTAGATGCAAAGAACACAGAGTCAAGAACTCGGTGCAAATGTTGTATTATACTATGATGATCATCTCCTCCTCCTCTTATATCTTGTTCAAGTTACTGCATATCAACTACTACTGCTACTATCATATCCACCATGACCGCGTGATGTTTGTGCTCTGTTTAATGATTGCAACCAACGACAGCAGCTGATTTATCTTGGACTACTACGATGTTCCAGTTCATGGAGTTGCTCAACTTGCTCTGGTGTGCCTTCATTTTCGATTTTGCGCACAAGATGAGGATAACAATCCCAACATGGTTCTTCCTTTTCTTGTTTGGGTGTTGGAATCTTGATTGCTTGCTTCTTCCCACATTGGCAATTCCTCTGGTGTGGCTCCTTGTTGTCTGGATTTGATTTGGGAGAGTTCATTGTTTCTCGATAAAGCATCGGATGCGTAAAAGCATCTTGGGTATTATTGTTGTTGTTTTCGTTCATTGAGGAGGAAAGAAAAAGAAAGTGTCTGCATTTGTCTCATGCGTGTGTGATAAAAAAATCTCCAAAACATGCCCAGGTTTTGTGATGGTCTCAGCTGATAATGTAGGGGTGCTGAGGTGACCATGCCATTCGCCAATCAAATTGGTTGCATTGTTCTGTAGAGAAAAAAAGAAATTGAATACCACGCCATGGGCCGCTCCGATGTCAGGAGATATAAAAGTAAGCGGTGTTCTTTTGATACAAAGTATATAGCATCTGCCGATGGGATAGCAGTTTAGGCTTTCCAAATCACACAATAGATAAAGGCATTTGTTATAGTTGATCGCACGTGATATTATTACTACTTTTTCAGTGCAAGAGAATAGAAGAATAGTGAAATAAGCTAAAAGTTTGCCTTGATGAGATCAAGCACGGCCTTGGCCTTGGCAGCATAACTGGGATTATACATCATGTTAATCAATCCTTGTAAGAAGGTGAAGCTCTTGGTCAAGCTATCGATAGGATAATCGAGGATGGGGGGAATAGGCGTCTTGACAAATGGAATACGATCAATGGTGACAGCCTTGGGAACACAGAGGCCACGAAGACCTTCAACACCAGCCTAGATAAAATCATGTGAGCAATTAACGAACCCTTGCCCAAAGTATCAGTCCACTTACAAAGCGACCATAGCCAGAAATGCCAACACCGCCGAATGGGAGACTTTGGCACAAGTAATTGACTGCAAAGTCGTTGACATTGGTCATGCCAACCTTAAGCTGCAAGCACATGCGTTCGGCCAAGGACTTGTCAGCTGAGAACACGGATGAACCGAGGCCATAAGGACAAGCATTGGCCACACGTACAGCATCCTCAGGGCCAGTATGTTTCATAATCACCATGATAGGAGCAAATGCTTCTTCGTTGGCAATATCCATGTCGGGTGTCACATCCACAAGGAGAGTAGGTTCAAAGTATTGGCCATGGGGGTGCTTAGGATGATGATAACGTTTGCCACCTTTCAAAAGACGTGCACCACGAGAAACGGCTTCTTGAACAAGTCCTTCCAATTTTACAAACTATGGCAAAATAGACATTTGTATATCAGTGCTACTGAGGTTTTATGATATTCCCAATGCTATATTACCTGATTGCCCATGGTCTGTGCACCACAATCCACTCCATTGCCATCTGCCAATACCGATCCTTGACGAAGTTTGGCAATACGTTGGTCCATTTCCTCAACCACCTTGTCATAGATCTCGGCAGCCACGATGATACGCTCAATACCAATGCAGTTTTGACCACAATTTTGAAAGACGCCACGCATCAAAACAGGAATGGCTTGGTTGAGATCAGCATCCTTTAACAAGATAGCGGCATCCTTGCCACCCAATTCCAAAAGACAAGGGACGAGATGATCACAGGCATTGCGTTGCACCAATTTACCGACACCAGGAGAACCAATAAAAGTGACATGATTGACGCCGCATCGTACCACTTCCTCACCCACATCAGCAAAACCAGTAAGCATTTGGACAAGCTCAGGATCATGACCATGGGCCTCGAGACATTTTTGAATGATCTTGTGATAGTATTGCGTAGACCAAGCGACATATTCAGAAGCCTTAACAATGATACCATTGCCAGACATCAAAGCAGAAATAACAGGACCCAATGCATTGTGGAAGCTATCATCAACATGTATAAGGCCGTTGGACCCATTTCGTTTTCCTCCCTCTCCCTCTCTTTTTTTTCCACTTACGGATAATTCCAGCTCACCAAAGCAGCAACAACACCCATAGGCTGATAAACAATCTTTGCATGCTTGTACATCATCATAAGGCCTGGATCACGGTAGTCGGGAGCAAGTACGGATTCACCATTATCGATTGTCCAACGTAATTTGGCGCAAGTGGTAATCACTTCACCAAGAGAGGCATCCACCACTATCATGATGATGATGACCTTAGGTTAATCTCGCGTTCCAAATATGGATATGAATAATGAAAAAAGACACTTGCTTGTTTTGCCAGTATCCCGGCATCCAACACGACAAATCGCTTCTTGATTCTCGAGCACGAAGTCCAACAGACTATTCAACACTGCACGACGTTCCTCAAATGTAGTCTTGGCCCACTTCTTTTGTGCGTTCTGTGCCTTTGCATAAGCTTCACGGACATGTTCAACACTTGGTGACGGGATATTGCCGAGATGATAACCAGTAGCCGGGTCATAACACACAATGTCATTCGAGCCAGTATCCTACAGGGGTGAGGTGACATGAGTATACACACGTACCAAATGCATAAATGAACAAGATGCTTACGCGAATGGAAGGATTCTCAAGCACAGGTCCCTTCCAAGAAGGATCGGCCTCTATCATTTCAAGTGAGTTGTTGAGGGGTCATGGTCATCCAAACGCGAGGGGTACTTTTTTTTTGGGTCTTACCATTAGGAACAGGTACTTTAAAGTGTTTGCTCTTTGGTTGGGATAGCCATGATAAGAACAGCCAGCTTGCGAGAGCACCCACAGCCACCGTGGCCCACTGGGTAGTGGTAACTTGTCCCAAGTCCATATCGACTGAGTGAGTGAATGAGTGTGAGAGAGGAGCGAGTAATGCCAGGCCTAATAACATGCCTCAAATCAACTAGCGCTTGCACTCCGAAAGAACGATGGTGCTGCTATCTGATTGATGGTTGACATCCCATCCGAATGATGGTGTACTTAAAGCCAAATCTCTGCCATTCTTTTCATGCAAAAGTCTAATAAAACAATGCCCTTGGTTGTGCTCTCATCTACTTTTGTAATAATGAGCTGTGTTTGACTGGTGACGAAGGGTTCATTTACACGAGGTGATAGCGTTTTTTATTCTATGATACAATGATCTGATTGACTCTTCTCTACCATTACACAAGCGAGTCATCATTATCCAACATGATAGCACCAGCGACAATTGTTATATAACTAACGACCAAGTAGCTAGAGACCCGTAGTCTTCTCTTGGCTCGGCAATCGCATTTTCCCGTCTCCGCCAATCTCTGCTAGCTTCTTTCTTCTCTCTCTCGCTTTTGTTCATCAAACTGTCCGATGGGTCAAACACTTTCAGAACCGATAACCACCAAAGAAACCACGGAAGGTGGCGATGCACGAGTCCATTATGGTGCTTCTTGCATGCAAGGCTGGAGAATCAGTGAGTACCCTTTATACGGAAACTAGGAAACGCGACTCCACGTATGCCCATGAGATACTAATGCGTTCCCCCCCATCCTAGACATGGAGGACGCTCATACCACTATTCCCGAGTACAAGAATACAGGTGCTAGTTTCTTCGCTGTTTTTGATGGTCATGGTGGTATGTATTATTATCTATCTACGTATACACATCATGCTAAACGATGGATGTTAGGTCCCAATGTGGCAAAATACAGTGGCAAGCACCTACACGATCTTGTGTTTGAATCAAAATACTACAAGGAAGGCGATATCAAAGAAGCATTACGAAGCAGTTTCCTTGGTATTGACGAGAAACTACGTCAAGGTAAAGAGCATTCTCTCGCTGGTATGCATGAAACACTTTACTCATCTACTTTACAAAAGACCCCGAATTCCAGCATGAAGCATCCGGATGTACAGCAGTGGCTGGTTTACTCAGCAAGGACAACATTCTTTATGTGGTATGTACAAAAAGACATGATCTTATCTCCTTGGGTGGGTGTTGTGTACTGGAAACACGCCATGGCTGAAAAAGGAAAGAGTAATGCAGGCGATTCTCGAGCAATCATTTGTACCCGTGGACGTGCTATCGCTCTTTCTCAAGATCACAAACCTGGCAATGAAAAAGAAACGGCTCGAATTGAAAAGGCAGGTGGCCATGTTGAATTTGGTCGTGTAAATGGTAAGTTAAATCACACAAGAGAGTCAAGGCTTGGTTTATTCATCTTCTGTCCTTTAAGGTAATCTTGCATTGTCACGTGCATTGGGCGATTTCGAATTCAAGGCAAACAAGAATCTTCCTGCTGAAGAGCAGGCCGTGAGTGGTATGGGAGTTTTTTGTGTATGTCTTGGAAAAATGGAAATGTTCTAACAAAGATTTCTATATAGCTGAACCCGACGTGCTTGAACATCAATTGAATCCCAACGATGAATTTATGGTGATTGCATGCGATGGTATCTGGGATTGTATGACCAACCAACAGGTCGCCGACTTCGTCCGTGCAAAGATCAGAGACAAGGTGCCATTGAAAGAAATCTGTGAGGATATCATGGATGAATGTCTCGCCGAACAAAGCGATTTTGGAGGAGTTGGTTGCGACAACATGTCAGTTATTGTGGTTGCTTTCTTGCAAGGAAAATCTCTCGATGCATGGTACGACAATGTTGCAGCAAATGTCCCTGATTCGTTGAAGGCTCCACCAAAGAAGGTCATCAAAGCAAGCGCTGCTGCTGCTTCATCGCCAGCTGGTGAATCCGTACCATTGAATGCTATCGCAGCTGCCGCAGCAGAAATCAAACAACAGGAAGGTGACCATCGACAACAATAGGCGATTTTCCCCTCAACAGATATCTCAAGAAATTGCTGATGTGTGATAGAAAGAGAGTCAATTATATATACACATGTGTCAGGCCCCCACCCTCATTGTTCAAATAGCTTGTTTCTCTCCCTCCCCCTCCTCTTGCCATTTCAACGTACTTGTGATGATATATAGAATATAGTCAATATGGTTTGTTCTCTGTATATGTGGATGATGGAATTATTATGTATTGCAGCTTGCCTCTTGTCATTGGATACGTGATGTACAGATACCCTAACTTCAACCATACAAATTTGGACATGCTGTGTCCCAAACACCAAAGCGTTTGCATTTTTTATATGTAGCATTGTCACACTCCATCACCATTTGTATCATACTGTGTATAGATCGCTTGTTAATATTGATAATATAATTGTACACGTGGCTCTATTCTTTGCAGTCTGTAACATCAGTCATTATGGGCCAGTGCTCTCGCTCTATGACCATATTATCGTGGTGCGGCGATTGTTTTTTAGGTAGTACAGGCATTGCTGGTGGTTGAATGCTTCCAAAAGAGGCTACTGATTGTTCATCGTCGTCGCTCGAATGAGCTGTTGATGTTGGCAGTGGTGGTAATGCCTTGCTTTTCTCCTCACAAGGGGGTTTGCCAGGATCTGTGAGCTCAGGTAAGTCTGAAGTTGCATCCATTGTTGCCGCACGCTGTCTCTGGTGCATCGGCTCTTTCGGTGTCATATCGCCATTCTTGTTTTGAAAAGTAGCTTCGATAGAACGCTCATGAGTAAATGCTTCGGGGGTTGCATATGAGTCATGCAAGGTCTGCGAACCAAGTAAAGTTGATGATTTGAGCCTATCCTTTGGAGGTGGGGTGGTGAAAGATGTATCGTCAATGTTACTCGATAACGGCTTTTTGAGCGTTTGAGTGTCTTCCTTGGACATAGGCTGCACGTCATTATAAGGGATTGAGTCGCCTGCTGACTTGGATGATATTGGATCAATGCCGTAAAGCATCTCGGCATCTCGCCTGTTCTTGGTAGACGGCTTATCGGTTACATCCATTTGAATCCCTGAGAGCATCTCTAGTTCATGTTGCACATCTAATTCCAGTGGCTCAAAGGAGTCACTAGGTACTTCACCTTGAGCATCACTCTCATATAAAGCTGTCCCCTCCTGTTGCACACCATGAAGGTTGCCTGTGTTGAGCCAATTTTTGAGGGGGATGTCTTCATTGTTGCTTACACCAACAAGGGGAAACGCTTGCCGCCAATATTCTAGTTCCTCAGATTTTCCCCGTTCTGGCACTGCATCATCATAAAGTTGCATATCAGATTTCACCCCTGGCAGTACGTCGATATTCAGCAAATTCTTGCATACGCTTGGTTCATCATATGATGCCAACCCATGCATCCATTGACTATCATGATTTTCCTTATCTTGGTCGTATTCGTCAGGCATTGTTTCACTAGCATCCTGATAACAAGAAGCAGTATCTACGCCTGTTAGGGATTCCGTGGTGAGCCAATTCTTGAGCATGTGCTCCTGAAGACCAGCTTGTGCTTTCATTTTGTCGGAAGACATCCATTCTTCAAAATTAACAAGAGGCAACTTGCTTTGTGTAGCATCAAAAGCGACATCAGCTGATTCTTGGTCATTGCCGTTTGATTGTAATCCAGAAAGTGACACTTTTTCCAACTCGATGGGACTCTTGTACCTTACGTAATCAGGTTCTTCAACGATGCTTGTATATCCACTATCGCTTTTGCTGAGACCAACGGACAAAGGGAGCGCAAATGTGTTTTCCTTGTCATCATTACTCAAAGTATCATAGGATTTTGGCATCATCCTTTTGTCTTGCTCAAACGTTACGTGATGGTCTTGTTCAGGCTGAACACCAGTGAGTGATCCTACGTACGTATGGATGATTGTGTCTTTCTTGGATGGCATCGTGGAAGGTGTTTGTACAAAATGAGACCCCTTATCGCTATCAATGTCGTGCATTTGCAATCCATGAAGAGCAACGGGCTCTAATTCCATATGCCGCTTAGGCCGTAAATCCTCTGGAACTTGAACTAGCATATTATGTAAAGTACGATGGTCATCTTCCGCATCATGATTTGATTCAAATAGCGACGCATTCGATCCGTTGGAAGCATCGTCATTGTTGTTAGATTCGACTAGCCCAGTAAATATAACTCGATGATCATCATTGTATGTCCCACCTTCATCAGAGTACTTGTCAAATGAAGGACAATGGACAAAGCAGTCATAACCAGTGCCGAACTCGATCCCATTCTCCTTCTCGTCATCGTTGTCAAAGTAGAGGATGTTCAACTCTCCTACCAGAGGAGTTTGCGCAGCGCCCTCGGTAAGCTGCTGTGATAGCATGCTCATCATCAAATTGCTATCAAGCTTGCCATATGTTTCAGGTGCTTGAACAATTGGTATCATTGGTTTTTGGGCTTGCTTATGAGACGACGTTGTTGGCGTAGCACCAAGTTCGTCGGCAGGGTGAATGATTTCTTTATCGCCGCAAGATGGTTGTTGACTAAGTGTCTTGGTCTTGTTGCCAGCGATCCAATGACTATGAGCATTTTTCGATCGAACATTTCGTAGATGAAAGAACAACGTGCCCTGTTGAACAATATGAGCATAGAAGTAAGAGGGTATACATATCTAACATTACATTGTAGATCGCCTGGATGTCATCCTTTGCAAAGGCTCCGTTATTCCCAGCAATACAATATACCATGATCCATTCGAGTATAGCCCGTGACCTGCATGTGCCAATAAACTCATAAGATCAGAAGCCGATCCATCATTAACATTCACTCGTATATCACGACGTACCAAAGTAAAGGGCTGACACCAAAAGATCCTTGTTCACTTGCCATGTGTATTGCTTCTGAAAATGTCATGCGCTTTCCATATGGATCCCATTGAGCATACTTGGTGTAGAGTCGCTCAAAATTTTCAGCATCCAACTCGCCATGTTCGTTATAGATACTTTGTTTATCCCTATGCTGTAATAAGAGAGGGTTAGCTCCAAGGATCTAAGGATGTATAAAAGAGCCACCTTGGAATGCATTACATTGGAAAATCTTGCTAGGTTCCCCACCTGTATCCTGCATAATGGATCAGGTATCCATGAGTCTTGGGTGGCATAGGCAACGCTTGCGCTGAGAAAAGCCCCGAGAACAATGCTAAATACTGGGCCGTATCCAAGATCCATAAACCCTATGTACACAGCAAGGTTTAAGCAATCGCTACTACTGTTGTCGTCCTCTTTTACCTGCAGTGGTATCAATAGGCGTTATATAGCCTTTATCGCCCCTATCCCAGTATCGCACATGTCGCCGAAAAGCCTCATTTAAAGAGTGAATAAATTGATGACAGGCATTTATTTATACTTACCACGTTATCAGATGGATTACGAGATCCATTCTCAATGCTTGCCATAGGTGAATGATCTCGTATAACTTGAGTTAATACATTATTATTGTTCAGCGTATGAATTCAATGAGCTACCTGTGATGCATTGAATCTTCATTATGTAATGAATAAACAAGCAGCAGAGAAAGAGATAAGAAGAACTGCCAGAGGTGGACAGGTCGCGGAAGTTTCTCTTTTGGCGGCTGATGCATGATTTCATTGTTTATTTGTTCTTGGATCATCCCTCTTCGTTATTACGCTGCACATTCTGATCACCACGTTAATTCGTTGGTTTGTTTTCATCCACGAGTTTTTTCTTTCTTTCCGAGTGTCCTATGACACCTTTTGTCACATACAGCAATAGATGTTTGCTTGTTTAAAGGATTCCGCCAGTGCGCTGCATGATTGTTTTCCTGAGAACCAATATCCCGAAGCCCTCTGAAACCAAGAGTATGGCGGGCATTAATTAACTAAGTTAGGCCATTCGATTGCTTTCAACTACCGACGCTCGAAATTACAACCACGATGGCGCTTGATTGCTGATATCAATGATCAAGGGTGGGAAGGAGGTATGTGTTGCCACGAAGAAAGAAACAAAATGCATGTAGCTAGGCAACAACTATCATGCATAAAGCTATCTCAAATCGACTTTAATGATACATTAATCTTGTTAGCCAGAAGTCCACTTGCACAAAGCACAGTCAAGAGGCGATGGTAGCTACGTAACGGTCATCCATCAACAAGAAGATTATGCAATTTTTATATATATATGAAAATGACGACTCTATGTCTAAACATGTATGGTACAAAAATGATGGGATGGATGCAGGTATATAGATTGATGATGATTCTACTTATGAAGGTTGACCATGGGTGGCTCGTAATTGATCAAAGGCGTTCTGATAACTTTCAAGCATATGATCTTCGATGCATGACTTTGTAATAAACATCTCGCTTGAGAGCTGGCAGGAACCAACGTGTGCTGTGAATCGATTCCTTGTCACTCCAGGGATCTTGTCTGATACTTGTCTCGCTTTGGATTTGGCTTTCTTTCCTAATCGACGTCGAAGACTGATGGCTTTCCAAGAAACAATGGTCGATGCTCTTGACGGATACTTGTTCACTCGCATAAATCGACGTTCTCGTACGCGTCGGATATACACAATCTTGCCTGGAATATAGAGCTACAACATCGAATGAGTATACAATGGTAAAATAAAGTGCGTGAACATTACCAAGGGATAAAGCTGATCTGTATTGTTGATGATACGCTCACGTCGTCGATCGAGAATGTTGAAGCATAGCTTTCGTTTTTCGGGATCCGTCATGACCTTGTACCATCCACCCAATGTCTCGTAAGCGCTGATAGTGTCCATAAGCAACTCCTTGAGTTGCATTGCTGTGCCATATGATAATCGGCCAACCACATCATCTTGGACAATGAAGCTATGGATATACTGGTCGTATCGTTCATTCAACTCCCGAGAGCTCAAAGCAACCGGTGCATAGCTGTAGCAGTGCAATTGAAAGGAAGGATTGTTGGAAAGCTTCCGTAATTCCTCCAAATGTTCGGATACCAGCATGGTCAATAAACTTGCAGCACCACCTCCTAACGAGTGCCCAGTGATGATGAAAGATCGCAGCTCCTTTGCGTGATGGTGGATGTATCGAAATATTTGAGGGATAATATTGGTGTAAAACCATTGGGCTGAGGCGAGCATGCCTGCATGAACAAGACCACCTTTGAAAGGTTTGTATTCACACACCAAATCCGTGATCGCATCGTATAAACTCTATTGTTGCAAGTCAGCTCACCGATAACCATCTTTCTTCATCTTTCAAACTCACCCAGGTACCACGAATGCTCAATACAATTGCTTGACGCGTACGATCAATCGCAACGAAATAGCTCGGTTGAAACACTGCACCCTTTCGAAGACCATATTCATATCCAAGTAGATCCTCTGATTGAAGCTGAAGGTAACGAATAATAGCGTACTTGTTGGATCGCCGATGTCTCGCCTCTGTAAATACCACAGTTAGGAAAGTCATCCAAAAAATCATATCAGGGAGCTTACGTCGAATAAATTCTCCATATGATCCTAGATAGAAAAGACCTCGCCATCCCTAGAGATTCTCATTTTAGCCACTGAGACCACACAATGATAATAATAATACTTACATAAGCCATCAGGGCATAGCCAAAATAATGACAACCATCATCAATAATGCGTGGATCTTTTACAGGTGGTCCTGGAGAAGGTCTAAGTAATTATTGCGAGTGAGATTGTGGTCGAAAGGGAGAAACGAATGCTATTCCTTACTTGTGTACAGACTTGTAATATCGTTCGAGAAGAATAATTCCTTTCAGCAATCGGAAGCTCGTGACCTTGAATCCTTGTCCCTATCATTTCATTATATGAGTGAATCACAATGACTTGCACGGCAATGTCATTTACTTACAAAAGCATTCGCAAGCTTAATAATCGATCGTACGAGAGTACGGGTTTGACTACTGACAACAAGGCCCACCAATCGATCAAAGGCTGGATGAGATATGGCAACGTCATCAAATGTGTCCTGCATCCACTGGGAAGCGAAATTCTTGTCGCCGAAATTGACACTATGGATAATGTGTCGTGCACGTCGTGTGGCACCATCCTTGATCCGATCACGTCGTCGTCGCCGTCGTCCTTTTTTCTTTGACATCAACTTTCCAGACTTCCTGTCCAATTGCTCTTCTTCGATATCATCCTCTTCTTTGCTCGGGCGGTTCCAAAAAGCATGATCAGAAGAATCGTTTTGAGAAAATCCATAGCGTTGACCACGATTAGATGACTTTGCCTTAGGTTCAAAACAACGACATATCCGATCTGATAACGCCTGAAGAAATGCAGTGGATTGAAATAATGGCTGATGTCGTTTGCGCATATTCCCATGATTAACGTAGCTGTCAACGGGTGATTGTTGTTGGAGTAAGGTTGCATTCGATCCAGGAACATTCGTACTCATGATGTGGGTAAGTCTGTCACGAAATTCATCATCCACCACTCTTTGGTCTTGTGCCAATTCACCTCGGCCATGCTGAGAAATAGCTGCATTGTTATTGTTGTTGTTGCTGTTATTGTTCCTCGTATCCGCAGCCGATTCTTTCCTTCTGGTGGATCCTCTCCGTGTGGGTGCTACACCTCCTGTAGATGCAATGGTTGATAATGATGCATTGTGTGCTGCTGGTGGATTGTAATCGACATCGGGCCGCGAGTTGACAAGTTGTGCTAGGGGCAAGTGGAAAATACGGCTTTGTTCATCAAGGTCGCTATTGCCGGGATCATCATCTTCAATACGGTTATAGGAAAAGCAGCGTCCTCTGGATGGATTGGGCACCGATACTTCATCAGGACGTTGAAAATGATAACGTATCCGAATTTGTATTGAGCCGATGAGTTTCTTGTGCATAATTCGACCCGATGCCTCGGCCATATGGAGCAAATTGGTGTCTGTGATAGTATCTTTGACGTCCTCAGGCAATGATCGATTCGCATGATATTCATAGAGTGGAAGGAACCTATGAAAAAGTGTTGGTACTTGGTGATGGATATATGGAATAATAGCCTCTTACATGACAAAGACATCATCATGACCTTGCAATTTGGATATCTTGAGCTTAGCCTTAGCGACATGAAGGTTTTTGGCAAACAAGTGCTTCTTTGGCTTGTCATACAAATCAAACTAAAGGTAAAGCTTGTTAATATCCGTTGCCTTTCCCCATGCCTTCCTTGAACATACATCAATGGTGTCGAATAATTGCGCATGATAAGTGACCACGAAAATGAAGCCTTCATTCCAATCGCCTGTCCACTTTGTTGAGCGAGAAGAGTAATACTGAGCAGATCCCATCTTTATCCGCATCAACGGTCGTTTGTACTTGGGTTCAGTGCGAATATTAAGTAGATCAATCTATTTTCCATACAAATGAGTATGCCACTACACCATCCTTCCTATAGGCATGTCTTGTTTACCTGCAATTTGCCTGCCTCCATCACGTGTGAATTGTCAGCACTCTTTTGATATAGCTCCCATTCTCGTTTGAGGCGATGGATATCTGGCATGGACATTGTACGAGAGTGGACCCAGGCTTGATCTCGAGCTGGAGGGTTCTTTGATTCGCTGATAAGGCTGGACGCCGAATGGGCATGGTCATTGGGGTTGTTGGACATGGAGGATTCTTATAATGTCCACGTGGTTGTTGATGGCTGAGGTGGTATTCAAGTAAAATGAATGGGCGGGTTGTCGAGAAGAAGCATGTGAGCAATGCTATCTTTATCCTCTGTTGCCGATGGTCGATTACTGGAGTAAGTGTTGGGTCGTAAAGAAGTGAGAATGTGTTGTGTTTCAACCGAGAAAAAGAAGAAGCGCCTGTTGTCTCGCATTCATTATCCGGATAAAATGCTTTACCAACATCCCGAAATGTGGCACATACGCACACACGCACACACACGCACACACGGACATAGTGTGTCAATATTCTTGATGGTGACAATGTCGTACACCATCAATCATTGTTTCCTTTTTTGCTATTGTGATCACGTGTCCAATCCTTGTCCCTTTATTGCAAGTGGAATAGTAGTTCTACCTGTGTGTTCATGTGATTAAACTATATACTTGTTCGAGAATGATATATAATAGCTGTGGTTAATCCACCTTTCATAATAAACTAGGTAGCAGCACCACCCAGTGTATGGGCATGATTGGTAAAAAGCAGCGGGATTATCTAATGGTGGGCTGAATCATGCGTCACTTTAACAGGTCGCATGATTTCACATGCAAAGTTCCTGGAGTATCCACTTTTTCTTTCACCCTTGCTATCTTGCATAAGCAACTACTTTGAAACAGCATGTCACCCCTCCCTGCAACACTCGCTGCCTTGCGTAAATTTTCATCCTGTGAAGTATGCAGTAAGCTGCCTCCTCCTCTTTATTCACAATCGTTGACACGTCATCTCTTGGGTAGATTGCAGACGCGTTACTCAAGTTGGGACAACGCCCATGGGGAGGCTACATTCCTGACATTGAAATGTGGTCACCTCGTTACTGCGATGGCGACACTCGTATCGTAGGCCCTGCTTTTACAGTCAAGGTAGGTGACAAGAGAACATAGTAGTAGTAGCAACCCTATACTAAATCCTTCAAACAAGATGGTTGAACGCGACAATACCACTGCACCTAAGCCCGACGAACATTTCGTAAGTATCTCATCATGATGGATGTTACAAATATGGACGGCAGGCTAATATGGATAACATCGATGGTAGGCGGATGCAGCTCCTGAAGGCAGCGTAATGGTCATTTCGTCTCCTGCTGGTAAGTGAGTCATGGTCTAGAACTTGTTGGTTTAGATGCTGAGAAACATCAAAGATGTCAAAGGTGCCTGTTGGGGAGGATTGATGTCGGCTCGTGCAAAAGCGAAAAAAGTTCAAGGAGTCGTTGTGGATGGTCGTGTACGAGATTTGAGTGAGCATCGCTCCATGGAGTACCCGGTAAGTTTTCGTATTTGGACGCAAAAGATCACCCAATGGATACATGTGGCCGAGATGGTGTGCGGGAGATGATCCTACATGGACTTACCTTATTCGTGGATAACTAGGTATTTGCCAAGTCGCATTCCACGCTGCCACAAAACGCTTTCGTGAGACCATCCGAACTCCAAGTACCGATATCCATGTCAACATCTCCAGTGACAGTAAACCCAGGTGACATTATTGTAGCCGACTTGGATGGTGTCATTTGTGTGCCGGTTGGTTTGGTTGATGAGGTCATCACTAGCTGCACAAAATATGTTGCCATTGACGACAAATGCATGGAAGCTTTGAAACAAGGCTACGGTGTCAAGGAGACATTTGCAAAGTACAGAGGAACCTAAAGTTTTCGTTTACACGAGATCGATCTCAGAGAAAATAAAGCCATAACGAGTAAATGCATGTGCCTCTTTCTTTTATCAATATTATCATTCAATGAGATCAAAGATGTAGCAAAAAGTCCCCTATCCATCATCGAGTGTTTGTTATTGTTATTAGTAATGAAAACTTACCTGATGACGGACGCGGGATATACGTTACTTTAAACTTTTTATAAGACGAAGATGAAACAAGCTATTAGGACATACAACGAATCTTCTCAACGACCCCTATCTCCTTTTTGGAACATCATTTTCGGCTCGGGATCATTTATGAGATCTATGAACACCCTTCCCGCTCCTTGTTTTCTTCTCTTTGCACGCATACGCAAGCTCTCTCTTCTCCTCAAGAACCCATTATTATAGAATCTTGATCATCTGAAGGCTAATGACGAGGAGGAGAATGATCAAGGAGTTAAGAGAACGCCATCATGCCGTCCCTATTCTCAAAAAAAACGCCCACTTAATAACAGCAGCTGTGGTATTGCACCTGTCACCAACAAACTGCAGGTTTATGCATTCAGCTGTTGCTCAAACTGCATATTTGGGAGCTTGGGGGAGCTTGGGGAATCATCTGGATTAGTCACACTGGTACACAACAAATATTCACACACATGCTGCCTGCTATAAAGCTGCTGGCGGACATACATTGAACTTAACTATCCGCCACATGGCAGTTGTGAAAGTGACACGCACACGTAAGTCAACAGCAGCAACAGCAACAATGACACAAACAAATTATCAGCAGACTTGTGAAAACACAAAAACTGTACTACTGTGGAAATCCACTCCTGGGGAAAAATGGGGCCACAGGGGTGGGGGGAGAGAAAGGAATCGAAACGCCAGAGCTTATAATCTGACAAGCTCAGGTGACCGACCCCACAAACACCAATTGACAATTCTTTGAGGTACGTAGGGAAAAAAAAGAGCAACGAGATAGAGAGACGGGGAAAGAAATTATGTGATGTTGTTATTCATAAACGACTGCTACCGTTGAGGGGCTGATTATTGGGCGCTTATGACATTTTTGGGTTTAATACAATCTTGGACAATGGCATTTGTGTGGGCTTGTATGCATCCCAACGAATGCTTCGTTCTATGGTAGATGGCGAAAAAATGATCTGCATGCTCATGCACATACTATAGATACATGCGTCTCAACAACTTTGGCAAACATGAGTGGAGCAGATCATGCATTATCTTAAATGAAAAAGGCATTACAAGCACAAGAACAACATCGTATACATATAGGATGAAAAGCATACCCACATTGGAGATTCATAGTGAAAGGCACATTATTATCAGTACATTACATTAAATTTCATAATGATGAGGAAGTAGCATTCAAGTGGAACGAATGTATGAATACGCACTCATACATGATCGCACATATGGATGCTGATGAAACGAGAGTGAGAGACAAGGAATGAAGGACAAGCTATCTACAAGTAGCCGGATCTTGAAAACGCAAAGAAAAGAGGAAACAGGTTGCTAGGATGATATTGGGAAGAATGATGTTGAGCAATTTTTCTTATAGTATGGAATGTTGTTGATGGTAAATTGTTTGCATATTGCAGGATGGCTCGCGCGTTGTATGTATGCAAAGGGCGCAGATCATGATGTTTTCCACACCCCGTGATAGGAGAAGCAGCGATAGGAACAACCACGACAACAACCCATTCAATAGTATCCACGACGACCAGCGTTGCGGTAAGGATCTGATGATTGCTGTTGCTGCTGCTGCTCCATCCATCCATGACGATAGGGTTGATTTCTCATCATCCATTCATAGTGGCTACTTGTAGTCATACTGTCTCCGCCACCTAGGCATGATGTTGTTGTGGTGATAATACGTGGTGCATGTTGCTGCACTGACGACGTTGTAGCGTAGCCACTTGCACTTGAGGTGGATGACAAGGGTGGTGTCATTGACAACGTAGACAAAGGTGGCGATGGTGATGGTGTAAAAAAAGGTTGCTGAGAGCAGATAGAGGCACGTCGAGAACTCGGTGGTGTATTCATCATGGGCAGCATGGTTGTCACTGTACAAGAAGCCAATCGCTTACGCGACTTGCGAATGCCTTGTAGCGTACGGTATCGATTAAAGCATGTGGCCCGTTTTCTATGCGGAAGCTTGCCCGATATTTGTCCCCATGTCAAGCCCTTGGCAACACCTTCACAGATGACCGCATCCTCGTACTCGGAAAATCGGTTACGTGGTTTTCCATAGCTACCATTGCTACCACTGCTATTATCCACATCGGCCACAAGGTAAGCGTGATGATGATGGCGAGGGTAGTGGTTGTACCGTTGGGGTGATAGAGGAGGTGACGACAAAACATGGCACTCGCTTGATGTTGTTGCAGGATCACAAAGTAAATCCAGTGATGGTGGGCTGCTGCTGTTGTTATATCCCCTAGATGCCCCAGAGCTAGAATCCAACGAAGATGAAGTTGATGTTGGATTCAAAATATCGGCAACTAAGTTTTGTATAAGTGGTTAAATACCAAGCTAACATTGAAAGGGGATGTTCGATGCTTACTTTTCATGGACATGATGGATGAAATTAGGTATGCAGTAAAGGAAGAGTGAAATGGAATGCGAGGTGTTATCGACCCACGGAGCTGGGAATGAGAGCCCTTTTATACTTGTCTTCGAAAAAACAAGGGAGGGTGAGTGGTAGAGATTGTGGGTTCCTCTTTTGGTATTGCTCAGTGTACATAGTTTATTTATATATGTTATGCATACAGTGGATAAATAACTGTAGACTGCTCATTTCCATTATGCTTTCAGACAGCAACATAATTGACATGGAGACCTTTTATCATTGCCGCTTGATCTATTCAACGATTAATAATCACTATTACACACCATGTTGTGCATTCACTGTAGCATCAAGTGCTTCAGCAATTTGTTTATGCAACTACACGTTCGCCTTTTTCATGGATGGCGATCTTTGAGGGTCCAAGGGAAGGTGGTGGGATTGGGGCCGGAAAGAAAATATGATGGGGGGAGAGTGCAATAATGCGGTGGGGGTGATGCTGGAGACGTATATGGGTTAACTAACAGGAGGAAGATAGATAAAGTGTGATATGGTTGAGTATCACCTTTAGCTCGATATTGGATTCGCTCACATCAGTCAGTGTTATTGCTTCTGAAAAAGGCAAATAAGAAAAAGGAATATCAGGAGCTTTTGCCGATATCGAAAGAGAGGGGTTGGGGATTCAAGCAAAGCAAGCAAGCAAGCATGCTTGTTATTCAAAGCTCTCTTTTCATCCCAAAACAGGGGGGACCGACTCAAGGGACGACCTCAGGATGGTAAATGATCATAATGATGAAGGTGATGCATCATTGGGTGTATCCATCGAAGCCACCCATAATCAAGATCGTGGCCATTTAATCACCAGCATGACACAGGGGAAGGTTGTATATGACCGATTCCATATAATTTTGCTACAACACATTACCAGCATGTCGGATGTCGTACATACCGTTCATGCTCAACGTCGGATACAGGCACCTGGGTTGCATAAGTATGTAGCAAGATTATGCTCAATGCATGATCAATCTTATACCCCTTCCTATTTCCCTATGTCAACCCAATTATTCTTTATGTCTGGACAGCAGAGATGGTGTATAAAATAAGGAGCTCTGCCGCTCAAACGTCTCAGTATATCAATCAACCCTTTCACCCCCAAATCATAGTGGGTTGAACGCCAACAAAAGGATTGGGCCCATGCGTGCATCATCATCACCACCACCACCACCATTAGCAACAGTAGCAGAGAGTGGATACGCCAAGTGCTACCTGAACATGCCTTGCTTAAACATAAAAGGGGCCTGGAAAGATCCCATCCCATAATTGGTAGAATGGAATTCTTTGTTGCAACAAACAGAGCACGGTGATGAGCAATGGAGACCCGTCATTAAGCTCAGTTTGTTCTGGAACGAGTAATAGGATCAGCAGCCCCAGTCAGAATCGCAACAAAGAAAGTTTCAAATGACAATGGATGAGATTGCCTTGTTTTACTGTTAACCCAACTCTATTTTTTTATATTATTGTAGACGCACTTTCTCCACTGATCATCCCTTACGCGTATGCACACACTTTTCGACGCTTGTGCGCGCCAACATTCCTTTTCAGGCAACGATACGCTTGATGTCCAACAACGCCCTACACCACCATTGATTTTATTTCTGGTATACAAGGTCATCAACTGATTACGTTGCACCATCGTGCTTCATTTCCAAGACACATGCGGTTTTCTTTCCAGTTGCAGGTTGTCAACATGCTAAATGAGCTGTATAGTTGAGACTTAAATGCATTTCCAGGACAACAACAACAACAACAAAGTAAAACATATACATACGTGCACGCACACAAACAAATCTACAATCATAAAATGATGCTGCGCATAACATGACAACATATAGAAGGCAGATGACATTGTCAACCGGGGAAATACATATAACAACAGCGTTGGTACAACTACCTTTACACCGCGGGGGCGACTTTTTGATTACAACACGAAGAAAAAAACTCGCTTGGATAATATTAACTTCCGAGGCTCACACAAAATCACGCACATACGCAAGTTGGTGTAATCCTTAGCAGAGTATATAGTCCCTTAACCATATCAATGTATCTCCGGCTAAGGGGGTTTGGTTTGCAGCACCATTGCTCCCCAAAAAAGAACTATACCTGTATAGGAGCGTTTTTCCTTCACATTAAAGCGGGTTATATGCCTTTAATGCTGCTGCATCGGTTCCTACACAAAAGTGGGAAACACATTCATCGTGGCACACATCCCTCGTATTCCTTCTATCACCTTACGCATCCATTTGCAGACACTACTTGCTTTTTTACGATATCCGTCTCCTGACATTTATAACTCATCAAGCCTCCTAACTGCCTGTGCTCTTGCATGTTGTCGGTTTTGACGAGCAAGTGATGGATTCTTCGAGAAACGAGAGAAGATACATGTTAATCTTGAATCGTTTGTCGCATGCTGCCAAACTTGTAATTTTGGCTTTCTTGCATAACATGTGTAACGGTTGCACAAGCAATGGGTGGATGTGGAGAGTAAAACTGCTTTCTCACTGCTACTTGATCGCCACACATGGGGGACCCATCTTTGGCAGCACCAATACAAGCGAGCGGGTGGGAGCAAGGACCACAAATGCACGGACCCCTTTCCTATTTGTGGGCAATCCCGCCCATCCGTTCTTTTTGAATAAGCTTTCCTCTCCTGAGATCTTTTGGTTTTTGGCTTTACTCCACAAACACATAACCATCTTTACCAAGTGCTCCCGGTTTCCCACCCTGATATCCTCATTTCCTGTTTAGGGCTCGGCATAAACAAACATATGGCAGCTTCATAGTGATAGCTTAATTCGAGAAGAAACTGGTTTGTGGATTATGTACAGGATTTATTCATTATGTACATGCCTAGCTTGAGCTTTAGAAGACGTATCATAACGCAAAATCTCACGTAATGCCATTGTAGCGTATTGGCTAGTCCCCAATGTAAACTCGATAAGCAAAGCCAGGTGTTTTCCATCTACAAGAAAAAACCATGTACATTAGTATAGTTACCAGATAAGCTACCCCACAGACGATCCATTGCATCTAGATCCCTTCCAAATTGCCCCATTTGTTACTTACCTGGGATGTTGGTTGGTTCATCCTTATTGGTGATTTTATCCAAATCAGTGTAACACAGAGGCGCACATGGGTCGTCGTAACGGATAAGCGACCATTCCAGATCATCCGCCTTGGCTAACATAGGTCGATAGTCACCAGCCAAGTCCCTAGTGTTTTTGAGGCATGTTTAGTGATCATTATGTTCCTCCTTCAAGTGATCCCTTATGCAGCCTGTAACTCACTTCATATATTGTTCGGATTTGTCAAATGTAATCTGGTCCTTTTCTAAATAAACAATGTCAATTGTCAAGCCTCAAACGATTCCACATGCTAATAAACTTACCAAGGAGATCACGGTATATGTCACCTATTTCATTTTTGGGATACACTGTTCGATGCCCTGGGATTGGGTACACAACGTCCTCGATAGAGTATGAATCCAAATCCTCTTCAGTAAGCACCTTGGGCTGCTTTCTCTATTAATACACAAGTAGGCGTTAATTAAGCCAATCACATAACAGCAGTGCTTCACCCTGACTTATGCATCATGCAGACACACATGCGTACTGTGCATCCTTGTTTTTGTGTCTCTTGCTGCTTGGCACACACGCGCACACACACACTCTCTCCCCAAAACTTTGGTACACCATGTTCACTCACCATAGTTGGAAGTCTTCGACCAGCACTGCCACCTCGACCACGACCACGACCTCGGCCTCGACCCGATGATTTGTTCTTTGATGCATTGCCGGTTTCTTCCAAAACGATATCACCCACCAATGGCTTGTCACAACCAAATCGTTTGATGCGCTCGGATACCACGTGATTCCATACATATGATTGATACGCGTGTAAATACATGCTCAACATTCTTCGCGGAAGCTGTAATGCAAGGTTAGGTTGTACACTTAAAATAAAATCAAAATCCCCCAACATCTGTATAACTTACGGACAAGATAGCTTTCTTATGATCGTTTGGAAACCTTGTGTAAGATCGAAGCACAGCATTTTCTGAGGCAGCAGCACGTGGAAACAACTTTGCGACTTGTTCGGGATCCTTGGTTTCTTGCCATTTGATGCGTGCATTCTCGAAATCCGTTCGCTCTAGTCAAAAAAAAATCTCTCATCAATCATCCCCCCTTCTCCTTTTTCTTGATGTTCATTCCCCCATCCCCCTTACCTCCAGGACGTGGTTTCAAAATAAGCTCACAGGCTTCTTGAAATTCTTTCTTGAGAATCTGATATCCGATTTCATGGGTCATGATAGCACCAGTACCAAAACGTTGCATGCCAAAATAATTGATAAAACCATTCTCTTTGAGCGAATCGACGGATCGTACGATTTCTTGTTCACTGATGCCTGACACATCACTAACATAGAAGAGTGAGCCATCACCATCTTTTCTTTGTTTGATCCCCTTACCGTAACACAATCGAAAAACGATTGCCTTTAAGGTCACCCAATGTAAGTCCATTTGGTACATAGCTATATGAATAAACAATCATCAGCTCGATGCTTAGGTCTAGGCAACTTGAAATCAACATACTTGAAATCACCAATATAAATGTTGCGTTCATTTAGCTCTTCTCTGGCTTGTAACAGGTTTTTGACTCTTGCCTTCTGGATTGTCATTGCTTGCACTGTAACAGCTCGGGCATCCTTTGTACCAGCGAAACCAATCTTTCCCTCCTTCACACCGGCATATTGAGCGATCCACGAAACAGCCTTTGCATTCTCCACACCGCTCTTGTAAACATGGAATTGGAGGTATTCGCCACCCAATGCTTCGAAATTTGGGGCAGGATCACGGCCTAAAGAAAACAAGAGTAGCTTAGTAAGTGCCTAATAACCTCCCCCAAAACAATCCCTTCTCCATCATACTATCTTACCTTGTTCTGTTTCATCCTTTGGCCATTTCACGGTCAATATTCCTTCCTTGGCAAACATCAATGGCTTCTTTTTCAAATGGAGTTGGTCAAATGCATCATAGAAAGCAAAGCGTTGTTCCCTTGTAAACTGATTTGATATCCGATTAATGTATGATAAACACGCGGATAGTTGTTGTTCACTATACCTCGAACGTCAGCACGGTTTCTGTATCATTGGGCGTATTCAATAGTGCTCGCAATTGTTTTGATAGGTCCTCGCCAAACAGCTGAGCAATGTGGTCGTCAAACTCTGATTCGGTCATCTTTGGAATACGAGCTTTGATTTCCTTTTCCTATCATAAAGACCCATCATCAATTGTCTCGCTCCCAGAAAGAGAGGGCCGTGTCACGTGTCCTTTACCTTTTGGTCAATGGCATTTGCATCAAGACTGGTTAACCGTACAACATGGCCGTCAAGGTCGACTTCTTGTACAATGAAATCTTCGATCCTAAATACAGGGTTAATGATATCAAACCATACCTTTCTTCCTTGGAAGTAACAAACCTGTACTTGATAATACCACGGAAACCTGGCAGGGTTGGATTCACAAAGGCTGTAATGCCGGCATCGGTTTCAGTTGGTTCAGCTCGCATGCGTTTGACATTGTCGCGATCCTCATGATCAGCACGTCGTTTGCCGAGTACCGATCCCAGGCTGCCGTTTCTGGAGAGCACGTTTCCCATGGTTGAACGAGATCGAGTGCAAAAACAAAGAGAAGGAAGATGAATTAAATTTGTGTGTCAATGGCTTCCCGCCCAGCATTGTCACACGTACACGCATTTCATTGAACGCGCGACTTCCCCCCCCCCACCCAGAGTGGCACATACATAGCAACATCATACATTCACTATAGTAGCTAATTACTTTATAAAATATTGGATTTGATGTGGGTAGAAAATAAAGATACGTCTAAGCAAGAATAGCTGAAAGAGCAGGGATGACCAACAACAACGAGGTAGCAACCTTGATGGATGTAGCAGAGCCTTCAGCATCTTGATCTTCGAGAGTATCAGCTGCAGCAGAGGATTCAGCGGCCTTCTTTTCTTGTTCTTTCTTTTCTTCTTCTTCCTCCTTTTTCTTTTCTTGCTCTTGCTTCTTTTCTTCTTCTTCCTTTTTCTTTTCATCTTCAGTCTTGGATGACTCGGATGGTTGAGCGGATGACGTGGTAGTGGAGCTAGTAGAAGAAGAGGCCTCAGATGATGAAGAGGATGATGAAGCAGTAGCAGAGGTGCTAGTAGCCGAGGTAGAAGATGCCGAAGTGCTAGAGCTAGAAGAGCCACCAGAGACAGAGAATGCACCAGAGAACGAAGAAGCCCTAAATAGAAATCGCATGAATACAACAATGTCAATTGTCATTGAGCAACTTACTTCTTGCCCTTGCTGTTTTCATAGTCAATGCGCACAGCATAGCGACCCTTGGAATCCAACGATTTGGGAAGCTGAGAAATCAATGGAAGTTAGAGATGCGTATCCACGAGCATTGATAGTTACACAACATCTTGATTTGTATGTGTGTGCTGCACAAATAAAAATTTACCTCGAGTTGAGCACTGCCGTCAGAGCCATCAACCTTGGTGCTTAATCCAATAGGCACCATTGATTCACGATCAGGACCTTCAATCACATTGATTGTCACTTGTTGATCCAAGCCATTGACCCATTCTATGAAATAACAATGTTACTATAACAGCATTAGATAATGCTATGGTGTTCGCTTACTGATGGTAGCGCTATTAAAGATCGAATCAGCTTCAAGCTTCTTATAATGGAATTATGCATACTTACGTATCGCCAGCCTTCCATGTCTCACCAGGGAGAGGGGCGGTGATGTAAAAAGGCTTGTCATCTTGAGCAGCAACGAATGCAGCCAATAAGGCGAAAAGGAAAGTAAAAAGGATGGCGTTACCCATTGTAATCAAAGGAAGGGAAAGGATAAAGGATGAACGATATGGATCACATCATAGATGCTCAATCCGCTCTTTTTATATGGTTTCATGGGGATCCTTTTTCAATAGTGTCTGACGCTCCGCTATTTCCACGACTTCTCTTGATCTCATATCGCACGTTTTCTTCTTTGTCGTTATTTGGCATTTCAGGCTTCTTGTGTACAAAAAGTAAATGGCTGAGGAGTCAGCGTCTCTGGGAATTCTAAGCGAATCATTGTGTAGCCGAATATCCGAAGCTGTGATTTATTGGGCGTTCCTTGCTTTATTGTGTGCGTGTTGTAATGGTTCATTCCTTCATGTAATTGCTGCTTCAGTGCTACTGAAAGCATTCAACAAAGCATCCCGATGAATAATAGCAGAGCTGACGCGCAATGGCATTTGCATGGTAGGGATGACCATAGTTTTAAAATTAGTAGAGTGAAAGAATTGGTCAGTGCATTAAGCTTGTGTAACGCATTCAAATCCCAGAAGAATCAGCATCTAATATTCTGCGTATTCGATAGGTGTTTCTTTGACATGATTGTCAACACCATGCAGGTGCACCAAATAAATTTGTCGATTGGCTAGGGGGAGGTATTTATGAAGGTTTGGACATTTAAAGCACCCAACGATCGTCCATGTGAATTCATACAACAGATAAAGCTATTATTGTCCAAGGGGGTTGACTCCTTCCAGTATCATCAACAGGGTAATTCCCAATACGTCACACTAATCACGAGGCATAACTGACATTTTCGATTAAGGTTTCATTCAGGATAGTAGCATGCATACTTTCGTGGGATAAGTAGCGCCATTGGTATGGTTTTAATAGCTACATACACCAATTCAGGAAGCTTTATATACAAGAGTGACCATGTAGAGACGCTGTCCCCCAAAAAAACACCACCCGGATTTCATGCAGCTCACGATCAGCCATTTTTTATGTGGGGGATTCCGATCAAGCACATCAAATGAATACTTTAATATGATATCATGAGAGACTACGTCTATCAGAGGGTTCAAAGCAGAAAAGAGTGGTATCAAGGAAGTAACACACTAGAATTGCTGGTAGCGTAATCGCTCTCATCGACTACAACTAGAAGTTCTATGTAACAGAGCACGGCTAATACCTGCAAAACCTTCCACTGAACATCACGTGACACTGTTGTCGACTCTGTATCACGTGGCATGTTGTCGGACACAGCCTTGCAACACCCTTTTCCTTTTGCCACGAAATGAGCGCTCAGCAACCACGATCAAGCGCACGGCAAACTCTTATTCAAGCTGAAGAACAATACAATAAGCGCATCGACGATGACGTTGCAAAGTTGGTCGATTGTTTCAGTGACATTGTTCGTGTGGGCGAGGTAGGATCCTGAATGACGTTGCCATGGTTGTCATGCAACTCACATGGCGTTATAGAACAAAGACAAGGATAAGTTTCGTGTTGCTCAGGAAGGTTATCAGATTGAAAGTCAAAGTGCACAGATTGTAAGGGTTCTCCTGGGGGTACCAAGTAATCATCTAATATGAATGGGACATGTAGGTACGATCCACCGAGTCTTTATTGAGCTTGATCACAGAATTGAAACAGCATCTGCTTTTGAATGATACCGACACGCTATCCCAGCTCATGAAGCAACGTACCAACGCATTGGATACACAACGTGAAGAAATCAAAGATACGATATGCACTATGCGTCGTGAACTCGCCACCACCATTTATGATCTAGAATCCGTGTATTTCCGATCACTGAGTAGTTAAATGAAGTAATACAAATATACGTGTATGTGTGGAATCTTTTGTGTACATATCTAAAAACGAGGATGAATGAACAAGTAGAGGGGGGAGGAGCATTTTCATGAATGTGTGTATATAAAAATGTGCGTGTGCGTGTGCGTGCGTATGTGTGTTTGTGTATATGAGTGGAGGAGGATGAGACGGCTATAATCGTTTACTATTGATGATGATGTTCTTGATGATCATCGCCACTATGGCCATTGTTACTGCTGCTCGAGCTTCGTTGAGAAGAAGCACCACCAAGTGATTGCAATTCCACCAGTCTACGGAAAACGCCATCCTTCTTGTTGACGAGATCATAATATGTACCCATCTCAGCGACACCACCTTTGTCAAGGCACATGACCACATCAGCTGATCTTATTGTAGATAATCTGTGAGCTATCGTCAAACAAGTCCTTCCTTGCATCAAGTGGTTCAACGCATCTTGTACAAGCGCTTCAGATTCTGAATCCAATGCACTGGTAGCTTCATCCAAAACGAGAATCGACGGGTTCTTTAGCAAGGCACGTGCAATGGCAATACGTTGTTTTTGGCCACCACTCAAACTCACGCCTCGTTCACCGACCAAGGTATCATACTGATCATGGAATGATTCAATAAATGAAGCACAATTGGCCCTGGTCGCCGCTTCCCGAATCTCATCCATAGTAGCATTTTCACGACCATAGGCAATGTTGTCACGGATAGTGCCTGCAAACAGCGTAGGTTCTTGCGATACGACACCGACATTCTCTCGCCACCATGTCAAGTTGATATCCTTGAGGTTGGTGTCATCAATGTAAATGTTGCCGTGGTTTGGATCGTAGTATCTGAGGAGCATCGAACCAATAGTGGATTTACCCGAACCAGAAGAACCAACAATAGCAACCACTATACGCATTACACAACGTCAGCCTTTCATCATTTCCACCATTTCCATACACTCCTTACCTGTGCCAGGACGAATATCGAGTGAGAGATTATTGAAGATCGGTGAATGGGGTCGACTTGGGTAGGAGAAGCATACATTTTCAAATTGAATCTTGCCCTGAAGGTTGCTAAGAATCTCGCCGGCTAGAAGAAAAAAGATACATTAGCAATCAATTTCTTTTCTTCAATTGTATCACTCCACAGCCAATATACGTACAATTCATCTTGATGGGGCTTTGTTGGTTCATGAGATCGAATAAACGCTCAGCAGCACCAGCTCCTTTCATGATTTCCGAGTAAAAGGATGTCAAACCTATATAGCATAGAATTAAGTATACACATCAAAGGTGTACAAACGCACGCATTATGCATAGGATTTTACTAACCTCCCAAGGATGTGCCCACATACGCTGTGTACAACATGAACGACGCAAGTTCACCAATAGTGATTGCATTCTCCATCACCATGTGTCCACCATACCATAATACAGCGAGAATAGCAAGGTTTCCTGAAAGACCAGCACCACCAAAGAACACAGCGCTAGCAATAGCTTCCTTCCTTGCAAGGTCGTAAACACCCATCACCCGGTTCCAATATCGATTTCCCTCTTCCTTTTCCTTGGCAAATGCTTGAACGGTACGGATGCTGCTAATGCGTTCTTCTCCAAGCTTGGTAATCTCGCTCAATGCTGTCTGGGTTTTGCGGGAAAGATTCTTGACATAACGGCCATACAAGATACCAAAGATGCTGACAGGTGGAACGACAACCATCATGACCGCTGTAAGCTTAGGACTATAAACATGCGTATCAATAATGTGAATCGTCATATAAATCCATCACCGTTTTCTTCATTACCTAACCCAAAACATCATGCTACTACCAACCACGGCCGTGGCAAGAGCTCTAGAAAAGAATAGCACTACTTTAGTATATGGGTAGTATACACCAAGATCATTCCTTTTCTCATACCTTAAACCATCACTCACGTTACCGGTGATACTTTTGCCGACAATGGCTGTGTCGACGGACAATCGGGAAATCAACTCACCGGTCCTGTTCTTGTCAAAGAATGCCATGTCTTGCCTGAGGATGTTCTTGTACAAGTCATTACGTAACCGTTGGATGATCCTTTCACCAGCCAGTCGAAAGAGCAATACTCGGCCACTGTTTGCTATAGCACCCACTGCGAAAACTGCCGAAAGGACACCCATAAACTGAGGCATAGACAAGCCAAGATACCCTTCCATGTCAGGATGCGTGACAATATCAATAATCTTGCCCATGGAAAATGGAACCGACTACTCTCCACCCTTCATTAGTATGATACATATACTCTTGATGAATAGCCTTACCATAGTAACGGATGAAGATATCAGCAATAAACCAATGGCAGCTATATTGACTATTAGCCTCATCATCCTACCCAAATACAAAACCATCTATGATATCTTACCTGTGATGCTTTTTATCTCGGGTTTAGCTAGTTGAAACAGACGCTTGATATCTTTGGTGTCGTTAGCTGCTGCCTGCTGCTTGCTTTGACTAGCAACAGCTTCGATATTGGACCCATTCAACTTGGGAGTTGCCGTGTTTTTGACAGCATTGGAAGAGGAGGAGGAGGTAGGTGGTTTGGTGGAATAAAGAGCGAGACGATCGCCCAATGTTGATCTTGGTAATAGATTAGAGTGACGAGGAAGTTGTTTATGGAAGCGTGTTGTATAAATGCGTGCTGAAGTTGTGGGCCCATTGGTAATGAACGGCCTGGTCTTTAAGGTGGACCGAGAACAAGTCGCCAGGCATCGCAACATTGGATAAAGTACTCGAGAATGGGGTTGCTGACAGAGAGAGAGAGAGGAAGGGAGAAAGGGAGGGGCGCGGATACAAGGAGCAGCTGACTTCCGAATATAGGCGAGGATTTACAAGGAGTAGTCATCATCCGATCGATATGGGATGTCATCAGATAAAGTCATTATGGTTTATGCTCTCTATATCGTCTATGCGATCAATAGTGATTTATTGCATCATTGGGTTGATCTAATGAAGAAAGATGGAAATAGGACGATGGATAGGTCCACTTGATGGTGTGTTGTGTAGGTTTGCGTGTGCGTGTGCGTGTGCTTGTTTCGAACAATAGGTATGGGATATTTACAGTCTGGAGATGACAGCAGAGGTGAACTCCTTGGTGGTGCTGTTACCGCCCATATCAGCGGTTCTCGCCTATAAATGTCATTTTAGTTTAGTATGGTTATCCATTGGAGATAATAAAACATGCATTTTATACTTACAGCATTGGTGGTAATGGTCTCATAGACAGCGCTGGAGATTCTGTTGGCAACCTCATCTTCATTCAAGTGTCTCAACATCATGACAGAGGACAAAAGCATAGCAGTGGGGTTGGCGGCGTTCTTGTTCTGGAGGTCAAGACCCACGTGACGGCAACCCTAAATTAACCCAGCGTAAACATTGCAGCTCCAATAATAATACCCTGGCTAAACCCAGCGTTGATTTACTTACAGGTTCGAACATGGCATACTCGCGGCCAATGTTACAACCAGGAACAAGACCAGGACCACCGATCAAACCAGCACCCTTGATAAATAAATCCCATTAGCATTTTACCTTGGCCATGTATTTACAATGATGATACTTACAACGTTGGAAACAATGTTACCATACAAGTTAGGCATGACCATGACATCGAATTGCTGAGGACGAGAGACAAGTTGCATGGAAGCTACAATGCATATAAAGATAAATACCCCAAAACTACCCTTTGTATGAAGGATCCACACTTACTGTTATCAACAATCATGTCGTTGAATTGGATACCATGGTGTTCGTACTCCTTGGCAACATCACGGCAGGTGCGCAAAAAGAGACCATCAGCGAGCTTCCTATAAAAAGGAAGATCCAAATCAATGTTAGTATGACCATCTCTTTTTTTTTTCTAATCCAACCCAGGAACTTACATGATGTTAGCCTTGTGAACGGCAGTGACCTTCTTGCGGTTGTTCTTGAGAGCAAAGTCAAAAGCGAAACGAGCAATACGTTCAGTCTTGGCACGGGTGATAATCTTGAGGGATTCAACAACACCAGGAACAGACTATGGAATAAATTGTGTGTGAGTGTGTGTCTGTGTTAGAGTTCGGGAAAATGCTTTGTCCAAATTTTTTTTCATTACCTGATGTTCCAAGCCAGAGTATTCACCTTCAGTGTTTTCACGAATGACAGCAATATCAACATCGTTCAAGCGGGCAGGGACACCAGGGATGTTCTTGATAAGAGAGAGCGAGGCGTACATGTCAAGATCCTTACGCATAAGGACGTTGAAAGAGCGGTGGCCAAGCTTGGAGGTGGGAGTGAAAAGAGTACCCTTGAGACCAACCTTGTTGCGACGAAGCGAAGCAAGGGATTGTTGGAAGAGAGAGTCATCCTCAGAGGTCAAACCAGAGACATCATATTGCTCAAATTCAACAGGAGCATCGGCAGCCTTAAAGACATCCTTGACACAGGCAGCAATTTCTTGACCAATACCGTCACCAGGAATAAGGGTAACACGGCTAATACCACCATACTTCTTGGGGTGAATCTAATAGTATGCGTTATTATCTAATGGATACATCACTTGGTTTCTATGACTTACAGTCTTTTGCTCGGCAGGTGCAGGGGTGGGAATGGAGGTAGCCTGCGAGGCGAAGGAGCGAGTGGCGGTCTAGTCATGGTGGAAGAAGAGTAATGCATGTGAGCAGACAGCATCGAGTCGACATCTTGTATAATAAATGAAAGTAAACCCACCTGCTTAAGAGCAGCAGCGTTGTTCACAGCAAGGGTACGGGCAAGCATATTGTTTTTTGTTTGTGAAAGAGAGAGAAAGGCGCGGGATATCCTAGGCGAAAGTTTTTGCAGCCGCTTCCCGTGCTGAGTTCAGCTGTATCCAGCTTTGCCTGAAAGTTTTTCCTTTCTTCCATAAAATACCCCTCCTTTTTTACAAGGCGTATCATGGATGCTGATATTTGACACTTGCATAATCTACAATGACTATCATTATCTCCAAACAATGGCTATCTGCCTCTTGATATAGATGATTTGCCGCTGATGGAGTAGCTAACAAACCAGAGAGGCGCCCCCCCCAAGGATTCACATCGAGTTGTAAAGGTTCTTCCATAATAGCCATTATAATTGACATACACTTACTTGCCCATCCACGTATAAAAAGAATGGACGTGTGATGTATGTATATTTGTTCAACTCTACAACAGACCACATGAGCACCCGCTGGGTTTTATGGTATAGTAAGCACGTGAAGTTGCACATCGTAGCACATACACAGCAAAGTGGTTTTCTGACAGCAGACTCCAGAAACCATAGACATGGTTCTTTTTACCTTGGGAATCCTCAAATTGCCTTATGTCCCAATATTCACACACATGTACAATATTAAACACTCATACAATCTGGCAAGATAGGTTGACTTTTATGGTTGGGTAACAATGACTGCTTACACGTACGTGATGTGAGCCTAAATAGAGATGCATAAAAAAGGCGTTGTGGCGCAATGGTCACGTGCATTACGTTGTAAATACCATGGGTGATTTGCATAAGCAGCAAGTTCCTATGTCCTGCAAATGTCACACGAAAGCAATAGCTCCAGTAATTGATTACATAGATGCCCTCATTGATAAATAATGTTTGCTGTAAGCATGATAGAGTTGTATTGTCTTAAGTTCTTCTATGGCAATGTGTGGTGGTGATGGTGGGGAGGGGAGGGGGATCATAATATACAGGAGTTTGGAGGAGTTGGTACAAGAAACATTAATACAAAAGTAAAGGATGTGATTGAGGTTAGAATGATACTGCGGATGGGGTGTGGATGAAAATGGTGGTAGTGTTGGAGGAGGTATGGCTATAAATAATTGTATTCTTGATGAAGAAAACGGATATATGCACTAAACGTGCTCCACATGGATCCAGTAAACTCCTGAGCACGACTTGCAATGAGGCCATCAAGGAAAGGTACCAGATACTTGCCATATTGGATACCATCTTCAGGGTTGATGAGTGTAGCCAGCTTGGATTGCTTAAAGTCGAAAAGGTCCCGAAGGGTGACAACACAAGGAAATGCATCAAAGATTGGCTGAATAAGTGGGTGTTCGCGAGGATCAGGTGCATCGGTGGCCATGAAAAGCACTAATGGATGACGAGGGGTGGTCATTGTATTCCAATCCACAGCTTCCTTTTTCTCGCCAATATCCTCGTTCAAGCATTGTAAATGATCTTGGCCCATAGCATACTGCTGTTGTTGCTCATGCTCATTATGCGCGACCAAAGGCAAGTACTTTTGCAAATCAGACCATAGTTTACCCATGACTTGAGGTGAGAAGCGTTCAAAGATACTATCTCCAACACGAGCATGAATCGACACATAGGAACGAGGACCACCCAAACGATGCATGATGCGATCCGCTTCTTCGAATAACTCTGGAAGGGCTTGGCGAGAAAATACAAATTGCTGAAACAAGAAATCACGCAAGTCCTTGCTTTCTTGACTGGTGTACATGACACGTCCAGTACCAAACAATGATCCAAAGCTTAAAAGGCGTTCCTTGCGTCGTGCCAAGTCCCATATGAAAATCTCCCTTTGATACTTTTGCAATGGTTGGTTCTCAGTGTCCGATATCCGGTAATCGTACAACAGCTCGTCCTTGATATGATACGTGTCATCATTGGTAATGCCATACTTGCGTTGCAAATAAGAGCGATCATAGTCATCACGATACCGTATGTTGATACGTTGCTTGATGCGTCGAAGGTCAAAGAGGCGATCCCAGCGGAGCGATGTATAGCGGAATGATTGCTTGCATTTTTCAGGCACCTCTTCTTGTTCACCATGACCCAGCAAAAATGCACGACACTCGTCCGCAATACGCGCCTTGGTGCCTCGACGGTGGAATGACTCGAGTGAATCGTATTTACGCCAGTGAATGGGCTCGCCAAGGACCACAGGGGGCATGAGCAATGTCCGATTCAAGCGCTCAGCCAACATGAGAGCATTGACAAGAGCGATGCGTTGATTGTGGAATCCAGAATGTGGGTAAAAGGAGATAAACTTTTCGTCAGGGCTTCGACCATCACCCAGTGGTAGATAATCATTATCCGAATCCTTTCTGTAGACGCTATCTTCAGGAACGCCGTCGGTGGTATTGTGATTGTTGTTGCCAGGATTCGATTTGACAGGTAATGACGTCGACTTTTTGCTATCCATCACTTCTTGTAACTTTTCCTTCTTATCATTGTGTCGGATACGGCGAATGGACTCGAGGACAAACTCACGTGGCAGAGTCACGTCAATTTGCTGCTGTTGCTGTACATCATCATCGTTTCCACCGCTACGTTGTTGTTGGCTAATAGATTTGTCGTACTTGTCATGCTGATATCGTTCCATGTGTGATTGTTGTTGTTCATACTCTTGATACGCTGCGTCACTACCCATATGGGAGGGTCGTCGCATGCTGGATATCGGTGGTCGTGCTGAGGATTGGAAAAAGAAAAGGAATAGGACGGCTGATATCAGGGATACAGTGGCTAGCCTTCGTAGTTGCCTATTGCGTTTGACAGAACGAATAAACATTGGGATAAAAGGAGTGTATTGGGGGGGGTTATGGATATAGGAAAAGCACAAGAGGGAAAGAAAGAAGGAAAGAAAGAAAGAAAAGAACGGAGAAAGAAGAAAGAAAAAACGCAACGAGAAAGAAAAAAAACTAGCGTGTGTATGTGTATGAGATTGCGTGTTTATGTGAGAGCGGATACTGTGTATATTGTGCGTGTGAGCATGTGTACTTGATTGACGTCGAAAGACACTTGAAAGCGGATCGTCGTAGTTGCACTCAGAAATCGAATATTGCGATGCTTCCATTTGACTTTAGTGTGCAGTGTGTAACATTAGACCATCGTGTTGATAATACCAAGCAATCTCCTCTTTGCTCCTTTCCTTTTCTTCCTCCTTGCCTATTTCAATAGCATTCAGCAGACAAAGGCATGGTGATATCTCTTATAAGGTTTCGGTCATTCAACTATTATGCGTAGTATATAAGGGTCGCATGTCATTGCATACACACCATACCGGCTATATCCTATGGAATGGATGGTATGGGAATGAAAGGTAAAGAGACACCAATTACTTTTGGGTTAGACTTGAGATGTCCTTTCCCTGGTTGGAGCAAAAAAGAAAAAAGCGGCGCCCATGCATCAGCAAGTATAACGACGTGCATTGGGAAAACGACGATCTTACAGCAGGGTTGTGTAACACAACTGAAAGACAAAAAGGCGGAGAAAACGTAATGCCTGAGCGTGCTGCAATCCATAAATGGCAAGGTGTAGATCCTTCGTGTGCTCCTTTGTAACGCAAGTTTCTGCTTCATTAAACAAACGGTGTCACAAATCCAACTATCTCACACAACACAATGCGCAAATCAGTGGCCTACGTGTTAAAAGTCGATAAACCCAGGATCAATCTTATCCAAATGAAAGATCACCTGGCTGCTGTAGGCGTTTATTATGAAAGCAAGGATGACACGGCCCCCACCCCCTTATTTCTACATTTGACCTTACCATGCTTGGTAGCAGCAGGTTGTTTTAGTCTGAGCTTACCAGCAGCTTTGCGTAATGAAACAATTAACGGATGGCTTTTCCCGATATACGCTATAAAGCTTAAGAGGGAATAAACTTTGCGGCACATGATACCATTCGCACCGCGGATATTGTATATATTATACAATCATAGGCAATATCCCTGGTAATCATTTGCAATTTATCCCATATCCTTGGACGAGATACATAATCAACAACGTCTTGGCTCATGATGATGCTACCTAATATATGCCGCCACCATTTAAGAAACACCTACAAGCTGCATGCTGTGTCTATTGCTTTATGATCATACGTTGCTACATGTCAACTTGCTCATCACAATCCTATCCTTGATTACATTCAGACAACATTTGGTTGAAGAAATGGTATCAGCTACTATTTAAGAGTGGGGTTTATTCATTTTGAAAAGGGGGTATATAAACCGCTACTACAGTATCTTGTGTACATGCCTTGTGTGATTTATTGAGCAAGACGACCTCCATGCCGTGAATCAGGACGTGTTACGGGTGACTCTGGAATCAGCAATGGTGGTGGTTTCTTAAAAGATCTCCTTGGCTTTTTGGATGTCTTAAAAGGAAAAGATCAATGGATGAGTGAACCATGTTTTCGATGAATCAACCCTTCTACATACCTTATTTTGTAGTGAAATGTCCGCTGAATGGAACGAAGGTGTAGTTGATGTAGTACTTGTCTTGTCTGAAAGATGCGTTGCACATCGCCTTGCACGTCTAGGGGTACCAATGGTGCCCAACTTTTCAACGACACGGCCAAAAAATTTGGATGATGAACGTGCAAATCCCATCGTAGCAGCACTAAAGGATCGTTGCAAGCCTGGTGTTGGTGGAAGATCAGCATTACGAGAAGTAGCAGCAGCAGCAGCAGCAGCTGTAGTCTTTTTGTTGTTTGGATGAGCTTGGTTACTTGTATTAGAAGAACCTCGCCTTGATAATTTAAAAATCATGCTTTCAGTATTGACAGGAGGCGGTTGGTGACGATGTTGTGATGACAAGGATCGTTTTCGGTAAACTTCAGATTCGTTCATCTGATCACTAGTACGAGGTTGGTTGGCAGTATTAGATAACGTAGGTTGTTGGGGTGCTGATATCGGTGCTGTGGTTGCCGGTGGTGCAGATCCTGCTGCCATTCTTGCTGTGATATCATCAAACACCATTGATTCGGACATCCGCAGTCGACTTGGAAGTGAAGCTTTGCGACGCACAGCGCTCTTGAATGCTTCAGTCATACCATGTTTGTTGGCATCTCTAGGGGATGACATTGCTGAGCTATTACAAACACGTGATTGCTGTTGATGCTGCTGCTGCTGCTGTAGGATTCGTTCTTCCTCTACAACATTGGTGAATGCAAGCATGGATGCTGATTTGCCCATACGGCTCTTTCGTTTCCATTGATCGACTCCACTATATCGATCATGACGTGCTTGTGTACGAGCTGTTAATATAGGCGTTGTGCAAACGTCCTCAAATTTGTTGTCAATGTTGGTGCAGCGTACATTGTGTTGTTGATGGCGACGCTGAATACGAATGTCAGCAACCGTATGCGTGACGAAATCATAAAAATCTCCAAAGCTGGCGTGTGATCGCATGCCTGGAGAATTAAGCATGCTACTTTGGGCTGATGCGGAATGTGTGGGTGAATCATCATTCAATGTGTCGTTTGAAGCTGTTGTATGAGGCGTATCTGGCTTGTCAATACCACTTGCTACTACACCTGTAGACGTCTCATTGCGTGATGCGTAACTACTTAAGCTGGTGGTTGAAGATGATATGTGTGGTTGTTGTTGTTGTTGAAGCTGTACATTGCTGGATGCTGTGGATGGTGTAATATTATTGAGAGAGGATACAAAAAGTTCTTCGATTGCATTGCCGGGTGTTTGCCCATCGACTCCATTTTCTTTGCTAGATTGAATAGCTCTTCGTAATGCATCCACCCATATTTGTTTCTCTTGTTCACACATGGCACCAAATTCGATCGTGTATTGGTCGTTCCTTAAGAACCATGTATGGTACGAGCTGGCTAAAGCAAAAGGATCAGCATTGAGGTATAAAGGAACAAGCGTAAAACGTACGATGGTCATCTGGAAAGTCCTCAAGATCAAAAATGCGTAAGGGAAACCAATGGCGTGGTTCATACTTGTCATATTTCTTGGCCTTGACAATGATCATGTAGGATTTGAATAATGCACATCCAAGTCGTTTAACCTTAGGTCCTTCATGCCACGCACGGACATCCAATGTCCCAATCAAAGTACATGATCCTAATAGCCCATAGAATCGTTTGGATGCAGCCTACACATAAAAGTGAGTAACCATAATCGTTATCCTTCTAACTTTACTTACATTCACCCAATCAGGCTCTATACGATTCATGAATAATCGTGTCTTTCTCTCAGCTTCCATGATCGATTTCTTCGAGTTGAGGTTGATGGCGACACCATGCATCACTTTTAGAGCCTTTAGCAAAGCATTGTGCTCCTTTGAATCGGACTGGGTCGTTTTAAGGATGGATTCGAGCATCAGCTTGTACTTGAACAACCGTTGTACAGGCTACACATGCAAGAGTGGGGGGTTATCAGCATGATGTATGTAAACCATTATAGGAGGTGGACCGTTACCATAATGAGATAGTCATCGAATTTGCGTCGTCCATTGGCGTCAGCTTGGCGTTTGGTCAAATGGAGCTTCTCGAGCGTGGATACAAATGCTGGGTTGGTATCAATCAGGTCTTTGTGCAAAGCACATGCCTTGTCGTGATACATGCAGTAATCAATGTATACTTGAAACTTGTCTCCCTGAATAGTAGTTACACAAAGTTAGCATAATGCAAATGTAGATGGCTGTCACTATTCATTTTACCCATTCGCAAAAGCATTGTGCGATATTGATGACACGTTCATCCATCATTGATTCCTTCAACACCATGCTGGATTGCCGTAATGCTTCCATGAATTTGGTTTGGAATTGTAAAATGTCGTCAGCGTTCCTCACCAATCGATTATGTATTGATTCAGATAAGCATTTGGCATGTTTGATGCCTTTGAAGAAATGCTAACAAGCGAGTGTGTGAGAGGCTTTTTCGCATGATATTCATTGTTGGGACGACATACATTGACAAGAATATCGAGATCTCTGCAATAGCTATCTTCTGTTGTGAGCAGCTCATCTACAGCGGCCTCTCGTTTCAGGACATGGCGTTCAGATAATGTGCTGCCGGTTTGTGCATTGTTCTTCAAAGCGAGCGGAGAAGCAATTGCTGCTGATTGATCATGACGGCCCTGTCTTTGAATCTCTGGCGTGAAGAGACAGTGGGGAACTTCCTCGTTGCCACCTGCAACACTGGTAGTTGTTGAATCAGCTTTGAATTTGTCAAGCAATGGCGATGGTGTGTCCAATGGCGAATCCTCAACTCGACAAGTAAGAATATTATCAATAATGGTGTGAATAGTACGCGTATCAACTCTGTGAACAAGCTCTTTCCCAAGTGAAGCGGGGTCGGAAGATAACTTGAGAGCTGCCGAACGCTTGGATGCCTTGGCTGCTGCTACCATGGCAGCGGCAGCAGCAGCAGACATGTCAGCTTTTCTTTGACGCCCTCCTTCATTGATGGAACTGGTAGTGCTCAATAGTGACTCGGAGCGTGGCAAGTCTTTTGTCATGATGTGAAAGAAACAATAGTAATAAAGGCTAAAGATCAAATAAAAAGTGAGCCATCTCGGAAACTTATTAAGGATCGTCATTGGCATGGTACGCACACACATACACGCTGACGAACAAGGCGTTAGAAAGCAGTAGTTAGTTGATTCCCAAGGTCTCGGTCAGGGTAGCAATATACACAACATCGTTTTTGGTATCAACCTCCTATGTAGTACTTGTTTGTGTGGATATTTCCGAGTATCCTGTCTCGATTCTTTAATCATATGCAATGTTGATGAATGTATGTCTAGCATGCTTAATTGATATAGAGGGATGGTGTGTTGCTCTATGTGTGTGTGTGTGTGCATGTGGTGGTACTACTACAACTACAACTACTACTTCATTTGGCGTGACGTCATGTTCATTCAGAGCTGGTGGTTGGATTTTGTTTTTTGCCCTCTGTTGAAGCCCGCAAGTTGAACTCTCCATACAACAACCCACACCGTACAACAACATGTCGGCAGTCTTTGGTGTTTCTGAATTGGCAAGAACCACTGTCTCATCGACCTCTGCAGCTGAAGCTACAAAGCGTGCCCTCGCTCTCTATCGAACTTTCCAGAAATCGGTACGCATTCGACCTCTTCATGTTGAAACCCCACCCCCCACGCGCGTGTTTCCATGACCACCCACAACAAACAAATGTAGTGCGTCCATGAAGCTAATATGATATACACAGGTTCCCGAAATCCAAAAGTTGTATGAGCTCGATCTTCCTGAGTCAGCTTTGCGTGCCAAGATCCGTGAGGAATTCGAAAAGAACCGCCATGTCACCGATGTCCAAGTACGCGATGTGTTGCTTGCCAAGGGTCAAATGGAATATCAAGAAACTATGAATCTCTGGAAGCAGCAAACTCATGTTTACCGTTACTTTGCCGAAGAGGAGGCTGCTCCCAAGCCCGTTACTTTCTTGGACAAGTTCTTTGATGGCAGATCTCCTTAAACGATCCTATCACCACAGCAACCCATTGTCACCATCCGCTCATATAGCAAAAACGCAATAGAAAAAAGTCGCACACACACTCTCAGACACACTCTCATTCACACACGACCACGCCCATTTATATATATTTGAGGATGTTTTGTTTATTCACAATGGAAGTAATCGACATTTACTTGAGATGGAAATGGACATTGTTAAGGGAGAAAGCGCGCGAGAGAGAAAGGAAAGGACAAAGATGGGAGGGTTAAGCTTATGGATGAAGTGAACAATGGCAACAAGCACGTGGAATTAAGGGCGGTGGGGGAGGAGTATCTCTAGTTGAGTTGATGAAAGAAATGTGAAGGTATATCAAAGGGCGTCTATGACCACCATATCCCATCCAATACTGAGACGTGACATGCCATCGAGTGATCTCAATACTTGCTCAATTTCATCTTGACCCAGCCGTAACCGCAAATCGTCCTTGCATACAACATGGAGTGATTCTAGCCAGGGGTAGAGTTGCTTATCAGTCAAAAGGGGTCTGAGCAAAGAGACATCATCTGCAAATTCAAGGTGTAGTTCAAGCTGCTTTAAACAGGGAAATATTCGCTTGAGTTGTTTTCCATCAATCTCGGTAGTCAACCTGGCTGACAACTTTTCCAGCTGTGGAAATATCCGGTGGTGGTCTCGCATCCAATTGTCAATAGAGCAAGTGGGTACATCTAACGATTTGAGGGTGGATGAAAGTGGCAAGGTGTCATGATCAATGATGATGGGGCTGGTGGTGGTAGTGGTGGTTGTAGTGGTACTCCAATGATCATCATGTGCGTCTCTCAATGTGATCGCTTCTTTACAAAAGTACGATTGTTTCAATAATATCGGATGAATGCAGCACGGTACATGAACCTGCATGCTTGTCAATGGCTGTTGCTGTCGTTGTATAATTTGTTGCAACAACTCAGCGGCAAAAGTACATGCATTGGTATCTTCCACTGCGAGTGTCAAGTGTGTTGTACGCCAATCCTTTTTCTTAAAACACCGGCTTTGCTCAAGAATGCCATATAAATCTTTTGTCGTATAGGATGATGACTTTGGGATAATGATGTTCACGGGACCTGACCATAGGGCCCAATCTAGTGTTAATGCGCATAGTCCTCGACATGTCCTACAACAGCATCCAAATTCTCCTGTCAGGGCTGGCACACAATAGGGACACACCCACTAATATACATACCTTGCAACAGGAATTAAGGCGGTGTGGTTTTTGTCTTGTAAGATGTAGTAGTTTAGAATATGGAGGAGGAGTTCGTCTGGTAGTGATAGCAGCATGTTCGATGTTTTATTGTTTTCGTGAGCGTATAATGATAGTATATTAGAGAAAGAAGCAAGTATAAAGTAAAAGAAGAAAGAAGAAAGGAGAAAGAAAACATGGGTTCCTTGTCCTTTTTTTTTACATAGTCCAATTCGTGATGTTGACTTGGCAGCTTCAGCGGCTGACATGACACTTGCACCTGTTGGCAAGCACGTTGACACCTATTCTATCAATCAGCCAGCTCCTGTTCAAAATCCTCCCCCCGCCTTATCTCTCCCTCCCCCAACCCACGCCATATTTAGGCAAGAGTGATCAGAAGCATGACGTAGCTATCCACTTTGTAGTAGTTTTCCTTAACATTCTTGACCTTTATGATGACGCTTGATCATCCCATTTATCCGGGATTACATTATTCAATGGGCAAAGGGCTACCATAGGAACCGAAAATAGACTTTGATGGCATTATGACGTTGGCCAATGCACAGCTGACATCCATTTGTCGTCAGGATGCCCGCTGCCACAGCGTTGTTTTGCATTCGTAAATGAAATGCATAAAGCACACCAATATAGAAGCAGCTGCTATATTGTGTGGTGGAGTTGAAGTGTCAGTGGTATCGTTATTGCAATTCGTTAGCGGGCTGTGAATGTACAAAGGTAGCATTGATCATTTGGTGAGACGCCGCTTGAAGGGAGTTTTAGTATAGCACTGATGTTAGCTTTCAAGTATGAACTTTTATTCATCGCTGCAGGAGTTGACGCTCTATGTATAATCCACCCTACCCAACAGAAGAACGATGCTGTCAGGGTACCATACCACGACCAGCAGCTTTGTATTTGTATATAAAGCGTGATTATGTATGTACTTGGTATCGAGTGAAACACAGCAGGCTCCTTTAGGCCATATCATCTTTTGATCTTTGTATGGACATCGCAAGCCCACTTTTATTTCGCATACATGTATGTATATAAACAAGTATCGCCCAGCGTATATCGGAATAACTTTAATGATCGCCTGTCCGTGGGAATGTCATTGTCCAATCACCATTGTCCGATACTATGGCTATGTGTCATGACACAAAACTTGTTGATATTGCGGGGGAGACCCACCTCTTCTTTCTCTTTTCCTTGATCGCAACCATGGCCAACGATAATGAACAGCAACGATTGTACCAGCCCAAGCCGCTTACTGCCATCACTCGATCCTCATCGCAATCGTCCTTCTTGAGCCGCCAAGACACACCTGTGGATATCGACGGAATGAGTTGGCCAAGTATGCTTTCCTTTTTCTTTCCACGCTTCACACATCCGCTTTTGCTATCCTTGTATGTACCTGCTAATGCATTGAACGGATATCAAAGGTATAGGATCCAAAGAAAGACGTGACGAAACGACTCAAGATCGCGAAGAACGACAAAAAAAGATCTCAGAGGCTGTGCGTACCATTCTCTCTTGCATTGGTGAAGATCCTGATCGTGAAGGATTGCTCAAGACACCTGACCGATATGCCAAAGCATTGCTCTTTTTCACAAAAGGATATGAGCAGAATATTCGAGGTGAGTATCATGCAATCAGCGGAGAACAAAATGCATGAATCTAATTCTCCTCCATATCCCAGATGTTATCAATGATGCTATCTTTGAAGAAGGTAATTGTAAAGAGTGACCAGCAGGGTTGAACCAGTGGATTTATTTCTTTTTGAGCGTAGACCATGATGAAATGGTGCTTGTCAAAGATGTGGATGTCTTTTCGCTGTGTGAACATCATATGGTGCCCTTTACTGGCAAGATAAGCATTGGCTATATTCCAAATCGTCGTGTCGTTGGTCTCAGCAAATTGGCGCGTATCGCAGAAATGTTCACCAGAAGGTAATGCCTATAGACGATGGAAATAGCAACATGGGCTGACATTGGTTTACAGATTGCAAGTACAGGAGCGTGTCACAAAGCAAATCGCCACTTCTCTTATGGAGATCTTACAACCCCAAGGTGTAGCCGTTGTCATGGAAGCCTCACACTTGTGCATGTGTATGCGGTAAGTATGAAAGGGAGAGAGCGTGATATCTATTTTGATTTTCTTGACACTCACACAATCCATGCTTCTTTTCTCAACAGAGGAGTGCAGGTAATTTGAAAACAAACGTGTGAATGTGATTGGGATGATTAACCCAATGTTTATAGAAACCTGGAAGTGCCACAACAACAAGCTGCATGATGGGTAAGAGAAGGATGGTCTTTTTATCACACTACTATGAGAGATGGAATGGCTGATGTAGCATACACTAGGTGTTTTCCGAAGCAACCCAAAGACCCGTGAAGAGTTTCTTACATTGATCAGACGATAGTTCACTTACTATATCATCATCTTCCTCTTTGATGTCCAAAAAGGTACTTCAACATTACCATGTGCATATCTGACCGCCCTACTTTTCCGCAAGAAAACCATCGTAGACATTGTATAAACTCATTATTCCTTTCCTTTTTATGGTTTCAACACGTTTATAATATACACACACAATATCTAAATATCTTTTACATTGCGTCAAAGCTGATGGTGTCGGTGTCGTTGTTGTTGTCGTTACAAATTGCCTGCGACGACGGCCTTTTTGCACAATGCGAGAGCCTTCAGATAATCGCCCCCTGCCTCTGCGAGAAAGTTGGCTAGTATTTGTCGATCGTGATATGGCATGATGGCACAAAGATCATCCAACTCTTTTTGGTATGCTACAGGTTGCTGTTGTTGTTGTTGCTGCTGCTGAGCTGCTGCTGGTGGTTGTTCATTCATTATGGGTTGGGATGTTGACGGATATTCATTCATGATGGGTGATGGAGATGCCCTTTTCGAATTGCTCCGGCTAAGGGATGGTGTAGTGTATCCTCCCTATAAATAGTCTTAGTATTGGATGGGTCGTCTCCAATGGATCGTGTAAACTTACCTTGAAACCAGTTTCAGTACCAGATTGGCTCGATCCACTTGTACCACTTCGAGACCTTAGTGACTTCCTGCTGAGGGAAGAGAACAACTTGATCGATCTCTTGTCACTATCCGTGCTCATGGATGATATACTACACGTCTCCTTTTGCCTCTCGGTTTCCATTTTCTATAGCAATACAATGATAAGCACCATCATCAACGACGCCATCTTACTCTAGATCTCCTCCCCTCCTTACCTCTGGATAACTCTTGCTATGGGGTATGGGTCGGCTGGGTGTGTCTATATGGTCATAAGGTGTGGTATTGACATTGGCTCGACTCAATGAATCATGTAACGCTGTTGGTGACTGATGTGGTAAAAGGTTATGGGCAGCAGAAATAAGATCGGTAGGCGTGGTAGTAGTTGTAGTGGTGGTAGCTGAGGGCTCATTGGAGATGGGCGAAGAATTGCTGTATATGGCTGCTGCTGCTGCTGCTGCTGTATTGTTGGATTTTACACTTTCAGAGGTGATCTTGGCCCACATGTCGTCTGCACCCTTGTTCTTTTTGTTGGTGGATAATAATGGCTGAAGAATTGATTTCTTTGTAGGCTTTCTTTGTCTTGGAGTATAAGCTAATTATATCATGTGAGTAATGTACACAAGTATATATAGAGATAAACGCCTTACTTTTCATTATGGCAGGTGGACCACGATGGGTAGATTTCTGGATCCAGGTAGATAGGCCACTATTGGACCGTATACAATGATCAAACGCAGTACCTAATTTATTATCATTAACCAATGTGTGCTACAATCAATGGATACACGTTACACCAACTTACCATACGCCGCCATACGTTGCGATGCATCATTCATTTTCATGGTATGATACAGTGTAAGAGCACGATGTGGGCCTCCTTTACGACAACTCATTGTATAGCATCCGTGCCTATTTCGAATGACGTGCTCTGGTGGAGGATCATTTTCATTGTTGCGTGGAGCTAGTTGTTGCATCGAACGTTCTTGCTTGAGCTGATGGGCACGGGTTTCCAAGAGATCTGAAAGACCCGTTGACTTATCCTCGGGTTGTGCTGCAAAGATATCTTGAAAAGTCTTTATGGAATCGAGTAGGTCGTCTCCTGTAGAATCATCCTTCCATGAAATCTTGTAATCATGCTCTGTCTTTTCATCATGTTGATATTGCTGATGCTGCTGTTGTTGTCGTTGATGATATCTTCCTTGTCCTGATTTGATGCTTGGTACACGGTAGATGCTATCCTCAGGTGAATAGGAAGGTCGAGGTAGATGTTTCTCATACGCCTCCTGGGTTGGAACCTTTCGCTTGGTGATTGAATTCTTACTGCGTAAGCTGCTGGATCTTTTAGTAGCTGCTGATGCTGGTGGTGATGATGACGATGATGATTGTTTGGCAATGCCCATAGCAGTGGATGAACGGATTGGACCGATAGTGGCGCTCTTTTGTGCTGTTGGATCATGTTGTTGTTTGATGTTATTGATAGCAGCACCTCGTCGTCTTTGGCGTTGACATTTGTAGCAAGTGCAATCATCCGTGGCAGTACAACCCGATGCTGGCTTTTTGGTGGCGGGGGATGACAAAATGGCGCTCAAATAGGGATCGGCAGGTTGTTGTTGCTGCTGCTGCTGCTGCTGCTGCTGTTGTCTAATAAAACATGAATTAAAATCAAGGAGTAGCTACATAAGAGTCATATCCATTTACTGTAAAGGAGAGAGATCATCCAAAGAAAATGATGGTGTCTTGGCATCCACTTTGGAGGGAATACCATCAATCTCAATCTTCATTGACTCGCCAGCTGTAGGCACTTGAAGGTTCACTACGAGGATACATCTTATTCAATACACTTTGATAATGAAGCTCCAATGTGCACCCATAAACTTACGGTCTACTCGGTTTTCAAAGTGGATCTTTTGCACCCATTCTGTTTTGTGTGTCAATGAGCATTCGTTTATACCGAAAGTGTCCATGTCAACTTACCATTCAGGACATCGACGTCTGTAGTAGTAGTAGTTGTCATGGCTTTATTGTAAAGCCAGAGGCAATGGAACTGGAATTGAAGTCAAGTGGAGATGAAAGGAAAAGGAAATAATAGGCGAAAAAGGTGAATTGCCGGATAATGGTCTGGAAACGTTGCATGTGGATGAGATACGCTTGTGTGACCCACCAGTCGTTAGATCGCTTTAACACCTCAATGCAAGTTGTCATTTATTCAAGGAAACATCCTCCCTTTTCTCCATTTAAATTGTGTTGATGATAGTTGCTTTTTTTCTCTCTCTCTCTCTATTCTCTCTCGCTCTCACACACCCGCATCCTTTCACGCAGGGGGGAATGAAAAGTACAATTAAAACGGCATCAGGATGCATGCACATGAAATGGTTACACAGGATTTCCTCCCATTTCATTCCCAGAACATTGCATGGTTCCGTTGTGTTTCCTAAATCAGAAAGTGACCAAGTGGTCCTCACAGTGCGACTGGGACCTTTTGTGAATGACTCGTCAATTCCATGACAAGAGGAAAATCCTCGTGGTCATCTCTTTTGGACCCTGATTTACACCTTTTACATAATATGCATCGTGTGTCGAAAGGAGCACAACAACAGCCACGACGTTAGAGCTAAAGAGGCAAGGCGTGTGATTGATAAACAAGGCACCAACCATATATCCATCTCATCTAAACGATATAAATGGAAAAGGCGATATGCTACATTTATCAGTAATGGTGCTGAGAGAAGTATGGACCAAGCTTAAAGGGTTGATCACGTGTTCGATCTGGAAAGTCATGCCAAGTAGCAGGGCCAAGTGACTGATGTCATAGATGTAAGTATGTATAATGTAGCTAGAGTGTTCCTTGTTTCTCCTTGTATGAACTCGTTATTATAACCCAATATTCATTGTTGAGATATGGATCATGATTAGATGAGTTGGTTCATGTAATTTCATTATTTCTCTCGTTGAATGGCTTCACATTATGGAAGCTTACACGTTTATGCAACCACGTTACGACCCCTTGCCATCCATATTTACGATAAGCGACCATCTCTGCCCATTCAAAGTTTCATCACGAAGCGTGAGGTCTTCATTATAACAAAGTTTATCAGCAGGCCCGAGAGCATATAAAATCACGGATTGCTTTAGAGTGTTTTGATTGTTCAATCAAATTAAATTTCCAGGTCTTCCACTCCTAGCCTCTTCCCTCTTCCTCCCATTCTCAACTGTTGCCGCATTCAAGTACAATTACCACACCTACGAACCATTGCCCTACTTCAACCCATCATGTCCATCCTACAACACTCTTGATCCGATCGTCTTTCACTGAATGGCAACTCCATGGCGTGTACACTCTGCTACGTACTATAGCAACTGCCTCTGCCACTACTCAAATCCTCTTCCAAAATATCTCAATACAAGCGTGACAGAGCGCATGCCCAATACTTCAATTGATACGCTTTGTTACCCAAGAGAGCTTTGTTTGACGAATTGGAACCGTGGATGTACCACTTAAACAAGGAGCCCTGTGGTTTGAACGAGCAACACTTGCATACGACTCGAATTGTCGGCATTGATCCCGGTATGGCATGAAATGGATAGCGAAGCACAGGTATTCTAACTCATCCTTTACATCGCTCAGGCATTAGTTGCTATTAGCGAGGTCTTTGCTCCACTGTCTCAAGTTACTTGCAGCCTTTTTATGCGAACAGCAGAGAGCCATTGTAGATAGGCATCTTTATTTACGTGTAGCAACTTGTTTTAATACAAACGAATATGGATCTCAATATTGCTTTGGTGCATGGGATGGAAGGAATTGGATACAACGTAACCATGGATTTGCTTCATCCAAAAAAGGAACTGGCAGGAATAGACAGCTGTAGACAGGCATTCATTGAATTGATTCATGGTTGTAAGGAAGGAAAAGCAATAACTTGTGATGGAGAATGCTTCCATTAAGTTGTGGGAACCTCTGTAACAGTGATCAAGGATATTGTAAGGCAACATTATCATTACGTAGTACATAGACTTGTCAAGGTGTATGGAAAGAGAGGGGAATAGAACTCTATACCTGGTTTAAATGCCACTGATCATCAATGTCAAATGGAAAGCGATCTTCATTCATATACAGAAAACCATATACTAATCATAATGATGGATAAAAACGAGAGACAAAAGAGAGTAGTAGAAGCTAATGTTTGGGGTGCTTGGACTTTTTAAACTTTTTGGATGGTGGATGATGAGATGTGCTGGAATTGGGGCGTTTGTTATTCTTGAGTAAATGTTTCTCGGTGTGTTTGGAAGCGTGCTTTCCCTTGAGAAGTTGTTTGATGATGTTCTTCTTCTTTTTGGTAGCAGCATCCTTAGCCTTAGCGGGCTTTTGGGGTGGAACTTCAGGTTCGGCAACTTGGCTTGGTGATGATTTCGATGCCATAGCGGGCTTTTGGTGTGGAACTTTTGGTTCGGCAACTTGACTTGGCGATGAATTCGATGTCATAGTGGGCTTTTGGGATGGAACTTTGGGTTCGGCAACTTGGCTTGACGATGGATTTGATGTCGTAGTGGGCTTTTGGGATGGAACTTTGGGTTCGGCAACTTGGCTTGGCGATGGATTTGATGTCGTAGTGGGCTTTTGGGATGGAACATCAGGTTCGGCAACTTGGCCTGGTGATGATTTCGATGCCATAGTGGGCTTTTGGTGTGGAAACTTGGGTTCGGCAACTTGGCTTGACGATGAATTCGATGTCATAATAGTGGGCTTTTGGGATGGAACTTTGGGTTCGGCAACTTGGCTTGACGTTGAACTCGAGTCGCTTGATTCTGCATCAGACGTGTCATCATCATCATCATTATCGCCCATAGTATCATCCTTGACGGACCCTCCATTTTGATTACTGGCAGTCAACTTTGCCTTCTTGTTGTTGTATAGCTCCATTTCCTTTTCATAGTTCTTCTTTGCCTCCTTAGCCCTGATTCTGTATGGCTATGGAAAGTAGTCAAGACCAAGTTTCAGCATCCCAATTTTACGCGTACATACCTGCTTTGCTTCATCACTGAGTGCCATCCACCTGTGACCAAGGAGCGTCATGACATCACTGGATTTACCATTCGTCTCAGCCTTAGCTTCTGAACGATGATCTTGACTATACAAAAGATAAGCCGACTTGGGGTACTTGGGCTTATTGGGGTCTCTTGGTTTCCTGGGCTCCTTCCTTTTCACTTCTTTCAGGCCTATTTGATCCCGGGCTTGATCCAGCAATTCAGCAACTGATACCAGATGATGGGCAATGTCAATAAGACCTTGGGAAAGTTTTTCTTCCAAATCAGACTATGCTTGTCTATTAGCCACTGGAATGTAAAGTTAGATGGGCAATCAAATTTACCATGCTTGACGACATGATCTTTGTGAAAGACTAGGAAGAGATGCAACGCAAACATTAGGTTTTTGGTCTATAGACTTAAAAGATCCTCATAGTACCTTTTGCTTGGGTCGCATGTTGTTTACCATGATGCTGGTGAATGACCACTCGCATAGCCACCACGCTGCTTTGACACCGATGATTAACGTAGCTTTTTTTCCTACTACCCACTTGATTTCATGTTGGCGTATCCCCCACTCAGCTCATTTAATGTGCCACGCCATCGTGATTGAGATGGGTACATGATGTTTATTCATTCTCGCCGGTGGTTTTTTTTGGGGTGTGAAAATTTTGGTATCCAAAGGCAACCCATTTCAATTGACAGCCATTGGGCTGGTCGCAACCAACCTAGCGTTCGTTCCACAACAGCTTGGGCGCCGAGACTTGCATGCCCTCTCATCACCTTTAATGATGGCTGTAAACCAGTCATGGTTCCCACGAATATTTTCAAAGGCCTTTTTGTGTGCTACATTGTGTGCTGCATTGTGTAAGAATATCGTTAACGAGAAAAAAAGTACAATGCGAACATTGATAATTATCGTTTACGACCTTTTCTATTGATACATGCACTATTTATATAAGAACCGAATACATTGAATGGGAAAGGGAGAGGGAGATACATGCGCATGATTGTCACGCATGTATGATGCCATATTGGGTTTGCACTTATATTGGCCCCATATGACAAATACTAAAAAGCGGCATTCCGCTGCATGCATAAAATACAAAGATCAGTGTTCTTATCATTACGTTGTGGTGCTGCTGGTGATGTATTGAGCATACATTCATTATCATCACCAACATCACAAAGCAACTATGCGATGATAAGAGGTAAGCTGTACACAGAGATGATTGAAGTTGTACCTATGGATGTAAAATAAAGATACAGATGAGTGGTGTCAAGGGACACCATGTGCATTACTCAACTTGACAATAGGTGTTTCAAGTCCTAGGATGGTTGTTGATACATGTAGCACCCAGTGGATCGCATGTTGTTACACCAAGAAAACATCACGTTTAACAACATTGTTCTCATAAAGACCCCTAGGTTGATTGTACACTTTTGAGTTAGTTTCGTCTCTATGCTTTCCATTGCAAGCGTGGTGCTATATGAAAAGTGGTCTTTGTGCATTGTCAATTAGCTAGACCCTGGCAGAGCCGAAGATGCGGGAGGACTTCTTTGTGTAACTCAGCACTTTTGCATGACTGGAAGGATCAATAGATGGTACTGTATTCGCTAATCATTAACACTCATCATTGGCAGCTGATAGCCAATTCCTCCCAATCGGCAATGTTATCCATTCTATGTCATGGGAACGATGCTCCTGCTCCACACATTCATTTCCATAATTCAGTTGTCTTGATCCGAGCTGATTTGGCTTAGCTACGCCCAAACAAAGTTACATCGATGACACATTCAACACCCACTAACTACCTCAACTGATGTACCTTTGTTTGGGCGTAGCTCGCCAAATCGGCTCGGATCAAACGAATTATGGAGAATGAATGTGGGCCCAGAACATCCCATGACATACAATGGGTCAATAAGCGCGGGTGGGAGGGGTAGCTATCGGCTGCCAATGATAGTGTTAATGATTAGCGAATACAGTACCATCTATTGATCCTTTCCGGTCATAAAAAAAGTGCTGAGTTACACAGAAATCCCTGTGCATCTTTGGCTCTGCCAGGTCCCACTAGTTGACAATGCACAAGGCTCACCCTTCATACTGGCATCATGTGTACAGCATATGTAAAACATAAGGTGCCTGTATCTCTAAACTTTACAATCAAACGTGGGGTCTTTAATAGAACTAAAGCTGCTCGGCGGGGTGAAAGCGATCTTGTGTCAAAGTATGAAGTTCATCGTGGCCATTCCGGATTCACCCAAATAAGCGCTACCAGCCAAAAATATTTTGCTCGTCGTCGAAAAAAAATTCGAGAGGTCGACCCGACTCAACTTGGCTGGTGGCGACATTGCGAAGACATCTGGGGTGTATGATGAACTTCATGCTGACTTTTCGTCCTTGACCGCCGGGCTTATTCTCTAATAAAACCCCCACATTTGATTGTAAAGTTTGGAGATACAGGCACCTTTATGTTTAATAGCGTGATGCTATATGAAGAGTGGTCTTCGTTCAATGTCAAGTCGCTGGACCCTGGCAGAGCAAAAGATGCAGAGGGACCTCTTTGTGTAACTCAGCTACTTTGCATGACTGGAAGGATGGAAGGATGATACTATATACTGTTGACAAAAGCCCGTACATTGCGAGCTAACAGCCATTTCTTCACAATAGCCACTGTTTTCCACTCTATGACATGTGAGCGATTCTCCTGCTTCAGACATTCATTTCCATAATTGGATTATGTTGATCCGAGTTGATTTGACCGAGATACAGCCAAAGACGGATTGCATCAATCACACATCTAACCATGCTCTATGTTGCTCAACTGAAGTAACCTTGTATGAGCGTAGCTCAGCCAAATCAACTCGGATCAACATAATCCAATCATGGAAATGAATGTCTGAAGCAGGAGCATCGTTCCACTGTCATAGAATGGGCTCTTTATTGCCGATTGTGAGGAAATGTGCTTCGCAATGTATGGGATTGTGCATCAATAGTATACAGTATCATCCTTCCATCGGGATAACTGAGTTACACCAAAGAAGATCCCTCTACGCTTGCCGAAGTCAATACCCCGACAGTGAGCAAAGAGACCACTCTTCTATAACATCACGCTTTACAAACATAAAGGTGCCTGTATCTCCGAACTTTACAATGAAACGTGGGGTTTGAATAGAGCAATGGGCTCGGCTTGGCCAACAGCACCTTGTGTGAAAGTTTCACGTTCGATGTCGCAACTAGCCCAAAAAATATTTTTTGGTCGTCGTCGTCGAAGAGGTTGACCCCCAGATCCAGTTTTGGCTGGTAGCGACATTGCGAAATCTGGGATTTGGCAAGCTTGATCGTGAAACTTGCACCCAAGGTGCTGTTAACCAAGCCAGCTTTATTGCTCTAACCGCAGCCCCCACGTTTGGTGCTTAAAGTTCGGAGATACAGGCACCTTTATGTTTGTAAGCGTGATGCTATGATGGTCTTTGTTCATTGCCAAGTAGGTGGACTCTGGCAGAGCCAAAGATGCAGAAGGACCTCTTTGGGTAACTCAGCTAAAAAGTTTGGACTTCAGGGACCTTGCATGACGGGTACACCAATCCTCATTTGGAATGCATGCATTGGCAGCTAATAGCCACTTTTGTGCATTCCCAACTTTTGTGCATTCTATTGTAGGTGGACGATGCTCCTGCTCTGAACATTCCATTTCCATGATTAAAGTAAAGGTTGATCCGAGCTGATTTGGTTGAGTTACTTCACACAGAGATTACTTCAATTTAAGGGCTACATCGAGCGTGCTTTATGAGCAATACGTAAC